TTTTTATCAATGGAAATTTGAAGCTCAAGTCCAAGAAGTGGACAAATGGAAAGCAAATATAGCAACCATAGGCTACTCATAGACACAATTAGATAGATAAAATACTTGTCATAGATATATAAAAATTAAGTAAAATAGAAAAAAGAATAGGCTATTACCCTCGTCGGATGTGTGGAGCTTGAAACCCTAGCCCGTCATTGGCGTTCGTCTTCTCTGCATCATTAGCCTCTCTCTCTCTCTGCATCGCCTCTCTCCTCTGCCGCTACGAATCTGCCCTACAAATTGCACGACTGAGACCATAGCCATTTATGGATTGACAGAAAGAATCGTGTGGTGAGAGGTGGGATTAGACAATCTGCCTTATCCTTATCCTATAGATCGTGTCTACCAGCGATTGCTGTACATTTGGGCGGGATTTATTCCTGCTGCTGTTGTAAATAGAGAGATATTACAAGTATTATGTGATTCTACACCTATTCACAACCAAATTTATACGAAGCTAAGGTGGGATGTGCAAACATACTAGGAGTCTAGGATTAGGACTATGTTATAAAACGATGATAAATGAGACAAGACGGATTTAGCTTCTGCGGAGGGCAAGGTGTGTATATCAAGTTGGGTTGGTGGTATTCATTTGCAATGCTAATTAATTGTATAATTCTTTAGCACTTTAAATTCATGCAAAAGTGGCAGTGTTTTACGGGGAATGTCTCGAACCTTCATAAGGAATAATGAGATGAAAAATCTAAAATAGTCATTTATGATCTAACACAGGTTATCTTCACATGAATGGAAAACAAAATGAGACAACAACGCATTGAGATATTTATCATTGACATCATGCCATGTTTCATTACAAGATTGATATTAAAAAATCTATCTTGGAATATGACCAATTCTTTCGACTTCTATCTCGTAAAGCTGCAAATACGAGTAACTCAACAAAGATAATACGGAGTATGTAGTGAGTTGAATACTTCCTCCATCCCTATGTAAAGTTTCAACTTGCTTGTATACCGAGTTTCGGAAAAATGAAACTACCTGGTAGAGATTTATTTAGAAAAGAAAATGATCAATATCACACAATTCTTTTTCTGAAAGAGGAAGATTAATAGGGACAGACTAAAAAGGAAAATGTCAAAATAAAAAGGGGACGAAGGGAGTTCAATTTGGTAATAATAAAAAAATGAGTAAAATACTCATCACATCACAAATAAACCATCAACCCTCCAAAACTGAAAACTAAACACTTCTATAAAGGTTTAATTACCTCCAACCAGGAAAAAATGACAAGAATAATTTATTTCATCAAAAAAATGACAATAATACTTTTTTGCACCAAAAAAAGGCCATAATGGTTAAGAAACAACAAGAAAAACAAAGAACTTCATTCATATGCGTATGTTACCTGGAAGTTTGTTGTTTGCAAAAGACCATCTCACTAATGGACCTGTAATATTAAGAACTGAAATCCACACCTCCTTCGTGGAACTATATGCAGACAAAAAGATAAGATGTAAGAACATTAAATAGAAGAGAAACTAAGAAAGCAGAATTAAAATATAACACCAATATCTTGCAACTAGTATCATCAATATCTTGGTGAATATCAATCATAATATGTTCAGTCCCTTGTTAAAGACACGATTTAAAGCAATGCACAAAGCTGTTAAATTGTCACAAATCAATTGCATAGAACCAGTTTTGCAAGACATAATTTCATCCAACAGTTAGTTTCTGCTCTATATCTACCATTAAAAAGTGTCATTCTGCATGAACTTTTGATGTAGTTTAAAAGTTACTCTGCAAATTTCTGGATAACCTTCAGCACCGCTTCGTCTCCAATTCCAAGTGCAAGTAAATCATTCATCAAGGATAATGTGAGATCATCAGGAGAAACACCCTTACCAGCCATTTCATCCAAGAGCAAATTTGTCTTGTGCAGTTTATTAACTCTCAGAAAATAACATTATAACTGATAGTATTTGACGAGCAATCAGTCTCTCCCATTTTCCTTAACAGTCTAGGGCTGCATCTATTTTCCCCTCTCCACATAGCACATTTATCATTGCATTGTGTGCATATCCATCAACTTGTTGACCTTTAAACATGAGGCTACTGAATACGTCATGTTGCACAACCCATCTATCATGACACTACCAAAAACATGAGAACCATTCCTGTTAGAAAAATAAAGATAATATACATTGTCATCCATTTTAATCCTTTAATGTGCTCCTTGATAGCATTTCAAATATCCTACATCACGCAACAAAAGCATGAGAACCATCTATCATGACATTACCAAAAACATGAGAACCATTCCTGTTAGAAAAATAAAGATAATATACATTGTCATCCATTTTAATCCTTTAATGTGCTCCTTGATAGCATTTCAAATCTCCTATATCACGCAACAAAAGCGTGTCCCGAACCCATAATGAATTATGTAGATGTACTTTTCAAATTAGTGATACAAGCCACATCTGCCCTTCAAACCTTAAACAAAATAAACAATTAATAACCAAATAAGATCCAAAGTTTTACAAGGAGTATATTTTCTGACTATTAATTAAATACCTCCTAAAAAGATGTGCTCAGGCTGCATTCCTTAAGAAACATATGAGATTCAAGGGTTTATAATCAACCTCCTTGCCTTTTGCTTTTTGAATGCTTCAAATTTTTTAGCCGCATTACAATACTTGCCTTTTGCTTTTTGAATGCTTCAAATTTTTTAGCCGCATTACAATACAATTTCCCTGAGAACTGTACTCATTTTCTTCTTCCCAGCTATCCCCATACAGCTTTGGTAAAACCTGATCTCAATATAATAAATGCTCTAAACAGCAATGTAAACATCTTCTCAAGTAAATCTAAGGAATCTACTATTGAGTACAACAAAACAGTATCCAAAACCTAAATAAACTATACTGCAAACTCTTTATAGATGCATTTTTAAAATTATATATTCATAGTGACAAATTTGTCAATATGGAGTACTACAAAAAAGAAATTAGAAATCTAGAATTCCTCTGATTCTTATTTATATGTTAGGAGAACTCGACCCAATTCTTTGGACAAATTCCCAGAGCCCATACATCTTTAGATATCAACAAGTACTATAATATCATCAACCAACGACCTCAAATCTTTCACATCCTTTACTATGGAGCTTTTATCAAAGGTAGTAACATTCTAACGCATCTCAAGATCCAGCCATTAATCATTGTTCCTTTGATAAAAGCTCCACAGCAATTAGCAAAGAATATAAAAGATTTAAGGTAATTGCTTGATGATTATCTTGATATTATAGCAGTTGTTGATATGTAAAGACGTATGGGCTTAGCAGATTTGTCCAAAGAATTAGGTCGAGTTTTTGTAACATATAAATGGGAATCAGAGGAATTGTAATTTCTTTTTTATAGTAGTCCATATTAACAAATTTGTTACTACGAGTATATAATTTTAAAATACAGTTATGAAGAGTTTGCAGCCTAGTTTATTTAGGTTTCGGATACGATTTTATTGTACTTAATAGTGGATTCTCTAGATTTACTTGAAAAAATGTTTACATTGCTGTTTAGAGCTTCCATTATATCAACATTAGATTTTACCAAAGTTGTATGAGAAAATGCTCGAATGAAAAAAATGAATACAATCTTCTGAAAATGGTATAAAAATGTGGCTAAAAAATTTGAAGCATTCAAAAGAGTGGAGTTTTTGTTCAAAATGAATGAGCAGGGGGGAAGGTAAAAAGGAAAAAGGTAAGGAGACTGACTATAAACCTTTAGATCCCATATGGTTTTTAAGAAATATAATTGAGCACCCCTTTTAGGAGGTATTTAATTAATAGTCATAAAATATACTACTTGTAAACCTGTGGATTTTATTTGGTTATTAATTGTTCATTTTGTTTAAGGCTTGAAGAGTAGATGTGACTTGTATCACTCATTTGAAAAGTACATCTGCATTATTCCTTTTGGGCCCGGGACATGCTTTTGTTGCGTGGTGAAGGAGATTTCAAATGCTATCTAGAAGCACAATATAAATGTTTAGAATGGAATGGATGACAATGTATAGTATCTTAATTTTTCTAACAAAAATGGTTTTCATTATTTTGGTAGCATCATGATTGTTGGGTTATGCAAGATGGGGCTTCTCAATATTGCACATTGCATATTAATACAATAGATGGATATGAATACAATACAATCTAAAGGTTTATAATGAGCCTCCTTACCTTTGGCTTTTTTATCATCTTCCTGCTCATTCATTTTGAACAAAAACTCCACTTTTTTGAATGCTTCAAATTTTTTAGTCGCATTCCAATACCATTTCCAAAGGACTGTACTCATTTTCTTTTTCCCAGCATGCCCCCATACAGCTTTGGTACAACCTGATCTTGATATAATGGAAGCTATAAACATCAATGTAAACAATTTCTCAATCAATTCCAGGCTGTGTACTATTGAGTACAGTAAAGTAGTATCTAAAATGCAAATAAACTCAGCTGCAAACTCTTTATAGCTGTATTTTAAAATTATATATTCGTAGTAGGTAATAAATTTGTCAATATGGAGTACTATCAAAAAGTAATTAAAAACCTACCATTCTTTTGATTCCCATTTAAATTTTTCAAGAACTCGATCCAATTCTTTGGACAAATCTCCAAAGCTCATATGTCTTTACATGTCAACAAGTGCTCTAATATCAAGAATATCATCTAGCAACGACCTCAAATCCTTCACATCCTTTGAGGTCGTTGCTTGATGTTATGCTTGATATTTCATCACTTGTTGATATGTGAAGATCTTTGGACTTTGAGAAAAGATTCAAAAAATTAGTTGGAATAATTCATAATATAAATGGGAATCAAAGGAATGATAGGTTTTTAAATTTCTTTTTTATAGCACTCCATATTAACAAGTTTGTTACTTACTATTATGAGTATATAATTTTAAAAATGTAGCTATAAAGGGTTTGCAGCAGAGTCTATTTGGATTTTGAATACTGTTTTGTTGTACGCAACAGTGGACGGTATAAAATTGATTGAGAAGATATTTAAATTGTTGTTTAGAACTTCCATTATCATTGATCATCTAGAAACAGACGCTCTGTGTTTTAAACATAGGGTCAGGCTGCGCATAGATCTAACCCCGGTTCTCCAGTAATGAGCAGGAGCCGTTGAGGCACTGGGTTATGTTGTTGTAATCACTATCCCATCTTGAATACTGCCATTGGATTTGTTCAGCATATTGAGTAAAAATAGATTCATAGCAATCTATCTTTAAATGAATATAGAGTTATTAGTTTTTTTAATATGTAAACATATAAATTTATTATTCACATAGGAGAAAAAGATTTGAATCACATAAAGAAACTTTTACCTGAAAAAATCCAACATATGTAGTTTGATTTGGTAATCATAATCATCACCCTCATCTCCTCAGTCATCCCATTTTTTCAGAAAGTAACACTTAATCTGAAATGTAAAAAAATTTACAATAGATATTGTTTAAACAAATTATGGGAAAAATTAATGGGAGATCAAAAAGCCTGATGAGATAACTTTATTATGAATTATGGGAGTACTAGAAAAGTTTAAACATGCTACAAGGCTTCATATTAATAATGAGAAGTCGTCTATTGTTTTTGGAGGATGTGATGGAGATTTGCAAAACAAAATCTTGAATATTACTTAGATGACTAAATGTAACTACCTTTCACTTATCATAGCAGTTCTACCTTAGCTGCTAGACTAATTGTTCAGGATTGTGATAACTAGGGTTGTTCATGTTTAGGTCCGGACCGAAAAAATCGACCGAACCGGACCGATAGGTCCAGACTGAATCCGGACCGATTGGATTTCGGGTCGGTCTTCAGTCCACCAATTTTACAATTTCGGGTTTCGGTCCGGTCCGGTCCAAACCCGAATATCATTCGGTCCAGACCTAAAAGACCGAGACCATTAATTTTACGGAGTAATTCTAAAAGATCGAGATCAGAGACCATTTGCCCATCACCATTCTATCTTCCTATTCTCCCACTTTCCCAAAAATTCTCCACCTCAACTCTAATTCCAAATCTCCATTCTCCAATCGCATATTCGCAATCGGCCAATCGTTTGTGACTCCAGAGACGCAATCGGCCAATCGCTTGTGACTATAGAGGCCGTCCGTTTGCAGATTCGTAGCGGCCAATCTGCTCCGGCCACCACACGCAACGGCGAGCCTCCCCACCACTCACAAATGCCTCCTAAGGTCCATACCACCTCATCTCCACCACAGTCGTGGGATTTGGACGCCGGAATTGCTGGGAATCAGTTGCGACCCGTCATGGCAGTTGCCGGGGGTATTTGCAGATTCCGACCACCTCCGACAAATTCGACGTCGTGCACCCGCCCATGCATCTTCCTGACATCTTTACGACCCATGGAGTCTATATGAATATGATGCCACAATACTTTTCCAAAATTTTATCATAAGCAGCAGCTGATGTATCTCCAAAATATGAAAGAAGGAAAATGAAACCCAAAAAGAACACTAGAAGGGATGGACGAGAACCTTTTCTTTAACACCATCAAGGATAGCCCATGTATACTTCTCTTCTTGTTTCATTTTCTCTTCTTTTAAAGCCTTTTTCTCCTGTAAATACAAGAACACTCTTAGATTATTAGAGCATAAATCATTTAACACAGCTTCCCATCCAATAAGCTAATCTGCCAGCAATATCAATTACTCATATATATTTCTTTAACTCGAAAGTAATCATTAGGTAATATTGTAATAATACATATGTCCAATCACTTCAATGGGTCCCCTTGGCGTAGCAGGTCTTAATTCTTAACATCTTCTGTTTTTCAGGCAGCAACTTTCCTTATTTTATCTTTAGTGCTGTTTCTCTGATAAAACATATTAGACATTTTGTTCTAACACTTTTGACTTTTTGCTTTCTGTTTGTATTAGAGCCAAGGTATATATTTTCTGTACATGTATTTTTTTATTAATAAAATTTCTTTTTTCCAAAAGAAAAATTTAAAAAAATACTTGTCATAGTACATACTCCCTTCTGTCCCTATATAAACTTCCCATTTGCCTATTTGGTTTGTCTAAAAATAAGTTCTCCATTTCTAGAAGAGGTAGTTTTTCTTTGATAACATTGCCCTTAACCTCACTTTTAAGATTAAAGTTATGAGCTCCCAATCTTTTGTGCAAAATAAATGGTTAGTTCATTTTGGGACAGAGGGAGTACATAAATCTATAGCACAATAAGTTGTGACTCTTTTAGGTCAGTAGCAAAACATGAAAGCAATTATATTCAAGGACTAAAACAAGTGTTTAAAGACAAGTAAATTAATAGAAATTCAACTGCAAAAATATAAAGACACAATGCAGCAATAATGCCAAGCTGTACAGTAAATGAAACAGAGTCACACAATAGTTCTTCATCACTTTGCTTTGTGACAGAGAAATGGGGTCTAATAAATAATAAGTGTAATTAGAAAACAATAGACAGTCAAATGCTCAACGAAAGACTGCAAAATCCAACCATTCGCATGCTAAGCTCAAATTTACATTTCTATAGCTCCATAAGATTATATCACAAGAATGACATTTTAAATTACCAGTAGCAACACATACAGAATATAACATATGTGAACTAAAAGAAGTGTTCAATCATCAATGACATGTCTACACATGATACATATGCTATAATTTTTGTTGTTTTTTTATTATTACCACTGCTATTAATTTTATAAGTTTATAAGACAGCATTTATTAATTATTATATCAACAATTACTTGTTCACTTATTCTAAACTTATCCACATTCAGCACATAACCAAGTAGTCAACCATTGACTTACTTTTGAACTCATCTGTTTCTTCTTTTCCTTCTCTCTTTGATGCCACTCATATATAGGGGTAAAATCGCAGTGCTCCAAACTCTGAATCACATGATTTCTTCCAAGTAATTTCTTCCAGTCGTTCATGAAGTTTTCTTTAAATTGGGGTTTGTTCATGGAATCTGTATCTAGCATCACCGCATACATTGTTGCAACCTGCAAGTAAAATAAAAATTCACCTTGTCTATGAACAAAATATATTCACACATGCACATGCACAGAGAGATTGAAAAAAGAGACCTCCTCTTGCTCTGATGTGAGATCTACAGGTTTTCCCTTATAAAGCATCTTTCCTCGTTCGTCATGGCAGCCACCGGAGCCTCCTGTACGGATGCTTGCTGGCTTTGAGCCGAGATGCTGATCTCTTCATCCATTGCAGGCTTGGTGCGGAGGTTTTCATCTTGATCTCGTTTAGGGTTTTGCCTTTGGATAGTGACTCCAACATTTCAGAGATGCGGTTCAGCCGAGGGCGAAGGTAGTCCCTTTTATTAGGGTATGTTTGGTTGGAGGTCTTTTATTAGAGGAATGCTAGGGGTACACCACCCCCTTCTCCACCACACATTTTTATTTGATTTTTATTTACTTATTTTTTTAATTTTTTTTGCCTTTTTTAGTGGGAGACATATGGGGTATACTCAAACCCGACCGAACCCGACCCGTTACCATCCCTACCAGCAACTAAATGTGATCTAAACATCATTAAAAACATCAAATCAGGTTGTATTACTTTGTAAATGATTAATAGTTTACATTATAACCAAAAATGAATATCTTTACACTTCTTTTCTTATTCAGGGAAAGAATATGCAACTCTAAGAGCATATGATTCCACCAAGAAGCCACATTTTGTAAATAAGTTGTTTCCTGCATATGTTTTTCTCAATTTATAATCACAAATGACAATCTCAAAACACACTTAAATACTCGAGTAACATTTTTTAACACAATGAAACTTTTCATTTTTTGAGCGAAAAAATATATGAAATGCTACAATTTTTTCATGGCAGCAAGCAAACTTTTCATCTTTTCATAGAGGCAAGCAAACAAGGACATCAAGCTTTTCCCTAAAATACATATAGCCAAAAATGCATATTCCTCTAGAGTCTAGATAACATATGGTATCATATTGTTTGTCCTCAATTCCTCATCATAACTCAGACATTCATATAATTAATGACATTAAGAAATTCCCTAAATTACATACAGCAAAAAAAAAGTCATACGTCATGCCATAAGGAAATAGCATATTATCACACGCCATCGGTCATATGTAGATATCCCAAGTTACAAACTTACAGAATCTGTTTAGTGCATCATGTTAGATGTTATCACTGAGCAATCTGCATCTACAAGCTTCAAAACATCATTTGTATACGAAGTCTCTAACAGCTACTTTCAGCTCTATGTCTACCATTAAAAAGTGTCTTTCTGCATGAACTTTTGATGTAGTTTGAGAGTTACTCTGCAAATTTCTGGATAACCTTCAGTACTGTTTGTCTCCAGTTCCAAGTGCAAGTAAATCATTCATCAAGGATAATGTGTGACCATCAGGAGAAACACCCTTACCAGCCATTTCATTCAAGAGCAAATTTGCCTCGTGCAGTTTATTAACTCTCACAAACTCTTGCAAAATAACATTATAAGTGATAGTATCCGGCGAGCAATCTGTCTCACCCATTTTCCTCAACAAGTCTAGGGCTGCATCTGCTTTTCCCTCTCGACAGAGCCCATTTATCATTGCATTGTACGCATATCCATCTACTTGTTGACCTTTAAACACGAGGTTACTCAATACACCACGTGCAATATTGAGAAGCCCCATCTTGCACAACCCATCAATCATGATATTACCAAAAACATGAGAATCATTCCTGTAGGAACATAACTTACTATAGACTGCCAATGCCTCTTTAATATGCTTGTTATCACACAAACCGGTAAGTAAGACACAGTAAGTGTTAAAATCTAGTTTATGCCGAGAAAGTTGCATTTCCCGAAAAAGATGTAAAGCAGTATCACATCGGCCCACCAGAAACAGCCCTTGCAACATCATGGTGTAAGTAACAGCATCAGGATGGAGCCCCATTTGAGGCATTACATGAAAAAGTAGCATGGCCTCATCGATTGCTTCTCTTTTGCAATATCCGTTAATTAATGTGTTATAGCACCTAAGGTTGGGATGAATGCCTTTGTCTACCATCTGACCAAGAGCTCTCTGAGCATTGTCCATCTGCCCTTGCAAGCAATACCCGTCAATTAAAGTGTTGTATGTGATCACATCAGGATAAGTGTTTCTCTGAATCATGAGTTCAATAACACTTTCTGCTTCACTCAACTTCCCCTCCTTGCAAAATGCATTCACCATTATATTGAAGGTAAAAACATCTGGATATACATTATGATGCACCATCTGGATCATTAACTTCGTAACCTCTTTCCATCGGCAAAAATTGCAAAGGCCTTGAACCAATGAATTGTATGTGATGATGTCCGGGGAAACCCCTCTTTCTATCATCTGATGGAGAAGGCCAAGAGCCCTATCTACCATTCCGTCTTTGCACAAAGAATCAATCACAATGTTATATGCTATGTTATTAGGCTGAGGCCCCTCCATTTGCATAAGTATGAGTAAATCAAGAGCAGTTTGAGTATAACCTGCCTTGCAAAGCCCCTTCATAAGTGTAGCATAAGTGAAATTATCAACTTGGCAGACTTTCTCCCCAACCAACTTCTTGAATAGCTCTATGGCCTCAACGATCTTATTTTCCCGACAAAGACCTTTGATCAGGGAGCTGAATGTCACCACATTGAAATCAATTCCACACTTGAAGAACATCCCAAGCACACAAAACCCACAATTCACCCGATTTGAGAGACAAAAGGCTTCAATCAGAATGTTCAGGGTATAAGCGTCCACAGGGATCCCCCGAATGCGCATTTCCCTAAACATGCAAACAGCAGCCCTATAACATTTCATTTTCACAACTCTACCAAGCAATGTGTTGAACCTAACAATAGAAGGCAATGGTTGCGCGCGAAGCATTTGATCGAACAGTTCATGGGCTTGGTCTAAATCATGTACTGAATTGAAATCGTATCCAGAATGAACGCGATTTCTATGTGAAGAAGAAACAACTTCTGGGAGAGTGTGCAATGAACGCAGTGAGGACAAGAAGAAGGACGAAGAAGTACCAGCTTCAGCTGCCTTTTTGACGGATATGAGATCAGAAGACGGCACAGATCTTCTTCTCCGACGAACAATTTTGTTGAAGAAGGATAATGCAATGACACTTCTCTTAGAATCCATTTTCTGCCACTGAGATGCTTTCAGATATTCATGATGATTGATGCTTTGCAGGAGGCAGGTACATCGGATGCGTTTTCGCCCAAGTTTGCCTTCAGAAATTGAATCCAGAATATAGATTGCGGGCAGGAATAATGTTGTTTGTACTCTTTGAACAATTAACCTTGGATTTGAAATTCAGATTTGAATGAATTACTCTGTATATAAGGTGTAATTTGAAATAATCAATAGTTTAAATACATTTTAATCTTTAGTCATTGTTATTCACATTTGAATAATTTACTCTGCATTCAGATTTAAATACTTCGTATCTTTTTATGATTTGATGTCAAGAAGTGTTATTTTTTTTATTAAAAAAATTAAAATAGAAAAGATTTTAAAGACCAAAAAAGAGTTTAAAGTAATTTTGATATCTATTAAAATCATTTACTAATTACATCATTTCCAAATTTGTGCTCCATAAAGAGATTGCAAATTTGTTCAAAAATACCGCTCAACTCAATGATGTCATTGAACTCTTTAAAATAACTTGAAGAGTCATAATCATTTTAGGGAGTATGGAGTAATAAATAAAATCTTTGTGACTCCGTAATCCGTATTTATCTAATCACCAGTACAGTATATTTCTTTGAGAATTTCTTACTTCTATTCCAATTTAAATCGCATGTTTTAATTTACGATATTTGACTGAAATTATTTCCAAATCATTTTATATGAAAAAATAGTGTAAAATTAAAAAATAAAAATTACTCCATATTTAAAAACTAGATTAAAAGATCTACAAAACTAGTGGTGAGTGGTGACAAAACTGTATTATTTTATCAATTGACTTACAAAAATATGGAAAGAAAGATGAATTTTTATTATATGAATAGTAAACGAGCAATTTAATTTGAGAATTGGGACAGATGGAGTATTATTTCTTTACAGATTTGTTTTTTGGGGACTTCTTTCCACTCACAAATATGGAATACTATATTATGAGTAATATATTTTTCAATTTTTTAAAATATAACTGTGTAATACAAAGTGTATGATACTCCACACTTTTTGCATTTATCAACAACAAACAGTTTGGATCTTACCAAAATATGGTTTGAAATGTGAGTGAATTCAAATCTTACTATGGTTAAAAAGAGTAAATTCTTGCATTGACTAAAAGTTCATAGTACTATGGTCGACTTTCATATATACTACTCCGTAGATAGGTATTTATGAAAAAACAAAAAAATAAAAAAATTTGTATGAGAAGGTTCATGTGAACCATAAGCTCACCATAAAATTTCTCATTGAAAACTAGAGAGATTATTGTTAAGAGATTTTCAATTTGAAAAAACACATAAAATGATCACAGAAAACACACAGCATGAAAAAGAGGATAAAACTCATAAAATGAAACCAAAGTTAATGGAGGAAAACGCACCCGCAAAAAGACCAATATAAAAAGTCCAGAAATTATAAAAATAATTGAAACACTCCTAAACAATAATTTTTTTATTCACACTCTATGCTTGATTTCCTTCTTGAGTCAAAAATCTCTTTTGAAACAATCTCCCTATTTTTGAGTATGAGTAAGATATGCGTACAAAACCTTTATTGTTTATTGCTTGATTTCTTTATCTAAAACATATGGAGTACTCCTAATATTCTTGTCCAATTTGTTTAAGCACATGTGAGTGCTTATAAACAAATCCAATAGAATTTCGTCTCTAAAGTTGATTTCAAAAAAATTATTTTGTGGAATTTATTTATTTTTGAGTATAAAAAAAGATAAATGACTAAGGGGCTGTTTTGGCAACTTCTGAATAGGTAAGTGCTGAACTAGTAAGAGGTCTGAACCATTAAGTGCTGGACCAGTAAGAGGTCTGAACCATTAAGAGCTAGTATATTGCTTAACTATTCAGAGGCAAATGTCTGATCAATTCAGATAAGAGCTCTTAACCATTCAGACTCTGTATAATACTTAACCATTCAGAGGCAAATCTCTTAACCATTCAGACATCTAAACCATTAAGAGGCTGAAACAAACAATCTGAACCATTAAGTGCTGAATCATTCAGACATCTGAATCATTAAGAGGCTGAAACAAACAGCCCCTAAATGAGTATTAAGCTTTTATGATAATTAGGGGTACATTTTGACTGTTTGTCACCTTTTAAAGGTGCAAAATTTTAGATTATTTATATATACCTCAAAAACTACCATCAAAATCACCCCCTCAAGTCAAAAATATGTGGGTTTAGATTATTTATATATACCTCAAAAACTACCATCAAAATCACCCCCTCAAGTCAAAAATATGTGAGTCATGTCTAATAATCTCGTTCCAATTTTTATTTTGTCAACCCATGTTAGGATGCAACCCAATCACACACAATAAAAGGAAATGAACTAAAATAAATAGGTTCATCCTACTCCACTATTGCAAGGCATTTTGAGAAGTGTTCAAAACAAATTTGTGAAAGTTTGTTTCAACAAGGACAATATTATACTAATACGAGTTTGATTCAACCCCTTCCCTTATTCTCGCCCACCAGTCCACCACCATAAACAACTCACATCTCCGTATAGTGACCTCAACACTCCGCGGCCACACTTCACCAAACCACATCAATTTAACTCCTTGCAACTTATCCTCAACTGTTGACATATCTTCAACTCTTTGTAGGTTCCCAATTCCAAAAATGGACAAAAAGCTTAGCAAGTACAGAACAACCATGTCCAACTAAACAATTTTCATTTCATGAATTTTTGTGCAGTGAGTTACAATGGATGAAGCTGGGGGTATATATATAAAACACATCAAACTACAACACTCCCCTATCTGTGACCCAATAGAACTACATTCCACTCCTTGTGAGAGAAATCATTTGATCCTCAATTGTTTATCTTACCTGAGCTTCACATATGGATGTTTGGTTACTCATGTGGTTCTTTCAAATCCACCCCCAATTTGCATGTGCAGCCAATCTGGTGAAGTTCCCCGGGGATAGTCTCGGGCAACTTGTGAACCGAACGCTATGGTAGATGCTGCATCAAATGTCTGTGCAGGAAACTGTACAAAAAAAAGTGGAGAAATGGTTTCACTTTGTAAAGTTTGAAGAAAAGTTTGCATGCATTTGATGAGAGTTGCACTTGAATCTCTCTGAAATGATGGCAAGAGCATCCACCAAAGTATTAGGGCGTGTTTGGGATGATTAGGCACTTGGAAGGTCATTTTAGTATCCGAATTTGGGTTTGACTTACTTACTTAACTTATATGGATTTTACCAAATGCTTTTTCTGCCTTTAAGAAACTCATTAAAAACTCAACCAAATAACACTTGCCAAACAGGGTATTGAAGTGTTTTTCTGAAGAAAAAACATGGAGTAATTAACTTCACACTTACCTTTTCCGTCTTAAATAAACTTCAAATTTATCTTTTTTCTTATTGAGGAATGAAACATGCAACTCACAAGTTTTTTCTTTCTTCTACACAAACTTCAACTACACACATTTTACTTTACATCATACTCGTATGTCTTTAATTCTGTGAATTCAAACCATAAAATTTACTCATTTTGGAACCGATGAAGTAGTTCCAAACAATGTTTGAAAAGGCGGAACCCAAACCCGCCTCAAGGCGCGCAATAAAACTTTTTCCAGAAAATAACGCCCTGGTGCGAATCCCGATTCATGCAATTAGTCGTTTTACGCAATTTGCTTAAAGGCTTACGCCATTGGGCGTACGCACTGGGGCGCGCAATGAGGCATACGCAACTGCCAAATATAAACAATCAATTTTCATCACCCTAATTGATGAGATTTCCAAGTTGCGATTCATCTCCATCGTGATAGCAGGTGCGATTCATCTTTTGTGCGTCTTTGTTTTCCGTGTTTAGAGCAAGTACGATTTTTTTTTAATTTCCGGCAAATGGTATAATAATGGATGGATGATAGCCGGAGGATTTATAATCTACTATTAACTTATTATCTTGATAAATTTATTTAATTAGTTTTTTGTTATCATTTTATGAAGTACACGAGCATTCAATTTTCCTTTTTTACTGTTGGAGTTTATAATTGGTGTTTTTTTGTCAAGTAGTTGGATGGTGATGCATTTTTTTTAGTTGTTAATCTCTTTTTTTTTATTCTTTTTTTGATAATTGCTGTGCTAATCTTTTGATCCTAATTTCAAGCTGTTAGACACTCATGAACTTTTTTTCAATTTTTCAATTTAAGCTCATCACTTTGTTGTGTTTGCGATGTATTACTTTGACAATATACTTTTTTAATGTTTTTGGATTATTTATGTTATATATTATGTTCTATCTTTAGTTTTAAATTGTTTTGTGGATATTTTTCAATTTAAAAATTGAGGCTAATGCCTCAATACGCCTCGAGGCTTACGCAATACGCCATGAAAAGAAAAAGCCTCGAAACCGCAATACGCAATTTCGAACATTGGTTCCAAATTGTTTTTTAGCAAGTAATATTTCTGATTTCCAGACAAATGCTTCTTTATGAGATAGAAGGGCATTGTTCTCCTCTATAAAACACTTATTCTAAAAAAATTAGTCATCACAAATGCTCTTCACATCTTTTGATTAAAATGCTTATGTATAGAATACTTACATCTTTTGATGGAAACCCTTCAATCCCAGGGCTTATTCTTGAATTAACTGCTTCAAGCTTCATTGACAAAAACTATAAAACAAAAAAAATTTAACAGATGAAAAAAGGAAAGTGTTTGAATAAATAAGGGAAAAGACCTAGACATTAATCTTAAGCATACCTCGACTTGACGTTGTAGAGATTGAATATAATTTATTATCTCATCAAGGACCAGTGCTTTACCAATAACCTGAAAAGTAAACCTCAGATAAGAATGGATATTTTCAATGTGGTAGGATTTTGAAGTATTACTACCATGGGTTGCATGAAAAGACACCAAATATGCCATCTATCGTAGATTTTCATTTTTCACAGATACAATGCTACTTTCTGTTCATCACTCAATTTGTGTGTAACCAGGTCGTGTAATGGGTGTTTATGTGTTTATGCAGCGGCTTCAACATTTAGCTTTAGCATTTACGGAGTTGAAATGTACTGCTAGAAAATTATTCAAAATACTAACGCTAATTGAAAACATTGTTACAAAACAAGGCTTATATTAGAAAAGCATCAACTCAACCTTTTCACTTGTCAGGCTTATGTTGAAGTGTGACACTCATAAGTCATAAGGAACATTGAAATGATTGAAATTTATGTCATGAATCAGCTCACAAGAAATATACTGCAGTCTCATTATGATCCTTAAATACAAAGAGATAAAGACAAAGTTGCAAATACTGCACCCTGTTGCAGCCAGGGACTATATCTTGGAGAATTTTCATTCTTTCGCTGATCTTTTCTCTCCTGGCCTGTGCACCAAAAGAATCCCATCAGGAAATTGAAAAAGAAAGGTGCAAAATCTTAACAGAAGCACACTCCATTATCCCCAAGAATTGCAGAAATGGGATTTGAGAGTCAATCTTAACATGAAAACATTTCAAATCACACTCACAACTACAGAAAAATATATAATCAAAGTTACCCTTTCTGCCAAGCTGTGACTATCAGTGGCTTGACCCCTCCGTGCTCGAACATGAATGTAATCCTTGGGTGGTTCAGAGGGCTTTGCAGGTTGTTCTGCTGGCTTCCCAGAAGACTCTTCTCCATTAGCTTTAGATTCTGGTTTGCAATTTGACCCTACAGTCTTCATTCGCTTGCTATCGCTCTCAATCTGCAATCAAATTTCCAGAAATCAATATTCCCTTAAAAGGAACTTTTATCCTCTTTCTTTGCCATAATCAGTAAAAAGAAGTTCAAAACATTCTTTCTCTTCATGATAGGAAAATTTCTACTAATAATCCATATCCAAAGATAGAATCAGCAGCCCTCTATTGACTTCATCTACTTCTTTGCTTAGCTATCAAATTCATCTATAGGACTAAATAAATAGAGTAAATATCATTGAAGAGTCAGCAGGATTCAGTTTCAATTTCAAAGTAGATTCTATTCAAGAGAAATAATCCTTAAGAACAAAGGCAATCCGTATTTCAGAGCAAGTAGATTAATACAAAAAAAACTACCAAGCCATTGCCGCTGGTCGAAACTCCCTTGGCAGATTCGTCATCCTCGGGCCGCTTCCTGGGTCTGCCGCAGTTCTGATTCCCTGCTATACCATCGAAAAACACCGGACCACTCATCGGCGCGAAGTTCTCTCGACTCAAACTCGCCGGCATCGCGGCGGCGGCATTGATCGCGAACGGCCAGATCTCAGCCAGACTGTACGGCGCACCAGCAGCGGCGTGGAACTCCCTTCCTCCTCCTCCTCCGTTACTCATCGTCACGGCTTGCGGATCCATCCCAGTCCAAATCCAACTCCGGCAGGCAATGAATACTCAGCTCCTCCTCGGAGGCGATGAAACAGGGTTAGCGGGTGATGAGTAGAGATTGGCGGAGTATATGGAATAGAGGGAACAGCCGAACAGGGACAGCGGAGCCGAAGATACGTCCGCTACAGCGTGTGATCCACTCCGCCGTGGGGGTGGTGGGCCAAACCTCCCCCTTTCTGCCGTGAGAGATGCTTGCGGTTACACCTGGCAATGGGGCCGTTTGATATGGGCTCCGGTCCGGTTATTTTTTGGTACATTTTTGTCAAATACTCTCCCGTCCGGAAATATTCTTCCCATTTTCCTTTTTAGTTCGTCCGAAAATATTCTTCCCATTTCTTTTTTTAGTATGCTTTTTAAGGCTAAATATCAATTATACCCTTCTATTTTATCACAAATCTACTTTTTTAATACTTTTTTAATAATAAAAGAATACTTAAAAATTTATGGTAAGTGCATTTTTGAAAATTTTGCATTTTTTTTACTATTTCTTAATAAGCGTGCCAAGTCAACACGGGAAGAAAATTCCCGGACGGAGGGAGTAAAATTTTATTCCTCCAATTTAAGTTTAAAATTAATTTCGATTAAATTCTATAACTAATTCTAAGTAGAGGGTTTGTGTATTTAGTCATATATTATCAAATATTACTTTCGTAGTTTTTTTATGGACATCTTGCCACAAATAATCTTTTTTAATTTTTTTTCATGTTGGTGTTAATTTAAAGACTAAAAGTATAATTTAACATCAACCTTATGTATTCTGATATTGATTAGACAAATAACACAAAAATAATGACATTGAGTATGAGATATGATTTCGATGAAAGGTCACATTTGTAGACTATGATTATAGTAGAAAATAACTACAATTCACAAACGATGCATCAGAATCGATTTTTGGAATTGTGTATGACAAGAAAGATTTATTATCATTGTGAAATTCACGAAAAGGACTATTGATTAATTATTCTAATTGAGGAAACATATCAATAGTGATAAGGACATTGTTAAAGTAGATGTTTGACAGTGTTTAAAAGTGATTAACTTGTGAGTAAATTGATTCACAAAAGTTAAGAGCAGAAGCATCATATACATGCTTCTTCGAAATGGTATGCTATGTATAAAATGATGATAAAGAAAACAAAAACATTATCTTATTAACACTTAAAGCAAAAGTTAAACTCTGTGCACTGCAGTATGAAACACCTCTTAATTAATGAGGGTTAAAAGTGGATAATTGGAGAGAGGGAGACATTAGGAGTTAATGAAGTGGTCCTTTGAAAATGTCAGTTTGCTAATTGCAGGACGAGTAACTGCACATAATGTTGTAACAAGTCACCAAACTTTGGGTTGCTAATCAATAATGATGTCCACCATTTCAAAATTTGCTCAAACTGTCCATTTGAAACTTGAAAGCTGCATAACTCAACATCAATATGCTTGTTTTAAAATTTAAAAAAAAAAAGTTAAAAAAGGCTTGTTTTAATATTGGAAGATTTTTGTTGGATACAATTTTAAAATTTTTGTTTTCGTTAATTAGTGTTCAGATTTCAATCTCCAATCTCTATAATACAGTGACTGACAAATGTTTATGAGTGACAAATTTTTGAATCAATAAAATTTTTTAAAGATGTCACATCTTGTTTTGTATATCTTTTAATATAACTTTTAAATAAGTCGGTTCTTTTTTCACTGGGCAACTGTGCCATTGGCAGTGCCATTGCCTTTTTGGAGTGCCTATGGTGTTTCGTTCACAAAAATAATGAATCTTACTCCGTGACCACTCACCTTAGACAAGCCGGTTTCTAAAATTTCTTGGGCAGAAAAAATGAATCTGGGTATTAAAAGTTAAAATACCTTTTTGTATAAAATTAAAATCAAATAAATGTAACAATAAAGGTTTTGTATATAACGAAAACATGTAAATAAAAAATTAAAGTATTATAGCTGACACTAGTTGAGAATTATGTCAGTAACTTAAAATTATAATGTGTGAATTTAATATTAATTAGTAATAGTCTTGTATAATAGTTTTTATTTTCAAATATGGAAAAAGTATGAGTAATATTTTTTGGGTATGAAGTATGAACTATCAATTTTACAAAAGGAGCAACATAGATACTCTAAATAGACAGTGACACCGCCAGCGGGTAGGCGCCCATTAGCAACAGAACTGTGGAGATTTTTAAACATTCTGTATATAACTTTTATTCATAATATTATACCAATATTTAAATAAAATTATTTCAGGTCTATTTGGAAACTGATTCAACATTTGACGTTAACATTATGAAAAACTATCTTATTAAAAACAATGATATGATAAGTTTTAATGTTTCAAAGTTAATATGTAGTGTTAAAAAGTTTTCAAAATGATAACAGAAAATGATATTTTGAGACCACAGCTCAATGCACATAGAAAAAAGACCAAAATAAGAGTAAAATATTGAAAATATACTAAAAATATAATCTCATGTTTTTATTTTCGACATATGAGTTAAAATTTATTTACAGAATTACAGTGTCAATTAAGACCATCTACATTACCAAATAGTATTGTCAAATGTCAATATGCAGTGTCATATTAGCACAGACAAACTTCTATTTTAAGAATAAAAACATAGAACTCCTCTTTTGGTATTTTTTCTATATTTTCATCAAATTTAAGATGATTTCTTATACACCACATAGCTGCTAAAAAGAAATTATTTATTCTTCATTTTGCTTATTTTAATATGAGTAATGCTAGAGTCACAAACAAATAGTTCACAAAAATTACAAACTTTCCTTTTTAATATTTTCCTAGAAATAAGATGCACTCAAATAATAAAAGATATTTTAAATTAAAATTCACAAAAGCCAAATTTGTGAAGATTGTGAACTATTTGTTTGTGACTCTAGCATTTTTCTTTTAATATACGTAAGATTTAATTGCATAAAGTTTGGATGTAGAAGTGATTTTTTTTTTGGATTAATCATTGCCCATTCAATTTTGCCCAAGTTGATGCGTCCTAATCAATTTGCTTTAACACACTTTAGCTAAGACATAAATGATCACTTTTAAAGTGTCACACCTAAACTCCAATTATGTGGAACATCATTTAGGACGTGGAGTGTGGACCATAAGAATTATAATACTTCTTTCGTCCCTAAAAGGTTGTCATAGTTTTACCTTTTTCAATTAAATTATAATATTTTTTAATTGTGAATTATAAAAAAATATATATTTAGTTATACTATAAATTTAGTAAAATTATATTTATTTTAGAACATAATTTTAAAATATCAAATTTTTATAATATTTAATTATTTTAAATTATATTTAATTCGTGATCAAACTGTGACAATCTTTTAAAAATAGAGGAAATATAAAATTCCCCCAATTTAAAAAGAAATGATATGCACTTACAAAATGCACAACTCTTATACTCGCTATTCTCTTTCCTTCAATTATTTATCTCAGAATATTTATCGACTTTGACTATTTGTAAAATGATAGTCTAGACTACATTGAAATCTTATTTTGACCTAATATTGTATTTTAGAGGGCGGTGCACTGTTTTTAAAAATTTAGCTTCAAGTGAAAATGGTTTTGCTCTGTTTGGCATGCCACATTTTGTTTTTCTTCACGATTGTTTTGTACATAGGTTACCGTTTCAGAGTAGCAGTTACTATGTGTTTTTACTTTGCTACGAAAAATTTCACATTTCACATTTCTTTTTTTATTCTCTCAAATATTAATTAATCAATTTAAAAATAAAATAATTTTAAAAGTCACAAAATAATCCGTAAGAGTTTGTGAATAGTATAAAATTGTGAAACATGTGAAGAATTAGGGAAGAAGGATAAACACGCAAACAAAGGAAGAACTGAAATTCTATCCCATCCCTAAAATTGGACTTTACCTCATTAAGCTATGTTACAAACTAGTGCAAGTATAAAAATGTTTGTTCAATTTGATTTTTTCACATCAAACTAAATCAATTTTGGACATCTACGGTCGGTTTGAGAATAAAGTTTTCTATTAGCATTAGCATTTTAGATATTTCAATAAAAATTTTATAATATAGATTAATTTTATTAACGCCAAACGCTGTCTGTAGATTGTATTTTTAAAAATGTTAATGTAGTAGCATAAAATTGTCTTCTTTAAATTTATCTTTTTGGAACTTTAGAATTTTTATTTATTATACTAATATGCAATTATACAAATTGAAAGAAATTGATAGCTAAAGTTAACTAGTTTTTAATTCTCTTCAATTTCTTCAAGTCTTTTTAATTTATTCTAAGATCCACTCTAAGAAGTCGAGGGTGACAAATGTGGTGTCACTATACCTAAGCATGGATTGTACTCCCTCCGTCCACCTAAGATCTTCCCATTACGCGTTACGAGGCTTGACCGACTTTATTTTTAATTCAATTTAATTGATTATAGGAGTAAAATTTTAAAATAAAATTTATATAGTAATAAATTACATGAAAAGTTTTATAAAACTAGAGGTGACAAGACTATATTATTTTATGAAATGACTAGTAAAAATGAGCAAATAAAGTGAGTGAAGTTTGACCATGTGAATAGTAATTGGAAAGATCTATGGTGGATAGAGGGAGTAATATGTAAGAGTAATGCTTACATGATCCTAATATTTACTAACATTTAAAATATAGATATTTTTAAATTTTTTATAAGCTTTTCATGTGGATATTTTCTATTTTGCTAAAGATTTATTTCTTTTATGCTATACATACATTAAGGTCAACCAAATAGGTATCAACCTCGTATGTACGAAAGAATTTGCCAATTAGTAAATGGTAAAAGTAAAGACTAAATAGTATAATATCTCAAGAATTAAGCTATTTGGACTCCAAAAATTATGTACTTCACTTTATACTCCAAAGATATGTACTAATATTGTATACTAATGTAATTGTTTATAATGATACAAAATATTAGTATAATTTTTTTAATACATTAGTATTTTATGTTAGTGGGAAAGGTGAGAATTAAATGGATTGTTTATCCTAAGATATTGATAAAGTACGAATCTGGAACTGAATTTAGGATCGAACCACTGGGAAATTTTGCGGGTAAAAAAATGGAGCTTCTCAAACTCTCACAATTCAAGCTCCAGCTTCATGCCCTAATTTCCGAAGCTCAAGAACTCAACGTAAATCAAATAATATTCACCCCAATCTTCTTCATTCTCTCCAGTCCTGAAAATCTAATTCTTTTTTTTTTGTTTCTCTTTGAAACTTCGCAGGAAAGAGAGCGCCATGCTTCAGAGCAGCTCCAACTCATGGTCCAGGTTCATCTATATCAACTCTAATTTGTCTCTATATAATATGTCTGAGTGAATGCCTTACAAGTGTTGAAAATTGGTATGTTTCAGAAGCAAAAGCAGAATGAGGAAGAATTCAAAAGGAAATTGGCTGGAGTTAGCATGGAATTGTGTATGTCGAATGAGCTGAGACAGAAGCTGGATAGAATGGTGATTGCAGATTAAGTGTTTTTCAAAATGTCTCTTTCGATGATTTTCAAAACAAGCACCGCGAATGGATTAAACTGCATCATTACTTTGAAATTGAAATGATATGAATTAAGTGTATGGGAAGTGTGGGTTGATGATTTCTGTCATCGGATGGCAGGTGAGATGTCTACAAAATGACAATGATTTGCTTGAGAGCCAGCAGAAAGAACTGAAGGGAACCATAAACAACATTCTGGAATCAAGGGAAAGTTTCATCAAGGCCTATGAGGTTCATTTGTTTGATTTGACAACAATGTTTTCGTTTTAACCGATTCGCTTTTTTCAGTTGAGAATTGTATCATGTTGTGCGTTGTCTTGATTTGACTTGTATCAGATTTCTCGTTCTTCAATCCTGACATTAAATTTGCAGGATTCTACATGTGAAATGAGACGGGCTATTGAAGCCAGAGATAGAAAAATTGATATCCTCTCTGAAAAGATAAAAGCTCATTCCATGTGGTTTGCTTCAATTGAAAAGGAGGCTTCCTCCATCAAGCAAGTAGTTGATGATACACGCGGTGCTCTAAGTGCAAGAGAGGAAGTAGGCATGTAGATTTTGTGAGTATTGGAAGAAATTTCTTGGATGAATGAGGTTTATATGTGGGACTGTAGATCATACCAACAAAAAAACATCACATGTTTTGTAAGGCCGGGGACTCAAATCAAAGACTAAAATGTCTGACCATTTTTTCCGACTTATAGAGTAACAGAAAGCAAGACGATAAATAACACTTTTTGATGGTTCATTTCTTGTATTCTTTTTGTCACTCATGCTATAGCCCCACATATAGATCCACTCAATCCAAACATCTGTTGTTACTGATTGGTTTTGTTTTGCCTCCCAATTTCTTCTTCTCTATCCCCTCCAAATTTCTATTGCCTTTTCCAGTTGCGGAGCTAAGGAGTAAAATTGATGAGGTCTCAGCATTTGAGAAACTATTTGTAGGTACTTTTCCGCCTCCATGTACTTATTGAATCTTGGTCACATTCTTATGTCATTATCCAATATCTAATTGTTTGTCTAGGTAACATGTTTGTTATGATGGTTCTCCAACATTTTAGTGTAACGAACACATGGATTTTTTAAAGTATTGTGCTGTGCATGATATCTGCAAGTCATATCGTTTATATTTGTTATTCTCTTCGTAGAAAAAATAAATAACCTGGAAAGAGAATTGAGGAACAAGGAACTCGAGCTAAGGAAAAGAGACCAAACTATTGTAAGTCTGGAGTGGCAACTTGAGGCAGCAAATACTAAAAGGGATTTTGAACCAAAGATCGAGCAGATATCCATACAAGCAAACCTTCATTTTGATTCTTTCAACTTTGAATAATGAACTTTTTTATAATCAATAACAAACTTTTTAATGCCGCTTCAAATGATGTCTTTTGTCTTAACTAATCACACCTCCAGCAAGATCTGTCAGTGAAGGAACTAATTATACAGACCCTAATGTCAGAGAACACGGTATGAGGATTGATGTGGTGTTTGTTTTTCATCCTGTGACCGTGTAATGCCATATTTCAACTAACCAATGTTTCTCGATACTTGATTGTTAGGAATTACATTTTGAAGTGGCCACTTTTGGCGTGGTCATGAAGAAGATCCAAGATGCTGTCACAAATATGAATGAAGAGGTTAGATGCTTATTTTCCTGAAAAAAGCTCCAGCTGGAGCATGAAGTGAAGTGCTTGGTGATCTAGCTTTATACATTTATTTTTTATTCTTTTTTTTTTTGAAATTGTGAATGGCAACATATATTACTTTTATCAGTTTCAGTAACTTGAATGTGAAAGGACTGCTACTTATTTTTTAATACTATATACTTTTCACTCCTTAAGCAGTAAACTTATACTCATTTAGTTTGGTAAAACCATTAGCCTAGTGATCTATGCAATCATATGGTCATTTCTCATCAATAGATTGCGTTGTGTGAAAAAACCTCTTTGAGCTAATGCTTCATGTTCATTTTTTTTACTAATTTGGAATTTTTTTTATATTATTATTCCAGGACAGAAAGATTTTCACTACTGTATTTGAGCATCAGGAGAGTGCAACTACTAGAAAGGATGAAGAAGATGAACATGTAACTATTAGAAGGGTGGAAGAAGCTTCAAGGTATTTTCCATCTGTCCCAAAAAATAGCCAATTTGTTATACAGAGTTTCATGTTACAAGCACAGGTCAACAGTGAAGAGGGGATGTACGGAACTCTATTCTAACAATTTTTAGTATCCTTTTGATATTTAGTAATATTCGAGGCTCGATGATAGAATATGAAGCGCAAAACAAAAAGGAAAATTTTCAAGACAAGTCATTGGTTATTGATGAGGAAACTACAAGTAAGTTGGTTCATTAGACTTTTAATTTCTTATCAATCTATCTCCTGGCTATGTCGCCTTATTTTTGTAGAAGAAACTCATTCATCTCCTACATTTCATGGATTCTTTATCTGGCATAAATGCTTATTTGTAATTTGTAGTGTCTCATATGTCATAATTTCTCAGAAGCTACAGTTCCTTCTTCATGTCTTTGGTATGCATTAGGTTCTGCCTGGATACCGGAAAATGCCATGGAAAGGAAAAAAAATAGGATGGAAGTTATTTTCTTACGTTTTCCTTTGTATTTTATTTTCCAACTATTTCCCATGACCTAGTTGACCCTTCAGTTCAAGTTAAAAACTATGGTATTAAATACACTCCAGTTCGACAATCAATGGTTTCTTACCTTTTGTTAATGCAGTTTCACCAGAACCTGATGTAGGTTTAAGAAACAACTCCTCGGAGAAGGATGGAGTTCCGGGTGAATTAAAGGTAAGTAGATATCGATACTACTTCCTCCCTCCCAAAAAAACTTTACCCACTTTCTCTTTTTGGACGTCCCGAAAAACACTTCCCATTTTTATTTCATTCCTAGTAATGAACATGTGGCTGACAAGATTCTTCTCATCTACACAACTTATAAATGGGTAAAATTTTTTGGGACAAAGGGATCACATTTATATAACAAGCTCCTGCAAACTGATTATGTGTGGGAAAACTCTGCAGTCTGGTTCTCTCCCCTCTGATTCAGGCATTCAGCTCGAATAGGATTGAAAAACTATGTGCAACAAGGCACACAAGAGCTTGATGGAAATGGCATTCAGCTCACCAAGAAGAACCAGAGTTGGGCTTCTACTAAACAATTTACCAGATAAGAAGGTTAACTTTAGTATTACTTCCATGAAACTTTATTCTATTCCATTATATAATGAACATGTCTCTGTAGGATTATGGAACTTACACAACTCTCTAATTATGAAATATCATTGAAATGAAACAAGTGGGCTCACATTACCATCATTGGTTCATCGGTCCGCTGTCCAACCGCGGTATCAGCAGTTTTCACGTACTCTTGATCTTTAATGCAACATTTTAAGTAACTATCATTTTGACTATCATTTTAGTTGCCGCAAACGTGAAATTGTGACCATCCCCCGTGCAATTAAAAGTACCCATTTTAATTTTCACGTTTTAGAGTGCAATGCTTTGACCAAGTATCTCTGTCCCACAATGAAGTTTTTTGTTTGAATTTCATAGTTTTGAATGAAACACTTTGACTAATTGTAACTACTCTCACACTTATCTACAAGTGTATTTCGTCTCAACTTTATTCGGAGAATTTGGTACTTCTTCCAAATTTTTTCTTTAGTAAATAAGGCAAACAGACAATTTATTTCGGACATCCTAAAATTGAATATTGGATAACTAAAACCAAAGGGATTATCTACTACCTCTGTCCCACATTTAAACAAATTCAAAATGAGTGTTAATGTTTTGAATAAAATTTTAACGGTGCAGAATATTTTGAAAATGCTAATACTAAACGTTGCTCGTAGATAGCATTTTCAAAACGCTAACATTAATCTTTAACGTTATTCCTAAACAATCCTGAAATGAAAATATGTGGGAAAAAGGCTTACTAATCATGCTTTTTTTAATTGGTTGGTCTATTGACTCTATTTGCCTTCATATAGTTGGCCAAATTATTTTGGATTAGGTGGTGTTGTTGCAAATATTTATACTCCAATAAACATCATCCAAGTATAATTAAATTTGATGTTTTGGATTATGTGAAGTTAATGCATATGTTTTTAAAGATATCTTAATGATTTGGTCAGCTATGTTTTTTAAGATATGTTGTTAAGGATCTTAAATTAGACTTGTATATGACCAAAGTACAAAGAACAATAAATACTCGGCATAACTTTTGTTGTTTTCACCCTCTTACAGCCATTAGCCAAACAGGGTTCTAAATAAACGTTAGACGCGACATCATGAACCTAAACTAGCCTCGGGTGGGGCCGTGCCAACATGCTCTAGGCTCGGCCCCACCCCTTCGGGCACAATGGCATTGCTAGAATTTGAGACCCTCAAAACGCCGCTCCCCCTAGCTCGACTCTTGATCCGCCTTAGCTCAAGGGCGACCTCTCTGGCGTCGGGGCGGTCGTCCTTGTCGGAAGCCACGCACCGGAACGCAAGCTCCGCCACCGCACCAACACCATCCACGACCTCCCCATCGACAAACAAGGCCGGGTCCACCACTTGGTGCAACGCCCCGGTTTGAATCCTCGGGACCACCATGTCCACCAATGTCATCTCTCGCTTTTCCCTCTTTTCGTCCACCGCTCGCAGTCCCGTTATCAGCTCTAATAACACCACCCCGAAGCTATAGATGTCGCTCTTCTCGTTCAGCCGAAACGACCTGTAGTAATCGGGATCCAGGTACCCGGGCGTCCCCTGAGGGCCCGTCCAAACATCCCCGGAGGACGACTGGATCAAAAGTCGGGACAACCCGAAGTCCCCGACTTTCACCCTCATATCTTTCTCCACGAAAACGTTGGACGACGTGATGTCCCTATGAACTACCGGCGGGACCACGGAGAAGTGAAGGTACTCGATGGCCACGGCTACCTGCATTGCGATATCCACTCTCACGCTCCAACTCAACCTCGGTCCTCTCCGACACGAACCTTTCGTGCCGTGAAGGTGATCGGAGAGAGTGCCGTTCGGGACGTAGTCGTATACTAGAAGAAGTCCCCGAGGATCGCTACAATACCCGTGGATCTTCACGAGATTCGGGTGATTGATCGAAGATAAGATTAGGATCTCGTTGCAAAACGATTTCTTCGATAGCCCTTCGTTGAGATGCCTGTGAAGATGTTTCACGGCGACGACCCGGCCGTCGCGGAGGTGTCCCAAGTAGACGGATCCGAACCCGCCGTCACCAATCTTTCGGGTCGGGCCGAAGTGTCCGGTGGATGATTCGAGTTCTTCGTAGGTGAACTCCGGCGGGAGAAGAGTGGCGGCGCGGTGGCGGCGGAGGTAGACGGCGGTGGGTTCGTCTTTGGAGTCCGATCCTCCTCTCTTTCTTGACCGGAAAATCAGAGCTCCAGTGGCGAAAGCAATCATACAGCACACAAACAGAAACCCTAGGCTCAGCATTGAGATTCTTCTAGGGGTCCGCTCGCGGATTTGCGGATGCCCGGCGGAGGTCGGCGGTCTGAAACAGAGGAAGGGTTTCATGGGGTGAGAAGAATTGAATCCGCAGACTCCATTGCTGGATCTGCAAGCTCTGCAGCCGGAGAAATAAGAGTCGTTGCGGTGGTTTTCATCCCACTCCACCTCAATCCCCATTTCCAAGTACCGGTCGAGGAGCTCGAAGATGCCGCCGGTGCACCCCTGCAGATGGTTCCGGCGGCGCGTGGATCCACATCCGCCGACCAGTCGAGAAGGGTTTTCGAATAGCCCGCATTCCCACCGGCAGCTGCGGCAATCTAGGAGAACCGGCGGCGGGCAGGGGCGGAGAACCGACAGACGGGAGCACGAAGAGTCAGAAACCCGAAACGGCGACCCGGAGAGATTAACAAATCTCTGAGGGATCGAGCAGTTGCTGTGACGCGGCGGCGGAGACGGCGGCGAAACGGGGGAGATCAGGAGCGAGCTGGAGCCGTAGCGGAGGAGAGAAAAAGAGATATTGTTGATGGAGATGAGGGCTAGCGGAGAGGAGCACCGAATCTGGAACGAAGGGTGGCCGCAGCCGGGGAAGGCGGAGAAGGGGTAAGGAGGGGCGGAGATGAACGGCGGGCAAGAGGGGAGCCGGGAAGAGGAAGACGGCGGCGGAGAGCAGTCGTAAGCTATTGCCGTGACATGGAAAAACACGAGGATGACGGCGGCGAGAGGTGGCAGCGGCATGGCGGGACTGGAGCAGGAAAGAATTACCCTATGAAACTTGGGAATTGAATTGAATGTGTTCAGAGCCAGAGCTTACATTCATTCATTCATCCAAATATCCAATTCATTATTTGGATTCAAAGAGATGAAGAAGAAAGATGAAAGAAGAATGAGATTTGGTATAGAGTGTTTGACTAGATTCATGGGGGAGATGCTTACCTTAGACATGAGATGCGGGGATATAAGTGACAGGTCACGTGAAGATGATGGGACGAGCACACTGACAAAATACTACACCTAAAAAAACTCTATGAATTGGGTGATTATGACAAAGCGGGTGGCCGGTTCCGTAACATTGGTGGGATGACCGGAGTTGCTTCAGTGCCTCGTTCGTAAAATTGGCAGTTCCTATCCCCTCTAACTCTCTGGTAAACTCCCACCCCACTCCAACCCGAACACGCTCCCACCCCTTTCAATTGCATCCCCCTAGTTGATTTTGATTTTAGAGTCAAAATTTGACTGCAAAGTCAAAATCAACTTGGAACGTGCAATTGAAGGGGGTGGGGGGCGTGTTCGGGTCGGGGCGAGATGGAGAGGTTTACCGGAGGTTAGGGAGGATAGGAAGCGTCAACTTTACGAACGGGACACCGGAGCACCCCCGGGTCATCCATGACATTGGTTTCCAATGTCATGGAAACCAATGTCATGGGAACCAAGGTGGAATTTATATGTTATTTAATCACTTTATTATTTAAAAAGTAAACTTAAAAACAGATAGCTTATTAAATTAAAATATAAAAATTAAAGAAATTTGACATTTGATTTTTTTGTGAACTACATTGGTTGCATTTGACACATTTGACGCGCACACACACACACACAATATATCAATTTTATTGATTGCATTTGAAAATTGCATTCATTTAAAATTTGGATCATTTTTATGATTTACAAATAATTATTAAAGTTGAATCACACATTATGTTATTTCTATCTAAATATTTGTGACAATCCTACATATGAAATGAATTTTAAAACTTTAATACTAAAATTATTTTTAAATTTGGGTAGAAACTAAAAATTAATAGATGATAGAAATCCACAAGTGGAGCAAATATTTATACATGCAAGAAGGGATTTGAAAAGGAAATAGACGTGAAAAAATTTTCATTATAAATAATGACATTATGTATGGTAGTTAATAATAAATGTGCAATAACATTTACGTTCCTAACAGCTTTTGGTTACCTTTTATGTTTTACACTAACTATTATAATTCTTCATTTAACATTTATTTATTTACTATTTTATTTGAATAATGTTAGAGTTACAAATAAATCGTTCATAAAAAACACAAACTAATGAGATGCCCTCAAAGACTCTGAGTCCTTAAATCTTCTTGTCAATGGGCCTGAAAGAAGCAATAATTGCAGTTTCAACATGCACCCAAGTTCGATTCCGGTGTTACAGGCGGTGGGTGTTGTATAGTTGGTAAATGTAGATCTGAGTTCGATCCTTGACAAGTGTACTGGGAGACAACTATGCTAAACATATGACGTCTGCAAGTACTAGCTGCATGTTTCATTTCTTGTCACCGATATGTAATTAAAGTCCAATTTATCTGCTTAACATAGGACCTCTGCAAGTACGGTCTTTGAGATTTAATACCCTAAACTGTAGTTATATTTGTCGTCTTCTATATTTAAAATTATTTTACAATCACTATGATATTGTTTTTTTTACTTTATAATTCTTAAAAAGGTAAAGGATTGGCCATGTAATATTAATTTTTTTTTTTCAAATACTCATTAAATATCACAATATAATACTTCCTCCGGTCACTAGATTAAATTCTTTTCTATTTACTATTCAAAGGTGCTCAATAATTTTTGTTTGTTTGTGTTTTTTATTTGTCATTTGATAAATTAAAAAATTTTTGTCGCCACGTGTTTTGTAAAACTTTTGATGTGATTTTTAAATATGTAAGTTTACTTTTTATTTTAATATCAATTTGTAAATAAAATTATTTAAAAAAAGGTTTTGCACGTATATAAGAACAAAACAGGAAGAGTTCTGATAAGAGAGACTTCCATTCATCAAACCCCTTTACGATTACTATTCAAGGGTGTTCAATAGCTTTATTTGCGTGTATTTTTTATTAGTCATTTGATAAAATAAAATATTTTTGCCGCCACTTATTTTGTAAAAATGCGCATCTCTTTCTAATAATACCATATTGTGTGCTTCACATTAACTAAATATGTAGAAAACAGGTTTAGCTTAGGCTTGGAGACAAAAAATACCTTTAACAGAAGAAAGCATCAAGCATCTCACTTGAGACTTGAGGGCAAAACAGGAATATCTGCTAAGAAACAACTTACAGAATCAGTGACAGTTTAGAACAAAACATTTGTTGCAATCTTCTGCATCGCCTTTGTTACCGTAGGGTCTCCAGTTTGGAGGGCAAGAAGGTCATTCATCACGGACAATGTACGGCCATCAGGAGACACGCCCTTACCAGCCATTTCATCCAATAGCGAATTCGCCTCTTCCAATTTATTGTCCCTCACAAATTCTTGCAAGATGATAGTATAAGTGACAGTACCCGGTAAGCAATCTGTCTCACCCATTCTCCTTAACAAGTCTAGGGCTGCATCCGTTTTCCCCTCCCGGCACAGCCCATTTATCATTGCATTGTATGTGTATGCGTTTACGTGTTGACCTCTAGAGATGAGTTTGCTGAACACGCCGCGTGCAATATTGAGTAGCCCAATCTTGCACAACCCATCTATCATGATGCTACCAAAGACATGAGAACCGTTCTTGTCAGTGTCTAACTGACTATAAACTAGCATTGCCTCTTCAATGCGTAAGGCACCACACAAGCCACTCAGTAAGACACAATGTGTGTGAAAGTCTGGTTTGTGTGCAGAGCGTTGCATACCATGAAAAAGATTTAAAGCATCGGCACATCTGCCCACCAGAAACAGCCCTTGCAAGATCATGGTGTAAGTGACAGCATCGGGATAAAGCCCTTTCTGAGGCATTTCATGAAAAAGACGCATTGCCTTGTCCATTGCTTTTCTTCTGCAATACCCATTGATTAATGTGTTATAGTGCACAAGATTGGGTTGAGGGCCTTTGTCTGCCATCTGACCAAGAACTCTCTCAGCGTCGTCCATCTGCCCTTGCAAACAATACCCTTCAATCAAAGTGCTGTATGTGATCGCATCAGGGTAAACGTTTCTTTGAGTCATGAGTTCAATAACACATTCTGCTTCTCTCAGCTTCCCCTCCTTGCAAAATGCATACGCCATTATATTGAAGCAAAAAACATCTGGATACACATTATGATGCGCCATCTCGTTTATCAACTTTTTAACATCCTCCCATCGGCAAGAATTGCAAAGGCCTTGAATCAATGAACTATACGTGACGACGTCCGGGAAAACCCCTCTTTTTGTCATCTCAGAGAGAATGTCAAGAGCCGGATCCACCATCCCATCTTTGCACAGAGAATCAATCACAGTGGTATATGCTATCTTATCAGGCTGAGGCCCCTCCTTTTGCATTAGTATGAGCAAATCAAGAGCAGTTTGAGTATTGCCTGCCTTGCAAAGCCCATTCATGAGAATATTATAAGTGAAATTATCAACTCGGCATATTTCCTCCCTAACCAGCTTCTTGAATAGCTCTACAGCCTGTACAACCTTGTTGTTTTTGCAGAGACCCTTGATCAGAATGTTGAACGTGATCACATCGAACTCCATTCCACACTTAAATATCATGCCAAGAACACAAAACCCGCCATCCGATGGGTTTGAGCAGCAGTATGCACCCATCAGAATGTTGGTGGTACAATCGTTTACAGGTATGCCCCTAAGGCGCATTTCTTGACAGAAGTAAAGAACTAAATAATAACGCTTCATTTTCGAAACTTTATTTAACAGTGTATTGAAATGAAACGTGGAGGGCAATGGCCGGGCGCTAACCATTTGGTGGAACAATTCCACGGCCTGATCCGCATCGTTTACTTCATTGAGACCGTTTCTGGGCTGGGGTAGGTTGGAAGAAGAAGAAGAAGCAGGAAAATTTTCAGGGAGGGAGGGTAATGAACGCGGTGAGGACGATGAAGAAGAAGAGAAGAAAAAGGAGGAAGAAGTACCCGTTGCAGATTTCATTCTCGGAGTGATAAATCTTCTTCTGGACCTGATGTGATTGAAGATGGAGATTGAGGAAGACGATATGCTTCTCTTTGCTTCCATTTTCCGCCACTGACATGCTCAAAGATTCATGCTTTGAGGGAAATTTGGGGCGAGCTTGATCAATCAACCCCATGGAAATTTAGGGCAAGCTTGATTTGGGTTAGAGGGATGGTTAACTGTGAAGGAATGTTTGGGTTCGACTCGGGACTAGGAGTGCTAGTCTTAGGTTGTTTTGGGATTCTAAAGTTCTATTTTGAAAAAAAATGGAAAGGAATTGCAAAATGTTAAAAGAAATAATGTGTTAAAAAATTATTTAATTAAATTATTATCTAAATGAATGTGTGAAAAAATTAATTTTGGAAAAAAAGAAAACATCTTTTTAGAAATTTGAAGTGGCGTGCTATAAATTTATATATATAAAGTTAGTAAGGAGTATATATTTATCATATCTAAATAATATTATTAAGTCTTTGTTGAAAAAATTAGAAAGAATTAAAAAAATTAAACAAAGTTTTAAAATGGTAAAAGTTAATTTTTCTAATCCAGAAAAATATGTTTTAAGTAGCTCTATTTTTTAAAATAGAATTTTAAAGTTGGAGTTTGCAAAAACGAAATAGAGTTGCAAAAAAATGAAAAATACCAAGAATTAAAAATATTGTTAAAAAAACAGTACTCAAAAATTTATTTAATTAAATGATCACACTCAAATAAATAAGTAGGAAAATTAATTTTAGAGTAATTTACCTAAATAGGACTAAAACATATTGACTTTCCTAATATAGGACCATATGTTTTTATTTCTCAATGTAGGACTTTTGGTAATTATCAAGTAGTCATTATTCAAGTAAATGTCTATTATTACTGGACATTATTTCTCTCACAAGGTCATTATTAAGTCCTATTTAGAGAATAAAAAAGTTTAAGTCTTACATTAGAAAAGTCATTATGTTTTAGTCTTATTTAGTTCAAATTTCACTTAATTTTACATAACAAAAAAATATCATTCGTCTCTGTTTAAGGTGAAATGTTACATTTATGCTGCTAAATTCATCCTAAAATTGAAATCAAATCTTTGCTGCTTCCCCTGGATTCCCTTCCTCCTGCGAAGCATGTTTGAGAGCTTCTCAATAGCGGGAAATGGAATTTAAGAGAAGTGCCCTTTCTTCTTCATTCTCCTTCTTCAACAAATTCAGCCGGAGAAGAATATACTCTGTTGCTCCTTCTTCGTCCTCTTCCCTGCGTTCATTTCACTCCCCCCCTGCACTTGTTTCTTCTTCACATCGAATCCGCCTTCATTCTTCTAGATATGATTTCGATTCAGTACATGATTTAGACCACGCCCACGAACTGTTCGATCAAATGCTTCGCGCCCGACCCTTTCCTTCCATCGTCCAGTTCACCAAGCTGCTTAGCAGAGTTGTGAAGATCAAACATTATACGGCTGCTGTTTGCTTCTTCAAAGAACTGCGCGTCCGCGGTGTCCCCGTGGACGCCCATTCCTTAACCATTCTGATTGAGGCCTTCTGCCTCTCGAATCGGGTGGGGTACGGGTTTTGTGTTCTTGGGATGTTCTTCAAGTGTGGAATTGATATCGATGCGGTGGCATCCAACACCCTGATCAAGGGTCTTTGTCTGGGTAATAACATTGTTGAGGCCGTAGGGCTATTCAAGAAGTTGGTTAGGGAAGAGTTGTGTGAATTTTACGATATCACTTATAATGTTCTTATGAATGGGCTTTGCAAGGCAGGTAATACTCAAACTGCTCTAAATGTACTCGTAGTGATGCAAAAGGAGGGGCCTGAGCCTGATCACGTAGCATATAACACTGTTATTAATTCTCTATGCAAAGATGGATTGGTAGATCATGCTCTTGACCTTCTCTCTCAGATGACAGAAAGAGGGGTTTCCCCAAACATCATCACATACACTTCATTGATTCAAGGGCTCTGCAGTTTTTGCCGATGGAGAGACGTTACGAAGTTGATGAATGAGATGGTGCAGCATAATGTGTATCCAAATGTGTGTACGTTCAGTATATTAGTGGATGCCTTTTGCAAGGAGGGGAAGCTGAAAGACGCCGAAGCTGTAATTCAAATCATGATTCAGCGAAACGTGTATCCGAATGTGGTAACTTACAATGCTTTGATTGAGGGGTATTGTTTGCAAGGGCGGATGGATGATGCTCGGAGAGCTCTTGGTCGGATGATAGACAAAGGCCTTCATCCTGATCCTACGAGCTATAACACGATAATTAATGGATATTGCAGAAGAAAAGAAATGGATGAGGCCTTCCATCTTTTTCATGAAATGCATCAGAAAGGGCTCTATCCTGATGCTGTTACATACACAATAATGTTGCAAGGGCTGTTTCTGGCGGCCCGATGTGATGATGCTCTAAATCTTTTCCAGGATATGCAACTTTCTGGAAATGCACCCAATTTTCACACTTATTGTGTCTTACTTACCGGTTTGTGCGAGAACAGACGTATTGAAGAGGCAATGTCAGTCTATAGTAAGTTAGTCAGTAACGGGAAAGGTTCTCATGCTTTTGGTAGCATCATGATAGATGCGTTGTGCAAGATGGGGCTACTCAATATCGCACGTGGCGTATTCAGTAACCTCATCTTTAAAGGTCAAGACGTAAATGCGTATACGTACAATGCAATGATAAATGGACTCTGTAGAGAGGGGCTAACAGAAGCAGCCTTAGGCTTGTTAAGGATAATGGGCGAGGGTGGTTGCTCCTCACCGAATACCATCACTTACACGGTTATTTTGCAAGAATTTGTTAGAGCTAAGAAATGGGATGAGGCAAAACTGCTCTTGGATGAAATGGCTGGGAAGGGCATTTCTCCCGATGGTCGCATGTTGTCCTTGATGAATGACTTGCTTGCCCTTGGAACCGGAGATGATGCAATTGTGAAGGTAATCCAGAAATTTGCTGCGTAACTTTTAAACGTTCATGCAAAAAGGCGATTTTTTTTAGTACTAATGACTCGATTATTATAATGTAGTATCTAGCTGTTGATACAAATTTTATCAAATGATAGGTTGAAGCTTGTAGACAGATATTGCTTGTTGATGGGATCTAACATGATGTGATTAACAAATTCTATTAGTTTGTAACTTAAGATTTTTACTTTTAACAAATGGGTTCAATAATATGCTATTTTGCTCTGAGATATACTTTCATCTGTTAAGTATCAAAGCTGTTAACCATATGTCACAGATCCTATTGTTCACCAAATGCCATCAAAGTAAACAAAAGTACAAAACTGAGTCTTTGATGCAAAATTCACTCTGAAATTTGTGATTTTAAGGTATAAGAGTTGCCCAAACTCCAGAAGTATTAGATCTTCTAATAAGAGGTGGTGAAAACAATTATGTGAGAATTTGATTCAAAACAAATAGTATCATATCTTAAGTATTGTGTTAAAAGTATGTAAAATTAAGTGTATTTTGGGTTCCTGTTTGTGCTAAAAAAAGGTGTATTTTAGGCTATCATTTGTGATTATGAATTGTTTTTCTTAATAAAAAAATCTGCACGAAAATGCAACTTAGTTATAAATGTGGCTTCTTGGTGGAATAACATGCTCCTAGATAGACCCGGCGAATTGGTCGGTTAGGTCGGGTTCGAGTTGATAACTACTCCGTACATGTTTATGTACATGTTTATGATCCAGTGTCATCGGGTTCGTGTTAATCCAACGGGTTCTAAAGTTTATTTTTAGACTACTAATATCCATACTAGCACTTGCATTTTGTCTTGAAAATTAATAAAATATCAAAATACTTATATTATTCTTCTAGATGTATGATGAAGATTGATCTTCATAAAGCCTATGATTCTATTTCCTGGAAAGCTATCTTGGATATTCTTTTGTATCTTAAATTCCCCTCTAAGTTCATCAAGTGGATTGAATACTGCATCACCACGCCTTCTTATTCAATCAAGATCAATGGTTCTATACATGGCTTCTTTCATGGAGCAAAGGGTATTCAATCAAGATCCTATCTCCCCACTTCTTTTTGTCATTGTTATGGAATACCTTACAAGAACCTTTCTCTATTTTGCTGAAAGAAGGCCATTCAGGTTCCATCCTATGTGCTCAAATCTTAAGGTTATTAACCTTAACTTTGCAGATGATCTAATAGTTGCTTGCAGAGCTGATGAACAATCAGTGAATTGTATTATGGAATGTTTGCACCACTTCCAGGAGACTACAGGTTTGAAAATTAACCATAGCAAATCTCAGATCACCTTTGGAGGAGGAGACCCATTGATCCACCAGGAGATTCTTAGCATAACTGGTATGAACCAAGGGAGATTACCTTTTACATATCTTGGTGCACCCATTTCAGCTGGGAGACTGAGCAAATATGACTGTAAAGGGCTTGTGGACAAAATCACTAGCCAAATCACAACCTGGGGGAGTAAGCACATCTCTTATGCAGGAAGAATTAAATTGATTAACTCTGTTCTCTTTGGCATTATCAGCTTCTGGTCCAGAATCTTTATTCTTCCTAAAGAAGTCATTTACAAGATCAATAGTATCGGTAGAAACTTCCTTTGGAATGGAAGTCATGAATATAAGAAAGTCCTCCCTGTCAAGTGGAATGATATTTGTCTTCCCACTCACAAAGGTGGTTTGGGGATCAAAAATATTGTCTGGTGGAATAAGGCGTGTATTATGAATTTAAACTGGGATTTGGCAGCAAAAAAGACCTTTTATGGGTCAAATGGGTTCACTCGAGATACATTAAGGACTGTGACTTCTGGGACTTCATCCCCAAACCTGACAGCCCTTATTACTGGAAGAAAATGCTGAGCACCAGAGGGGATTTCTCTGGGATGAATGTGAATAAAGGTTACACAGGGTTACACATGGCTGCAGGGTGATCTACCTAAACCAGATTGGGTGGACCTGGTTTGGAACAAAGCTTCACACCCGAGACACCAATTTACCATGTGGATGATCCAAAAGAAGAGATTGATGACTAAAGACAGGTTGAAGAAATTCTTGGATATTAATGACATGTGCTGCCTTTGCAATCAAAAGGAAGAGAATATCCAACATCTCTTTTGGGAATGCAAGAAGACAGAGGCTACCCGGAAGAAGGTCTTCAATTGGGTAAACTTTAACTGTAAAGCTCATTCTATTGATGAACTGTGGAGTGAGCTGAAGATGGTGAAGCCAAAGAAGAAAAGGATTCTTACCATTGCAGGGTGGGCAGCCTACTGCTACTTCACGTGGCAAACCAGGAATTTTATTTTGCATGGGTAGAAAAGTGAGGATGAAATGATGCTGAAAAATATTAGATTTTATCTTTGCTCTTATTGTAATACAAAGATCGGTAGCATGAAATAGGCTTGCCTTAACTCTGCTGTATAATACTCTTTTTTTGGAGGAATATAAGTGTACATTTTGTTCAAAAAAAAAATACTTATATTAAAGTTCTTAGAATATTTTATTTTAAACTTTTAATTATTTTTTAGATATGCTTAATAATATTATGAATAATATGAAAACTTAAATATGAACCACTTTTGAAAAAATGTAAGATGTTTATGTGATATCATTTAAAAATGTTTGAAATATAAGTTTATTTACTAAAAATGAATACTTCGTGATAAAAAATTAGAACACGAATTTATTTTTAATATATTAATTTTCATACTATAGTACATGATTTTAAAAAACTAACATTAGCAGGTGGTCGGGTTTGGGTTTGGAAAGGTTTGACGGGTCATTTCGAGTTCGGTCAATAAAACTTTTGTCTAAAAAAATACAGTTTAATTTAGTGTTTTCAGGCCAATTCTAAAGTCAAAAAATAGTCAATTTTTGTCATGTCTACTCGTAGAGCCACATATTTCTTCCCTCTATACAAAAGTGTGAACTTTATTGGATGATAATCTAAAAGAAAGAAAAATTACTTTAATTTAAAAGGAATGAATTATTTACAAATCTAAAATAAATCTAAAACTCGTGTAAAAGTATAATTTCCTTCTTTTGTTATATCAAAATCACAATTTCCGATATTGGTATTATCTTTTTAATAGTTTATATTTAAAAATTTATCTACATAAGAGTAAAGTAAAACAAATTTCAACCATAAAAGTAAAAAAAAGAAAATAATTTCTTATATTTTCATAGTTTATACTTTTATAAGAAATGAATAGTAATATGTACAAATAGATGATGCAACATGCGTTTTAGAGACCTAACTAAAATATAGCTCACCTATTGGATTTCAAAATAGTCTACAACAATAGCTACTCTAAAAAAATATTATTTTGCATTATCTTCGATTTTCTCGTAAAAACTCTCAAGTCTCATATATTTTGAAATATTATCCGCGATTCTCTCAATTTTCTAGTAAGAACTTTTTGGTCTTATATTATCCAAAATATACTCTGTAGTTCTTAAAATTCATGAAATTATACTTTAAAGGTATATTCCATTCTTTAAAAGATTCGTTACTCTAACAAATTGAATAGTTTTATTAAATTTTAATAAATTTATTAGAATTTTTTAAAATCTATATTGAATATACCCCTTTAAATATTTGTCAAAACAATAGAACGTATAATCCTAATGGCAAATAAAGAGAATGTACCCTCAAAGTATATTAATACAAACTTTAATGTCTCTTTGATCTCTTAAAATTCTTAACAGGAAATTGATTGTACTTCAAAGTATATTTCAAATAATGTGAACCTGAAAATTTCTAACAAAAATTTGAAGGTATTCTAAAGTATTTTTTTGTTTTAAACTCTATTCTATATCTTTAGTTCTAGCTTTCGCATTGGAGATGCTCTAGAAGCTAAAATATACTCTTTTAGTCTAAAAAATATCACAATTATTCAAGGATTTTTTCTAATTGTGAATTTACATTGATAATTAAAAATAATAGTCCCTCCGTGCACCAAATATCTTCTCATTGCACGTTACAAGATTTGACCAAGTTTATTTTCAATTTAATTTATATGATTTTAAGGATAAAATTTAAAAATAAAAATTATATAATAAAAAAGTACATGAAAAATTCTACAAAACTATAGGTGACAAGATTATATTATTTTATGAAATGAATAGTAAAAATATGCAAACAAAATGAGTTAAATTTGACCTTATAAATAGTATCTAAGAAGATATATAGTTGACAGGAAATAGTTTTTTTGTCACTATTGATTTGGTTGAACTTTTAATATTGTTTTAAAATATATAAATTATACTTTTTATTACAAAACTAAATTTTAAATAAATTAAATTTACACATTTATAATTTCACTTTGCGTAAAATAACATTTTTTCAAGAAAGAGGGACTCAAGTAAGAGATAATTTACCATTTTATTACTCGCACTCTTTTTTTACAATCACTTCAAATTGGACACGTGTGGCCTCACACTTCTAAATTTTGACCAGACGAAGGAGCCGTCTGAGCGAGAAAATTCTTTTTCTTTTTTTTAGTGGGAGAAAAGAAATGCTTTTCATTTCGCTTCATTTGAGTTTCATTCCCCAAATTATATTTTATTTCTGCTCATAAAAAAATCTCTAATCAAACATATTGCGCAGAATTTGCTGTACGAAATTTTTGCTGTTTTTTTTCCAAAATTAATTCGCAGAAAGAGAGATTCATAGATTCGTTCGTATTAATTAATGGAGATGAATCTCAGACACTCGCAATGATTGGATCGGCGAAACCCTCAACTTTTGCTTTCCTGTTCTAGATGCTGGATCGATTTCGATTCGATTTCGGCTGACTTTCTGTTTCTGGTATGTAAAAGTTCAATGCTTCATTAAATTTTGAGTTTTTCTGGGGTTTCCCCCCACCGATTTTGATTGCGGAGCGTGGAAATCCTCAGGGGGGAAGCTGGAGGGGTGAAGATTGTGCATCGGTGGAATAAGAGTGGGGGAAGAATGCCTGCGCACGGGGATCTGGATCGGCAGATCGAGCAGCTGATGGAGTGCAAGCCCCTGACGGAATCGGAGGTGAAAACGCTGTGCGATCAGGCGAGGGCGATTCTGGTGGAGGAGTGGAACGTGCAGCCGGTGAAATGTCCGGTCACGGTGTGCGGAGACATTCACGGCCAGTTCTATGATCTGATCGAGCTGTTTCGCATCGGCGGCAATGCTCCCGACACGAATTACCTCTTCATGGGAGATTATGTTGGTGAGTTGGATATCATATTCTCTGGAGTAGGATGGTGAATATCCTATTATCCTATCCTTCTCGAAGCTTGGTGATGGGTAGATGCTTTGAATTCAGTGGGTTTCTGCTTAGTTTGTTGCTGGGTGGTCTAATGAGCATGTCTATGTAATATAATCTGGTTTCTGTGTGAAAGATGAGAAGTTGAACTGGTATTCTGGTTGGACCCTGAAGAATTACAAATAGCTAAATATCTATCATTTCTTAATCAATTAGTTTTTTGGAATAGGAAAACTCGTTGTGTACAGTTTACTAGTTGGCTAGTTAGGTCATGTAGAAATGTCTTTTTTGCAATCTGTGCTGTTTATTCCCTTTTCATTTTGAGGAGTACTGCTTGGGTTGATATTTTTTAATATATAGTGTTAAGTCTACTTCAGCAGGTTGAATAACATTTCTTCATAGACACGGGTAGCTTTATGCAGATCTGATTATGCTTTGCTTTTATTGCCAATTGGTCAATTATGTATGATTATGATGGGTTTAAGAAGGTCAATGCGAACCATTTCATTGTCACTTGGCAGCATCTCTATCTAGTACAATCAAGAAAATAACAAATCCATGTAATATTCGAACATTGCATTCTTTGTATAAATTAATCTGGTAAAGGATCTGAAGGTAGGATTGATGAAGTTACTCACAACTATCTTAAAGGAACTTCTCAATTAGGAATTATTCATGGTAATGCACAATTCTATTTTTTTCATCGAAAAGTAGCATATAGTGATTGATTGGGGGCTGCATCTCATACCCCAGATATCCATGTGCTATAGATCAAATAATTTTACTGCTTCGGTATTACCTCTTCCGGGAACTGTGTGTTCTTCAGTAAAATTAGGGCATAAGTGGCACCATGGAGTTAAGCACTTAGTCTAATGTGTGTGTATCTTGTTTACCCTCTATATATCTGTGTTTCTTCTTTTTAAAAAGCTTTGTTGTTTTTTTGAATCTTGGTGGTAATGCTTCTAATGAATGCAGATCGTGGTTATTACTCAGTGGAGACTGTTACACTTTTGGTTGCTCTCAAAGTCCGCTACAGAGACAGAATCACAATTCTTAGAGGAAACCATGAAAGCCGGCAAATCACCCAAGTGTATGTTTTACGTTTTATTTTAAAATGTATGCCTCACAGTTTTATGATGATTAAGAGAATCTTACTTGTGAAGACAATGTATCTTATAGCCCATCCGGTAAGGGCAAATTTTGGCTGAAATGGCTGAATTGTTTGACTCACTGAAGTTGCTTAAACTGATGAATGGCCTAAATGGAGTAAATTATGTTTTTAAAAATGTATTTATGATATAAAGAAAATAGTATCATAATAAAGGTAGAAGTTCCATTTCCTTGCATTTCATCAATAAAAGTCACTTTTGTACTCCTTTTTCCTATAATTAACAGATTCAGACCACGAAAGCAATTATGTTAGCATTAAATTTTGCTGGTAAGGCTAGAATACGTTGTCTACTAAATGGATTTATAGTTTTATAATGAGGTGAGCTTAATACTTTTTGACTATTCATTTTATGTTTATGCATATTGATTCATTTGTAGGCTATCTGGTTTCAACTTTTTATTCTTAATTGGTTTATTTGGCTAAGGTAAGCCCCTGTAGACCATCCCGTAGTTTATTTCAACTTATAGTTTCTATTGTAGGTCATCCCCAGGTAATGTTCACTTTCTCAATTTCATAAACCAATGCCAGTTTCCTTTTACCCGTCCACTCTTACTATTTTCTAACTAATTAAAATTATTCAACAGTTTAACCTATTTGAGGGACATTTTTTTGATATAAAATCATGGTTTATCTATTCTTGTTAAAAATCACGCTTAAATCAAATGTCTCCTATACTTCAGGCAGATGGAATATATGATTATTTTTGTTCTTGTTATTGCTATTAAACTTTTTTTGTAATTGGTGTTGCTAGTTTTCTGTAGCTGCTACTTTTGAAAGGTCTCTAATAACTCCAAATGTTGGGATTAACTATTCTGGTCAAAAGATTTGATTCAAAATATTTTGATGTAGAAGGAGAAGTAATAACAAGATACACTAATTATCTTGTCTGATATGTCTGTCCAATCCTTTCAGAAAAAAAAAATATTTCTCTGAATTTTGTGCTACTTGTGTTTTTCTACCTCATTGAGATTTGACATTATTTTGATGCACGTGCTTCTGCCAGATATGGTTTCTATGATGAATGCCTGAGGAAGTATGGAAATGCCAATGTTTGGAAGTTTTTCACTGATCTGTTTGACTATCTACCCCTAACAGCACTTATTGAGAGCCAGGTTTTTTCACTGTCCACAGATGAAACACTTTTTAATTATATCATTTGCAAAGTTATTACTGAAACAAGATTTGTTATTCATATAGGTATTCTGTTTACATGGTGGGCTCTCACCCTCATTGGATACACTTGATAATATCCGAGCCCTGGATCGTATACAAGAGGTATTGGATATGTTGTCTTTTTTGAGCGAATGGATAACTTGTTTTGTCATAACTCGTGAAGTTGTAGCAGTGTTCTCTTTAAAGTGTTCTGATACCAATCCCTGCTTGGTTCTGCCTAGGCGCTAGGCCTAACTTAACTAGCTTTCTAGTGGCTAGCCCCCTGCCTGCTGTCTTCTGCTTTCTTTGAGGGTTAATTACATTTACCTTCATTGAGTTTGGTCAAATTACCAATTAACTTGAGGTTTTTGAAATTACAAATAAGCTCCTTAATTGGTCAGATTTTCGGTGAATGGCCTCTTAACACTGAAAGGTTAATATAGAACCCAATGATTTTCATAAATATTATGTTTTTAATGCATTTATATACTACAATACTTCAATCTTTCTCTAATTAAAGAATCTTTGAGACAATTGTTGATGGTAATTTAGTCCAAAGACCCCCAATTCCAACTATCATCATTTAATTTTGAATCTTATCATCTTCCACTGTCATTTGTGGAAAATCTAACTAATCACTTAGTCAAAGAGCTTATATGTAAATTTCAAATATGTCCAGGGTCGTGAATTGACTCATGCGGGAATGATGTAATTGAACCTTTTCTAAGCTCCACTCATGAACCTTAGGAGTGATAAATATCTTTTTGATGTTTTATGAGACACTCAACCCAATCATTGTCTTCTGCTTCAATAAATTGTAGGTCCCTCATGAAGGGCCGATGTGTGATCTGTTGTGGTCTGATCCGGATGATCGTTGTGGTTGGGGGATATCTCCTCGAGGGGCTGGGTACACCTTCGGGCAGGATATAGCTGCTCAGTTCAACCACACTAATGGGCTCACTCTGATTTCCAGAGCTCATCAGCTTGTGATGGAGGGTTACAATTGGTGTCAGGTTGTTGGCCTTAATGAACCCCTTTCACCTTATATTTGTTTATTTAATTCTCATTTTCTCTTGGGTGTGTTTCGATGTTGGGTTTTTTAGGGTCNTCCTCTCATCCTCTTGTGAATTTAGCCCCAAAATATAGCCGTATACCTTTTTTGGTTCAAAAGAGAGGGGAGAGGAATGAAGAGTGGATTGTAGGAAAAGTGAACTGGTTAAAAAAGCTTGTTTTTGTTTCAATGAAGGTGTCACATAGGGGGTCTAACTATTTTGTTGAAATTTAGAATTTATATACCCCCAAAAGCAGAGGTTCTCTTGGACACCTCTTTTTTTAGTAGGGGTAAGATCTGCATACACACACCCTCAAAGTACTTATCTAGGGATTTAATTAAGTGTGTTGTTGCACACTTATAACCCCCAAATCTACCCTTAATAATGATTGTGTCACCCTTAATAATGACTGTGTTTATCATTTGTCACTCTGCAGGAGAAGAATGTGGTGACAGTATTTAGTGCACCAAACTACTGTTACCGGTGCGGTAACATGGCAGCCATACTAGAAATCGGCGAAAACATGGACCAGAATTTCCTCCAATTTGACCCCGCCCCTCGGCAGATTGAGCCCGACACCACGAGGAAGACCCCCGACTATTTTTTGTGATGGTCAAAGTCAACTCTCGATCGCTCTTGCCTGTTGTCGTCCCCTTGCCAGTGTTCATGCCATTGTAGATGTATACTCTCTCTCTCTCTCTCTCTCTCTCTCTAGCTCTCTCTCTACTGAGTCTTGAGTATGTGCATTTTGAAAGAAGAAAAAAACATTGAGATCTTTTATTTGTCTACATTTTTTGTTCATTTTTTTCTTAGGGTTGTTGTGAAGAGTACTTAATTGTTAACTTCTGAGAATGTGTAGTTGTGGGTGGTGTATGCAGGGCTTGCATTTGTTTGTACTTAGTTTCTTAATGGGGATTCAATTTTTAAAATGGCATTGCAATTGGATATTGAGTACTGAAACATTGTAATGCAACTGCATTTTTATTTATTTTTATTGCTCCTACAATTTTTTTTAAACCACACCCTATACGTAGTACCCCGAGTACGTTGTGTTTGTATTTTAAAAAAAAAAAACTTGTTTGGCGGGTTAAAGTTTGGCCTAAATGGTTTCGTTGAAATTGATTGAAATATTACCTAATTTTATTTTTACGCTGTAAAAAAATATGATTATAATTTGTTTAGATGGGAGAGGAATCATGTGAGACACATGTTAATTGCACCTTTTGTTGACAATTTATCTTTTTATTGTGCATTATGATATTTAACTAATTTTTTAAAGTTTACTTTATTTGAAAAACCAATGTTGAATTTTATAAAAGTTATATATTTTAAAAATTAAAATTTATGAGGTATTAAGAAATGCTACAAAGTGTAGTTTTAAATAAATTAATATTATAAGATTTTGATAATCAAAAAGATATTTACAGTAAAAATTGATTATATCACATTTTTATCACAAATTATAAAAAAAGAGATTTATCATGAATTATAGTAAAAGATATTTCTCCGAGCATTTTGACATGCAATTCAAGGAGTGCAATGTAGAAGCTGGGGAATAGATGAGCTTAAAATATTCCTTTTTAAACAAAAACAAACTCATTCATTCCTCGCCTTTTTAGGAAAAAAAGAAGCATATTTTTATAGTTAAGTAGATAACTAAAGGAATTTTTAATAATTAAAATTTGTCAAAAAATGTAAGCAGTGATCAAAAGAATGTTTTGTCACTGCAAAATATGTTATTCTACTCACTTGTCACGATATGATTATACTATTTTTTATTTGGTTGAAATTTGTCACTCACCAAGTTTGACACTAAAAGTTTGATATCAAGTGTTCTACAAACATATAAAGATAGATATTATCTGTGACACACAATAATCATTGTCTTTTTTGTACTTCCTTCTTCTCCAATAAATGGCATATTTTTGTGGAGTATATATTTTGTATAGAGAAATCTTTTTTTCATCTTTCTTTGTACATCACCAGTTCATCAACTATTATCTTCTAATCTAATTTAATTTGATAAAAATACATTGTAGACGTGTAAAAGTGGAAATGCCCAGTCCAATTTAGTCTTTTAAATTTTTTTAAAAAAAACAAAATTCTTTAAAACCTTTTTTTAGATGAGCCTAAAATGGTTTTTTTAGCATAATAGGAAGTATTTTACTCCAAAGAACAAACGAGGCATAAACGGATCTCTCTGTTAGATGGAAACGCGACTCCTTAACCACCTTATTCCGTTAAAAACAGATTTGCGACGCTGCCGGAGTTCTCGCCGGCTCCCTCCTTTCCGGCATCGCCTCACCGTGAAAGCTTCTCTTAACAATCCTCAGGTAACGAAATTCCAGTTTTAATTCCCTCCGAGCGTTAAATTTTTGCGTTTTATATTGCTCCTGGCGAAAAGCTTTGGTGTGAAAATTTGAAGGGGGGAAGTTACAGAGGGCCGAAGCCGAAGAGGGAATTGGTGGCGGATTGGGTGTCGAGCAACGACGGCGCCGTTCGCCGTTTGCCTATATATGTCGGAGGGGTATCTCTATTGGCGGTTCTCGTCAATCGCGCCGTCTCCGGCATTGCTCCGGTAGCTGATGCCGGCAGGTCAGTCTGGCCACTTTACCTTTACTTTTCAGCTCCTTTTGTATTACTAGTTTATTCAATTGATATTTGCTTGGTTTTGTTAGTAACAATTTGATCAGCAATAGGCTGTTTTTCAGCATTTTGACCCAAGACAACATTTTTACTGGTCAAAATGCTGAATGAGATCTTTGATGAATTAACATTTTCAATTATCACTATGCTGATCTAAAAATCCTAATAAGTTCATCATTTTGAAAAACAATATTTTTTTATTGGTTGCTAAAGACACCCTAAACCTTGTCTTAATCAATAGTATTTCCATGTTTTATGCACATATTTAATGTAGACAATAATCTCCTGCCATAATCAGATGTGCAATCATATGGAAAGTGAATTTTGTAAGGGCTTTAAATAGTAGGGGATGTTCTATTCAGTTTTTAACTCCAGTAATCCAAACTCCAATTTTCCAACTCTAGATTTAAGATTTCATACTCCACACTCCAATTTGTTACTTTTTTTTGTACAATTTAATAAAAAAGGGAATTTTGTTGTTGTGATTGCACTTAAGAATGAAACCTTGAAAGCTGCCTACGCACCTCGGTCACGGGGATCAAGCCACACATATGGTCATATCCAAGCAGGTTCCAAAATAAACTCACGAAACTGGACTTAACTCACCCAAAAAGAATCCTTATGAGGCTTGGTTTACCTCACACTTATATACTAGAGTAACTAGACTCAAACCCAGCTGATAATGGACTTAACTCACCCAAAAATAACAATTGCCCGTAGTTTACAAATGCCCTGAAGAGTGAAGACTTAACTCACTTTTAGTGAACGAATGCCCTGAAGAGTGAAGACCTTTAAAAAATGAAAAAGGAATAATAATCATGTGTTCACAAACTTCATGTATGGCTGTATATATTGCAAGCCAGTAATATCTTACCATAGTTAAATATGGTGGTGCCAATGTACATCCTGGCATCGAGAGGGTTAGAGGTGGAGACTAGAGAAAAAAAAGCAATGCTCATTAAAACTATGTTTGTTAATAACTTCCCCGGAGTAGTATTTAATTTAAAATGATCTGGATATAGTAATAGAATAATGAAAAGTTTGTGCACAACAGTTTGACCTTTTGTGGGTTGTTAATTATATTCTCACCTTTAATATCGGTACTGAATACTCCATATTTTAGAGTTGTGGCCGGAATGCACCCCCTTTAGTATTAACAATTAAACTAGCAGAGACTACTCCGAAAGGTGGGATTATTTCTTGTAAATATTAAAGGTTTGAGTATTATTAGCGGATCAATTCCAAAGATGTTGATGACTTGCTACAATGCTATTGATCTGAAAGAATTTTGACAATCTCTTCTGTCTCGTTATTGAGATTTTTAGATGCCGAATGATTCTTCTTTTAAGTAGTGATAGTTTAGTTCACATTTCTAATATCTAGTTTAGGAAAGTTGATAGTGGAAACGGGAAAGTAAGTTTTTTTGGGGGGAATTTCTTTTGTTACATCCATTCATATCACAAGCAGTACATACTGAGGTGCATCTAATCATTCACTTTTTAAGAAAATTATAGAGCCGTTTGAAGCCTTTACTCTTTTGCCTTTGATTAAATTCTCCATTGTTATCTGACTCTTGTTTTTACCATATGTTTATGAGATATCACAGTTCACAATCCAGGGCAGATTTGTTAACACTGGGATTGGCTGTTACCAGCATCTTGAATGGTCTTGTGTGGCTCTCCATCAAACCAAAATCGATAGCTGTTGTGAGTGATCAAAGCTTTGTTGCAATTCTTGCTACTCCTGTTGATTATTGGTAAATTGGTCTAACACATTCAAAGAGGTGAGGTCAACCTTTAACCTCATACTTGTATACTACACGACCTAAACATTCAAGGGTCTTGCCTTTTGGCAAGGCAGGAAGACTATTAACCTCTTGTTGCGGGGAAAAAAATTGTGTAGGCTAATTCTTGTGCTTCTGGAGATGCGTTATATCTGTGACTTACATCAAGGGAAGAAAGGCCCTAAAGGGGTGGGATTCACCAACATTGCTTGTCCTGATTTTTTAATGTTCGATTTCAGGTAGGCCCTACAGGTGTGGATTGCCAAAGAATTGCATCTGGTCTTCCTGCATTTGCAATATCTGAATTGCTCTGGTACTTGCCTGGTTTGCCCCTTCCTGCGACATTATGGCATTGTGGCACACTATAATCCTATACTCAGTTTCTATTGTTTACTTTTTTGGCTCCTTATAGGGCATGGGATTCTCTATCAAATGTGACATGCTGCAGGTCTCTAGTTATTGTTTATGATAACAAGTGTATACTTCAGAAGGGAGTTTTTCCTGCTTCTTCATCTAATGGGGCAGTCCGTGTCAACACTGAAAAATTAATACAAGGGTCACTTTATCAAGATGTCACAAAATCCGGATCACGTAAACAACATAAACTGATAAGAGCTTTTTTCCCGCACTTTTGCTTCTTTCCTATTGCAATGCTTTTGATAATGTGAACTTGATTTTGTGTGCATGGTCTGTAATTGTATATTTCAGAGAGGTATTTGGCGAACTTATCTCTTTATCCTGGGAAGTCAGAGTTGCCATTTTTGCCTTCCAATACACAGGTATTAGAATTGTTGATTGTGCTCTTTATTTCTTTGTACAGTCCATTCTTGACCATCAATCCATAAGCTCTCATTAAAAGTGACAACTTTTTAGGGATATTTTTTCGACCTACGAACGAGATTACTTAATCAGGAAACACAAATTTAATTCTGGGACATCCTAAAAAGGAAAGCGAGAACTAAACTAGAGAAAAGGGGGAGATTCAGTTAGAGGATGCTTTCAAAACCTCCATAGATTTCTGTTTGCTTGATTTCTCTATTATTTTCGTGGCTGAAGAGGATGTTTTTGCTAATGATACAATTTGCTCTTTAGTCTGTAATTTTGCAACCTGTTGGAGTAAAAGGAGTTGCTATAATTGGTGGTGATTTAGTCCGAGGATTCACAACTTCTGATCAGGTAAATCCTTATATGGAAATTCATTTCCTCTTTTTGTCCCATGAATATTTAGTCACTTCTGTTTTTTACTCCTTCCATTTTAGGTGCATGGCTATTGATTATTGAAAGGAAATGAAAATTTCATATTTCCCTTTTAAATAATGGAAGTTTCTATAGCTCTTTTGTGTGTGTGTGTGTGTGAGAGAGAGAGAGAGAGAGAGAGAGCTTGTCTCACCCAATCCCTACCCATTGTTGACCTGCAGGCATGGATTGCTTTGATTGGGGGGAAATTAGATGCTACACTCACAAAAGTTGTGGGTGACATATCTGAAACTTCAAGTTCTTCTTCATAGGACAATTGCAGAAAGTTCCAAGTAAGGTATCATGACGCCGAACCTCGACAAGTATTCTTCTGATACATGCCAAGTGAGCCACAAAATCGTATCGCTTTCGGTTATTACAGATTAGGACATTCTTAGGCTGTACTTTGTTTTTAGTTAAGATTACTACTTATTAGCATTGCCTTTAGTTGTTAGTGAGTTTCCTAATTAGACTTTGTATTCTCCTGCATAAGGGGACTTCATTCATTAATAGAAGCATCAAAACTAGCAGAACTTGCAAATATCAAATGGATAGAAAATTTAAGAAAGACATGAGTAGTAGTTTCATATATCAAACTGTTACAAAAGTATCCATATATGCAAAAAAACAAAATCTATCCTGCACTACAGTTATGTATCAGGAAAAAAGAAGAGTGATGAAAAATGGTGAAAGAATGATAGTAGTTCATTGGTTGGGATTCACTGCTCATATTGAGGAGATGTTTCCCAGGGCAGAAAACCAGTTGAAGAATCTGCAAAGTTAGCCAAGACAAAGTCCCTAAGCCCAGTATCCCATACCTCACAGAACTGCAAACGCCAATTGGGTGGCTCAATGGCCTCTGTCCCTAAACCCGGCGCTCTATCCCTCGACCCCTCGTTCTGATTCTCCGTCCAGTCGGCCACGTAAGTCGCCACCCTCCTGAAGAACTTGGCCCTGAAAACCTCCCACACCTGGTACTTGTAGTGGTTGATCACCGCCGCGCCCTGAGGCATGTCCATGAACCTGAACCCCTTCTTGAGACGGAAATGGTGCACCACGTTGAGTAGCGTGGGGTCCACCGCGTCCGGCCGCACGATCGACTTGTGCCTCTCGGGGCTCTTCACCCGACATGTGTACCCCACCGTGACTCCCTGCGCGGGCGGCCTGTCCAGCCCGGACGGGCCGTAACTGTGGCACGCCGTTCTGATCTCTCCCAGCGTTCCCGACGACGACGACAAAGAGACGTTCCTCACCAAGTCACGGAGGGCATTTTGGGAAGCGTAGCCGGGTTTACGGAACTGGTAATGCAGCGAGGAGTACGGGAGGTAGAAGAACTCGTCGACGTCCATGAAGGCGACCCAGTCACATTCCGATTTTGCCCTCAGGGCACAATGCGAGAACCCGGCTTCTTGCGTCTTGATCCACGGCCAAACGTGCCTCGTCACGTTGAAGTTCCGCATCCCGGGGTCACCGATCACGTCCTCGATCGCGTCGTCGCTGTTGTTGTCGTAGATGAACCACCGCTCGACGCCTAGCCACGCATGGTAAGTGATCCATTCGCGTAAAGCCGGGGCTTGGTTCCACACCATCGTACAAGCACAAAGCCCGCGCTTCTTCCCGCCCGATTCTACCCTCGATACCTCCGCCACGGAAGGGAAGAGGAAGCGGCGGCCTTCCTCTCCGCGGCGGCTGCCGCGTGGGGCCGTCATCATCGTCCCGACTGTAACTCTACCGCCCAACGCTTCCTCGGGAGAATCTTTAATGCTCGCGGGTAACTGGCACCTGACCACCTCCTGAGCGGCAGTTACAGCCCTAGTCTGCAGAACCTCAACCCTCCGGCGATCCTCCTTCTTCCCTAACCAGAAATGGCAACTGAACCATCTCGGGCTGGATTCTCTGTCTCGCCTCAAATTCAGCCCTTTCACGAACACAACCGCGCTGTCCCCATCCAACGCGGCGGCATACACCACATTATCCCAAGAAGCCACCACTGCCGTCTGATTTCTCCTCCCCTTCACAACAGGTTTCCCCCCAACTTTTCTCAAATTCACCGCGGCTGAACTATTCCCGGGCGGAAGAGGGCATCTGAAAATCACCCTAGATTGATCATAATCATCAGAGGACAATACATGGGAGGAAATCTGACTTTCTCTACTGAAATACACACACTCCAGTTTCTCGTGAACAGGCAACCCGTTTTTCCTGACCAGCAGTAGAATGTGATCCGGGAACAAAACCCTACCCTCGATTCTCGGGAGCAAGAACCGATCGACGCCTGGAAGCGACTCGACGCCATTAGAAGACGAAGAAGAGAGCAGAGAGAAGCTCGAGACGACCAGTACGGGGTGGAAGGAGGAGGGGGCTATGGGGATTTTGAAGGAGAGAAGGTAGACGAAGAGCAAGAAGCATAGGCACAAGAGGAAAGACCTTACTGTGAGGAGCGGAGAAATCGCCGTCGCCGTCGACTGCCGGAGGAGGCGCTTGCGCTTGCGCCGTGGCTCCGAAGAATCCATGTCCGGATCCTCCGAGAAAAACGGGTTTTCCGGCGGGGCTCTGGAACCTCCAAGAAGAAGGGGCGGTAGTTATTTTCCAGATCTGACGACGATGAAGTGGGGAAGGGGAAGTTTTTGCTTCTGAGCTCTGAGAATCCGGCGACTGTCTAAGTTTGATTCCGCCGCGTTTGGATCAATTATTTATTTATTGGTTTTTGACCGATCAAGAAACTGAATCGAATTAGGAAAAAGAAGAATTACCGAAAGGGAAAAAAAAAGTAACGGTAAAAAGTAAAAACTGGCTCTGTGGGCGTTAAATTTTTTTTGAAACAAAACAAAACAATCTACAAAACTAGACATGACATGACTATATTATTCTATTAAATAGGTTAACAAAATAAATAAAATTTGATCCAGTAAATATTGTACCAGAACATTATTGTTGGAGTATAATAGGTAAAAAAAGGCTACTCCCTCCGTCCCATTTTATAACGCCTGTTTCGGTTTACGATGTTTGACTGAAGTTATTTTCAAATCATTTTATACGACAAATGGTATAGAGTTAAAAAATAAAAATTACATATTAAAATACTACATCAAAAGATCTACAAAACTAGTAGTGACAACAATATTTTATTTTACCAAAATGCTAACGAAAATAGAAAAAGAAAGTGAATAAAGTTTGACCCTGTGAATAGTGAACATGCATTATAATTTGAGACGGAGGGAGTACAATTTAAAATGGTAGTCAATAATATACTCCCTAGTGTTTAAAAAAAGAAGGTAGTCAACAAAGCTTTAGACAAAACAACATGGTTCTCCCCATTCCCTCATTTCCTTTCTTAAAGGTGAATCTAATTTTCTTACTAGATGGAAAAGTTTCAATTAACAAAACCGAAAATATGCTCACCAATTATAATTCTAATTTCAAAATTACTTAAATAAGAATGAAAAAATACTCGTTCTGAAATCTCAAATAAATATTCCTTACTTCCCGAATTAATTATTCTATTTTTTTGGACGGATTTTATCATTTTTCGTGGTTTACAAATTTTAAGGTGCACGTAAGATTATTCTCGCATAGCATCATAAACGTTAACGAAAAATGAAATCTCATAATGAGCGTGGATTTAATTTGTTTTTTATTCGTTTTCTTATATGATAAACCCAAGTTGCATTGTTAAAGTAGTCTTACCGCCCTTACGCCCTACAAAGTACTCCATCGCTTTTAAAATTAACTTTCTAGTTTGGCTTTTGTGGTTGGATTTTTTAAACTTTGACCGTACGTTACGAAAAAATAGATTGAATTTTCATATAAATTTATTATCAATAAATTCATTTTGAAATATATTGTTTTTATAATATATACTTATATAAAAAATAGAGATATTGATGGACAAAATATCGCATTGGAAATCGTAAAAAGTCAAATGAGAAGTTTATTTTAGGACGAAAGTAGTAATACTTTGATCACTAACAAAAATAGAGTATATTTTAATCATCCTTTCCTCTCATAATAAGGTTTTATTTACACTTTACGATCTTTGCATGAAGTTATTTTTAATTTAATTAATTTAAAAATTACTTTATATAGTACAGAGTAATTAAGAAGTAAAAATCTATGCTTAAATTTTTAAAAAACTATATAAAAATATTCTAAACAAGATGCAGTTTGAGTCAATTAACTATCTTATTTATTTAACCCTCTCCCCGTCTTAAAACAGTATACTCTTCATGATGGTGTGCGTTAATATTTTTGAAATTGAAATGGGTCAAGCTAAGGATGAGCGGTCGGGTTGGTTGAACCGTGTCAATGGCCCGATCAATGTATATTTCATGACCAATCCATATTTGTTTAATTGGTTTACCTAGCTAATGTGTTAGAGCAACTCCAAGGGAGAAGCTAAATTTTGGGAAGCTATATGCTTCTTTAGCTTCCCCACAGTAATTTAGCCACCCATTTTTTCACTCCATCTCCAACCATGTCATCTATTTTTTACATTTTTAAAATATTTTATCATTTAAATTAATTAATTTCAAAAGAAACATCAAATTCCCACTGCAACCCCTAGCAAAAAACAAAGAAACCTTGAAATCTCCCACATTTCAGTCCATAAAGAGGCCAGGTGGAAAGACCTTTTTGTGTTATGAGAACAAAACAGCAAAATCCAAAACAAAAAATAAAATAAAATTGATTTGATTTGAGATCTTCGAGCTACAGATCCGGCAACGACTATTAAAAATGTGGTAAAAAGGCTAGCTTCCAGTGGAAATAAGTTTGCAGCGGCGATTGCAGATTTGCAGGTGAGAATGAAATATAGACTATGCTACAGTAGTCTTTCAAATATAGATTATGAAACATTTAAAATAAACTATGGTGTATCTTTTAGAAGCTCCGTTGGAGGAGCAAATAATAAACAGTAAAAGCTATTCTTTCTATATTTTACACTTTACCAGATTTTGAAAGCTCCGTTGGAGCTGCTCTTACTCCATATTACATACGGAGGATATACATATACTTTAAGGTAGTGTTTGGCAACTAAAATTTCATTTCATTCACAGAATTTGAAATCTTGAATTTCAATTGACAAGGAGAGGTGCATGGATTTCAAATTAAATTTTATTATGAATGAGAAGAATTTGACTCAAATCCAAACTCAAAATTATTAAGTTTCCCAACCGCACAGAGCCCTTAAATTTTAGGAACTCATATTTTTAAATTCGACATTAATTTTAAAACATAAGTATTCTAAAAAAATAAAATAGGATCCAAAATGTAAATTTTGAACCAGACCAATTTTATTTTTTTATTTTGCCCTGATTTGGAAGATTAGTGTCTGGAAATCAAATTTTGCCAAATAGATTTTAACTAATCAATGACACTAAAACCATCGTCATATCATTCCTCAAAATTATTAGACCCACCAATACCATGAACAAAACACCCAAAGGGTGGGGTCAAACATGACCATATTTTAGCTTTTTGCTACGAATATATAGGACAAAATATGTTTTTGAAAGAAAAAAAAATCATATATACTAGGATGGAATGTTCTCATCACATTAATAGAAATATATGCAATAAGGCCTACTTTATCACATTTGGCAGCTAAGATTTTGTGGTTCTTAAAGAAAGAGAGATCATATAGCACAGCTCAGCTGAATTGGTGCCAAATAGTCATTATCATAACATAAATAAACATAAATAGCTGGCAGCTCTTCATAGCTCTCTATATATGGTCATTATTCAATTCTTTGCAAAAACACAAGCATGCTCTCATGTCCTATAAACACCACCATGTTCTTAGCTATCATTATTTTAGATTTGAATATGAAAATAAATTTCAATCCAAATATTAGTATTTATATTCTAACTTCTAATTGTGAATAGAAATTAAATATGTGCAAGTTTATTAAATTTGAATAACATTCAAAATGTCATACTTAAAATGGCATACTTCGCATTCAATATTTTCTATATGCATAACACACATATCTATACGGTTTAAAATAGAGTGCAAGATTGGACTTTTTAAACAAGACTAGTTAATTATACATTAAAACGGTAAAAAAGGCATTGTACATTTGTATCAGGACTCACTTTTCGCATAATTACTACACTATACTTTTTACAATTTTAATGCATAATAAATGAATATTAGCCGGTGCTAAAAGGGGGAATTCTTTTATTGAGGGTTACTACACAATCTTCAAACTCGTTTGGTATGATATTCTGGTGTCTGGATTTGAAGTGGGTTTTGTACCTGAAAGAATCCGCTACTTTCTGGTGAGAATTGTGTGCAAAACGTTTGGGAAAAGAACGAGATTTCTTGATCCACATTGTTTCTAGCTCTTTTCACGCGCACATCAACGAGGAAAATGAAATTCCTTTTGGTTCCTGAGGTTGTATTGTAGTTGAAAACATAGTCTGGTTTGAGCATCAAAAAAATAAATATAAAAAAGTCAAAAATAAGCCTGAATACAATCAAACAAAAAAACCTGCACCCATGAATTAGAAGGGTAAAAAAGTGCAAACTTGGAAGGTATTACCAATTGCTAATTTTCAACGACAGTGGCCATCAATGCGCAATTGTTATACCGTACATTCCTAGGTTCACAAGCACTATGCTTATTGTCCACGACACTGCTTTTACCCTTTTTTTGGACCAGCACGTGGCCAGTGGTGGCCACTGGCCAGCACTAGTGGTTGTGGACAATGATATTGCCTTGCGAACAATAGTCTTTTGTGAACATAGAACAGAATGTTCCATAAGCTAGAAATGCCAAAATAATTAGTGTGGTAGGAGGGTTGCAACAAGAAGGGCATCTGGCATAAAACTTTGTGCCACTGACCCGCACTTAGTTGGGATTAAGGTGCTGATGATAATGAATACGAAGTATGTAATAATGGATTTAAGCGTGTGGACTTAGAGGTACCTGGCTTGCGGTTGCATTACTTTTACAAGAACAGTTCAAGTGGGGTATATTACTTTGTAGCCCATTTCAACCAGCCAGCTCACTTATGGGTGGACGATCCATCACATTAGATGCACTTTTGGCATTGCTTTGTAGTAGTGAGTCGATATCCGGAAGTTTAGGAACCTGAAATCAAAGTTATAAAACAGAAAGCCAAATAGTAGACCAAGTAAAGATGAATAGAATGCATAAAATCAGAGCAGAAGAACCAAAAGTCTATATTTTTACATAGGATCAGTTTGGATGGAGAGTTCTGGATGACCAAGTCTATATCATAATGTGCATTCAATTTTTTCCACAAAAATTGAAGGAAAAACATAAAGGGTGATCATATAAATTCACGGTTTCTTCATGGTTAAGGGAACAAATTAGTATAAGTTCATTCTCCTAGTAATTTATTCACTGCTCCAGACCATAAACCATATACAATTATTTTAATTAGAAAACAATATATAAGCCCTCACTTGTCACTTCCCTACAGAAACCATTTCCCTGCATAAATTAAGCTCTTTTTTGGTTCAAACGGGGGGGGGGGAGGGGAGGAAAATAAAAGAGTGAAAATTATGATGTTTGGTTTAATAGAGAACAGGACCTACTCGTTAAGGATCTTATGGAGGATGTGGCCTTAGATAGAAATGCTTGGAGATCTGGGACAAGAGTAGCTGGGTAGACATGCGAGCTTTAATTTGTAGTTTATGTTGGTGCATTTTTATGCCTTGGTCTATGTGTGTAATGTGTGCTTTGTGCTTTATGTTTAGTTCTTAGAGTCATCTTGTATGCTTTTTTTGGCTATGTTTGTGCTTCAATGGTTTCTTTCTTCGTACTTTTGTATTTGAGTCATGGGTGTTTTGAAACCAGTCTCCCTATTTCATAGTAGGGATAAAATATATGTACACACACCCTCCCGGCCTCCTGACTTACTTTTGTGGGCCTTTACTGGGTTTGTTTTTGTTTGGTTCAATAAAAGAAAGGAGAAATTGGAAGAAATTAGTATTTTTTGATAAATATCTAAAACTATTACACTAGATATACTTTTTTTTAACAAAAAAATAGTCATGTATATCTTCAAAATAATAACGTAGACCAATTTTGGGAGGGGGGGGGGGATTCCTCCTAAATCCCCCAATTTGGGGGAGGGAAGTACAAGGAGTTTGAATGAGTTCTTATCATTCTCCATCACTTTCCTCCCTCTTCCCCTCTAACTCCCCCAACCAAACACAAACCAGTCCTTAATTTCCATTACCAGCTCACCTCCTCTTCAAAGTCCTCCACAACCAGAGAAGTACTCGCTACAAAAACTTCCCTTCATATGGTAACCAACTTTGTGTAGGGTAGATATTTAAATATTTCATACATACCTGAACCAATAAATCAATTGTTCTTCGTAAAAGGCGGGCTAGATCTCCTTCATCCATAGCACAGTCCATCATCATCTCCCTCCAAGTTAGACCAGAAGCCCAAGCTTCAACCATGCCAGCGAATTGGCTATCTAGGCAGCAAGGTATCTGTGACATAAACAAAACTAATTCCTCTCCTAATTATATGCAGAGATAAAACAGCCATTAAAGATTACCATAGCAATTGATACACTCACATTTACCCCATGTTTCTCTTGAAGTTCAAGAAGTGAGATTCTTTGTTCTTCTAATAACTTCACGACATCCAAGACAACGGCAGAGGGTTCATATATGTAACTGTAGAAAGAAGATGAATCACATTGTTTCTAGCTATTTATAAACCAGTTAGTTGGTGGAGAATGGAGATTATGCAAACTGCATAGTATTTTATGCTATCCATATTACACCTTAATTTTGCGGCATGTTAAAATTTAGAACACATAAAAAGGCATATCCAATGCCAAAGCTCCCACACAACGAGGGTTCTAGGGAAGGGATAATGTAGGCTACCACTCCTTTGAAATTAAGAGTATATTATATTCTTTTGTGTAAAAAGATAAGATACCTGCTGCTTTTTGAAGGCCGAAGTTTTATCCCTTCAGAAACTAGACTTCCACAGACAGCAGCAAGTTGTGCAGGTTTTAAACTTACTAATAAATTATTTCGAAGAACCATGGCAAGCCAGAGTTCATTTTCTCCTCGAATTGCTGATGCGGTTTCACCAAGCGGAAATACAACAAGTGTGTTGATATCCAATGCTCTGCTTCCATGGATGACATTGCTGACCTACATCAAGAAAGGATTAGTTATCACTCTTCAGAAATAAAAAGCAGTAGACTTAAAGGTATATTCATATAATCAACCAGAAGGCTTCATTAAGTACGTCATCCCCGTAAAAAAAATCTTTTTTTTTTTGCAAATGGTCCTCCCACTGCTATGGAGCTGGGGTTCAATATGTTCTTGGTCCCAAATAAACATGTAACCCAAACTCCAGGTCTGTGGAGGAGCATTTGCACAAAAAAAAAAGAGTTTTTACAAGGATGACTTAATTAAAAAAGAAAATCAGAGGGTCTAAAAGCAAAACTTTTTTTAATTTTACTGGAACCAAAAACATATTTAACCCAGTGGAGCTACGAGGACAGCATCACCAGTACCAACCTCTAAAAACTCTTTCCACCCAGTCGGCTCAATCTGCTCAATCCGCTTTGTTAAACGATTTGACCTGACCTTCAACCTTCTAATTTTCTCCTCTGTGAATCTAGCCATATCTATGATCTTCTTGTACTCTTTAAATCCCTCCAATCGTGAGATCCTTTTCTTTAAACGAGCTACTTTATTTCTTTGGTCTTTATAGCATTCTACTGCCTCATCGTATGCTTGAGAAAACTTGAGGGCCTAACCACAAAAAGGAGGGATATATGCTTATTAATGTTTGTTAATAAGGAAAGAGCACATATGATTGGAATTCTGAACACCATCAAAAGGGAAAAAAGAAGAAAAGGGGAGAGATATGGGTAAATTCATCTCATCAGCAATGAAATCAAACTGGACAGGAAAACTTTTAAACAAATCAAAATGATCTCATGTGAAGAAAGTGTTCATGCATTGGTGCCTAAATAAACCATGTTGATGCGTATAATAACCTCATCATCCCCAGAAAGAGTACTCAATACTGGCACATTTAGACTCCAAGACCATGTCTCCAAAGATCCCTCCATGCACCATAAACCTCCAAATTCGGACTCTTCCAACTTCTGCCATTGCATAGCCCCCTTCTCAACAAGTTCCGTCATAATTTGACAAGGCAAAGCATCACCTTTAGCTAAGGCAACATTTGGGAGGCCTGTTCTGTAGACTGTTTTAATCCACTTTTCAGTGAAAAGATACCAAGAGTTATCTGAACCCAGAGCCACGTGATAGCATGGCTTCAAATTATCTTCACCATCAACTCCACCAATGTCGTTACTTTCTGCTTCTATATTTAGAGCAGACAAATCAGCACAGTTTACCTGAAAAGGGGGTAAAATAATGTTAACTGAATAATGACATCGAAATCTCAACTGAAGATTGAATCTGCAATCAGAAAAGCTAAGGCTTGTATATTGTCATGAACATTTTTCCATGATAACAATCAAATTCTGAAGAAACAAGTGACTGATATTGAACTGATGTTTAATGTTTGACTTGTTCATATTTCATCTTGTCATTTTGACTTTGCTCGGTGTTGAAGGGTAAATTTATGTGAATGGAATTTATGAGAAAGAGAAATAATATGGACCAAACAATTATTTCCTTAAAAAGAAATGAGAAGATTAATTAGGACGTCTAAAAGAGGGGAGGGAGAAGATGAAAAAAGGAAAGTGGTAGATTTTAAAGAAAAATACTTTTTTTGTTAAGTTAAGAAAATACATACCATATTCTTAAGTTTTGGAGCAGTCAATAGATCAATACTTCCCAAATAAACAGTGGCAACTACATGCTGAACTCCATCTACATCATTGTACTGCAGACAAACAAATGGTAGATGCCCATTCTGAAGATCCCTCAACAAAGGCTTCAAAGAAAGCATTCTTTCCACTTCCATTCTTCTTCGCAGTTCAGTACGTAGGCGTTTTTCAGCCTGACAGAAAATCAAGAGCAGTATAAGAAGTGAAATAGTGGTGGTAGTACATTCCTATTAACTAAAGGTGATTACAAACCTAGCATGAAAATGTAGTACACAAAAGAAACTATACACTAAATCAGGGTCATGTATCACGAAATGAATTTAAATTGACATGTACTCAAGGAAGAGAGAACAGAGATAGAACGAGAGAGACATATTGTGTGTGTGATGTTTGTGGATAAATGAAACTGATGGATTTACCAACAGCCATTACATAAACACTAAAAGTAAGAATATGAAGTGTCTAAACTTTGAATGTTTGGAAAGAATAGAAAGATTGGAAGTTAAGTGATGTGTGTACTCTTAAATCTTCCTGAAGATTGGAAATCTCCTGATGAGCTGATGCTGACAAAAGCTTCTGGCTCTTTCTATCAATTGCTTCATCACTTATTTCTGAACGTAACATCTCAATCTCCTTTTCTATTCTATAAAGCTCCTCCTTTGAAGCACTCATAACATTGCTCCCCACATAATTTCCAAAACTCTGCTCAATTAATTTCCTTGCTTCCTCCAAAGTCCGTCCTTGTGATATTTTCAGCTCATCTGGTTCAGTTGATCCTCGTGTAACCTTGGCCCCCTGGAGAAGAATTATTCATAAATATGTCTAAAAGAGATAAATGAAGATTAAAACAACATTATTCTGAAGTACATACTGCTAGAAGATTTAGAACCATTCCATAAGAAGCAGTAAATTGTGAGGTAAGGGGTTCAAGTCCAGAAGATAGAAGTTCGCAGCACTCTTCAGGACCTTCATATGCGCTCTGAACAAGGATTACATGACCCATTTCATCAATACCCCTACGACCAGCACGCCCGGCCATTTGGAACAACTCATTTGAGCTTAATGAGACACGTCCACTGTCAGCCCTCTTGCTGAGAGATGAAATAACCGCTGTCCTAGCAGGCATGTTAATTCCAGCAGCAAGTGTCTCAGTCGCAAAGACAACCTTAACGAGTCCTCGCTGAAATAGCTCTTCAATAAATGATTTCCACAATGGAAGACAGCCAGCATGATGTACCGCCAACCCTTGTCGAAGACCCTTCACAGAGGATTCTCTCACTGCATCAGGATATTGAGCTCGGAACCTCTTCAAGGCGAGTTCAACTTCACACGCTTCACACTCATCTAGTAGCATACAGTTTTCAAGATATTGAACAGCTGCATCACATCCCTTCCTACTAAAAATAAACCACACTGCTGGAAGTATACCCCTTTCCTTCAGTTGCCATAATGTGTCAACAACTTGGGGCACCTGAATAGTGAAATCAAAACAAGAAAAGCATAAAACTATTAATGGGTGGAGCAAGTGCTGAAAAGAGGATTACTAATTCACTAGGATTTGGTCTTTGCCTGTGAGCGGCGAAGAGCAGTTTTCTCATTCTTAGAGAGTAAATTTACATCACTTTCATGTCTTCGTGACTTCCTCCTATACCATCCATCCTTATGTAAAATAGCCCCAGATACATCAAGCTGTTGATTATTGAGTGACAAACTGCTGCTCCAGTCATTAAAAAACAATTCTCAAAAATAGGGCACTGCTTCTGTCACTGAAGATATAAAATTTCCTCCAATGAATCTGGAAATTTCATATTTGAACTATGACAGTAAAAACTGTAAAATATTGTCGAAGACACTTGAAAATTTACTCACCTTTAACTATTACAGTTTTCTATCAAAAATAGGGCAAGCAACTGCATCTACTCAATAGGTACTACGAAAGTCTGGTGAGTTTATATAGACATGTCAATCATATCCATAGTTTTTTTTTCTTTTTGCACAAAAAAAAAAAACTTGACCTTGAACTAAAAGATTATGGATTGCATGGAGAAACTTTTTAGCAACACCCATTTCTTAATGGAGAACATTTACCGGTTTATGCTTTTGCCTTTTTCATTGAGAAGAGGTAGTAAAGCTCCTTTTGTTGAGAAGTGCCAAGTCAATGGAACAGGACGTTTATGCGAGGTCACCAACTCAGTTCTGCCGTGAATCTTGAAAAATCATGAAAATAAAAGAATGGATGATGTCACTAACTTACAACAACCTGGGGTTATCTGATAACTGAAACTCTGAAAGAATAAAAGCTTAGGTGACAAAATAATCATAACAATGAATGCAGCCCATATAAGCTTCATCACCGTCATGATTCCTTCATGAAAATTACTCATAAATAAGCAAATAAAGATAAGATATTGGTTGTGCCATGAACTACTTATGTAAACTGTAAAGTGGAACTTACTCTTGCATCAGAACGTGAAACAAAAAGATTACTAACCAATAAAGATGAATAAGGAGTAGAGAATAGCACAATATCATAATAATGCAAAACAGAAATGACTGAAAATACATTATCTGCATTAAGTGTGTCAGCTATGAAGACTAAAAACATGCCAGAGATAAAATGATGTTTGTTAAGTTGCAGTACCTGACCTATCCAACCAGCCAACTCATCTGGATTGCCAACAGTTGCTGACAGACATATAAGTTGAACATCCTTTGGGCAGTAAATAACCTAATGAATTTAGACATGTGAGACTATGCACCCCAATCAATTTATGGGAACGGCGCCTAACTAGAAAATACATACAATTTCTTCCCATACTGTACCCCGAGATATGTCGCTTAGATAATGTACTTCATCCAAAACTATCACATCAACGTGAAGAAGCCCACTGTCCGATGAAGCCATTCCAACACTGACCAGTACATCAAGACAATAAAAAGAAACATGACACCTTTGAATGAAAATGGAGAGATCAAAAATATCTATTCACATATGAAAACCTCTATGCATGCCTTCTTATCCAGACCACTTAAAGTAGCAAGTGACTTCAAAACATGTGATATAGAAAATTAAAATGGCAAATGTAGAATCATATGATCCAATGCACCTCTTATACAACATATTGCGCAAAATCTCAGTAGTCATAATTAAAATCTGGGCTTCTTTATTTATAGATGAATCTCCTGTCACAAGCCCAACGTTCCTATCTCCAAATGTCTCCCTGAAAAGACAACCATTACTGGCTCTATTATTCTGTACTTGTTAAGTGTATCAAACTAAATGAAACAATCTTGAATTTGTGCAATGTGCAATCATCATCAAAGTAAACGAAACAGGCTTGAATATGTGCATGTAATTCATTAAATAATAAACAAAATCGGCAAATTCTAGACCGGAATTCGCGAAATTTCTGGTTTGACAAAGCCTTGAGAGGGGTAGTGTAGAACAATCTCCTTCCCCTTGCGGCGGTCGCCACAGCAGCAGCTTCAGCAATTAAAGTTTTGCCACTACTTGTTGGGGCAGACACCACAACAGAAGAGCCTCTTAGAAAAGCTTGAATCGCCAGCCTCTACAATGTAAGCTTTTTTTCACCCCCAAATCAATGCTAGTTCAATCATTTAAAAACGCTAAATCCTATAAAAATTTACCTGAAACTTATCAATTCGGAAACTGAAAACTGAAGCAAGCTCATGAAAATCTATAATCTCTTCTCCAAACTCCCGGACATCCTTACAAATCCTCTCGAATCTCTGCCACTTAAACTCCTCAAACCTCAATTTACCCTCTTCCGCCGCACCAATCGAATTCTCAGACTCCCCTTCGCCCTCGCCGTCCTCGCCTCCACCGGAGGCCTCGTCCGATACGTATTCATACTCTTCCGCGGCTTCCTCATCGTCGTCGTCTTCGTACTCCTCGTCGTAGTCTTCGTTCTCATCCGAGACATGAGATTCGAACGGAAAAATGGACCTTGAGAACTTGCAGATAGTTCGAGATCGTTGAAGCGGCTTCGCGGAGCAGAAGCCGGGGTTTTGGAAATGGGGAAGACGCTTATTATATAGCGTTAGAGAAGAAGAAGAAGAAGAAGAAGGCTTGTGAATAGTGAGAGAGGTAATGGGGAAAGGGTGAGAGGAGATAGAGATTGCTGAAGGTATGGCCATGGCGGGAGAGGGCCGAGCAGGGAAGTGTGCCCGGCGGTCAAACGGAATTTCCTTTTTTTATACTCCCTACTCACTTAATCACTTTAGAATTTGATAATCAATTACGGAGTATTTTATATTTATTGAGATTTGATCGACTTTATTTTTAATTTAATTTATTTGATTGTAGATGTAAACTTAAAAATAAAATTTATATATTTAAAAACTACATCAAAAATTTACAAAATAAGATGTGATAGTTATTTTATCAAGTAATTAACAAAAATAGATAAAAAATGGGATTAAAGTTTGATCACGTGGATAATAACTGGGAAAAATATTTTAGAACAGAGTATTTAATTAGAATTCATAATTAAAAGAACAAACACAATGGGACCTAGTTATGATTTACTAAAAATTGATTAGAGAGTATTTGTCAAAATACTCTATAAAGTAGTTATGTGGTCTTCAAAAATGATGTGTTTGGTATTCTTAAGATAGAAATATGTCTCAGGTATTTGCAGAAGCTTTATGTTTGCATTGTTGTCCCTCGTCGTAGCCACCATACTTGAAACTAGAGATTTCTTCCTTTTAGGACTTTTATACTAATGGTTGGGCTACGCTTTACCGACATGAAATTTAGAGGCTAATTTTTTTATACTAGACGACCTATCGCATTGCGATCTCATGCAAGAAATCCAACCTTTGTCTTGGATCTATGGAGGGTCTATGACTCTAAGTATGACAAAATGACGCTAAATTTTGTTTCGCACTGGCCGATATTATATTGAACCAAATAACCATCAAATCATTTTTTTAATGATTTTATAACTTGTACTCCGTATTTCAAATTGATCCATTACTATTCAAAAATATTAAATTAATCAATCAATTATATATTATTGTTTTTTGTTTTTAATTCTTATTTATTTGAAGTGATTTAATACACTCAATTCTTACATTAATCAATTAAATCCAAGCCTCTTAAAATACTTTATTACCACTCAATTTGCAACTTTTTATATTAAAATCAATGTATAAGTATGATTTCTCGAGAGTTAAAACAAATAATATACATTTTGAGTAAAAATGAATACAATTATTAGTGAGCCAAGATTCTATTTTTCATTAATATTCCTTTAATTTCAAGAACAAAATTATTGATGTTACTATCCTCAGATACATTATTTTAAAACGGCATGATACCAAAAGGCTTTAGTTGTAAAATCAAATTATTTGGATATTAACAATATTTCGTTCGTCCCACATTGGATTTCACACTCCAAATAACGTACAAAATCTCATTATTTTAAAAATTCATTTTAACTACAAATTCGTATAGAAATAAAAAGTATAGGTTACCCCATTTAAAAATACATAAAAAAACTACATAAACAAGATGTAACAACAATAATTTATTTTACCAAATTAATAATAAAAATATACCTCGTAGTACAAACAAACAAAAATTATTAAAACGTTGTAATAGTGATAGTAACATCCAATTTGCGATAGAGGGAGTACTATACAAGTTTTATAAAAATATCAAACCATCACGAGCTATATAACCTATATTCATCCCATATGGTACTTCGTAGAATAATAATTTCAAACCCCAAATATGCACTAACTCATGGTGTAAATTATTTCGATCGGACATATTATTCTTAAACATGTTAAGAATAACGAGCTAAGTTTTACAAATTACATCTAAATATAAATAAACAATTTTTTTATGTGAAAACTCAAATGGAAAAATTCAAATGTCTTTTCTAAGTGTTACCTTACCAACTACTCCATCCGTTCCATAAAACCCTTCCGCCCTAATTTTTTGCGCACCTCATTAAATGCTTTTACTCCCACCTAAAATATCTAAAATATATCCCACTATGTAGTTTATTGCGGGTAGAAGTTGTTTTAGTGGTATTTTAGACATTTTAGGTGGGATATAAGTATTTTATAGGCTGCGCAAAAAATTAAAATGGAAGTATTTTGTGGAACGGAGGGAGTAGAAGTTTTTTCTAAACATGGAGATAAATGTGTAAACTCAGAGGAGATTTTGGTGCCGGGGGGTGGGGGGAGGGAGTCTATGGATATTATCAAAATAATAATAATAATAATGTTTAAAAGTGTACACTTAAAAAACTTCAATAGTTTGTACATTTCTAACCCACTTCTCCTCACCTATCATTTGGAGAGCAAGAGGTGTACCCCATTTGTCCCCCACCCCTTTCTCCACCACTCATTTTTATTTACTTTTTATTTATTTAATCTTTTTTGAAAGTTCTTGCCCATTTTTGTGGTAATGAAGGGGGTGGGGGACAAATGAGACACATCTTTGGTGTACCCCTATCATTTTTCATCATTTGGATCACTTATTGGCTATAATCTCAGAGTGCCCATTCGGCGATCCAAAGGATGGTCGTGAGGCAAGGGAGCAAGAAAGTTTGAGGGCATAATAATCATCAATTTTTTATCAAAATATCACAAGAACTTTAAACAAAGGGATATGCTAGGAGAACACCAAATATGTACCCCAAATGTACACTACTCCCCTTTCTTTTATTCATTTTATTTTGTTTTTATTTTTTATTTTTTTTTGAATTTTTCTTACCTTTTTTATGGTGATGGAGGGGGCGGAGGATGTTTGGGGGTACATTTTTGGTGTACCCCTAACATTTTCTTAAACAAATCAATGTCATTGGATGGCACTTGCCTGCCTCCAGACTCCAGTATCATTAGAACTAATCCATATTAAAACATCCAAGGCATTAATTAAAAAAATTCGGGATTGTTTCCAAATAAATCCATTAATTGTACTCATTGTATTCCAAAATAAGATTTTTGATTTAGTTTGACACAAACTTAAAAAAATTAAATTATATAACTAAAAATAATGCGCATAAGAGAGATTAAGAGAAATCTTTCTTAAAACGTTTCAAAAAAATGGAAATTCTTTTTTGAGAGGAGTACATTATTGGGATGAAGTCTTTTGAAAGAGTATGGGTGTTTTGCAGGCCCATGTCGACTTCTAGTGTTCTACACCCTGTCTAGCTGTATCTATATATATATATATATATATATGCGCCTCTTTAATTTATTTCTTTTTATTTTTAAAAAAAGAAAGAAAAATTCAAAAAGTACTTTTCACAACCTAACCATCATCATCATCATTGAGGTGGAAGATTCAAAACTCTCCAAGGTGGAAAATTATGGTTTGCGTAGTGCAATCCAGTCTATATATGTCTCACCTGAAACCGCGTCCCATTTAAACCCTTTCCTTTTTCACCCCCCCAATGGATCCCGTGTTCTTTACGGATTCCCAGATTTCATTTTGAATTTCTATATATCTTCTTCTTCTTCGCGCAGATTGCGGTATGTTAGCGGTGGCGGCGGCGGAGGTTGGGAGAAATTTTGCAGGTTCTTGGAGTTCTTGATTNGGCGGGCTAGATCTCCTTCATCCATAGCACAGTCCATCATCATCTCCCTCCAAGTTAGACCAGAAGCCCAAGCTTCAACCATGCCAGCGAATTGGCTATCTAGGCAGCAAGGTATCTGTGATATAAACAAAACTAATTCATCTCCTAATTATATGCAGAGATAAAACAGCCATTAAAGATTACCATAGCAATTGATACACTCACATTTACCCCATGTTTCTCTTGAAGTTCAAGAAGTGAGATTCTTTGTTCTTCTAATAACTTGACGACATCCAAGACAACGGCAGAGGGTTCATATATGTAACTGTAGAAAGAAGATGAATCACATTGTTTCTAGCTATTTATAAACCAGTTGGTGGAGAACTGGAGATTATGCAAACTGCATGGTATTTTATGGTACCCATATTACACCTTAATTTTGCAGCACGTTGAAATTTAGAGCACATAAAAGGGCATACCAAATGCCAAAGCTCACACACAGCGAGGGTTCTAGGGAAGGGATAATGTAGGCTACCACTCCCTTGAAATTAAGAGTATATTATATTCTTTTGTATAAAAAGATAAGATACCTGCTGCTTTTTGAAGGCCGAAGTTTTATCCCTTCAGAAACTAGACTTCCACAGACAGCAGCAAGTTGTGCAGGTTTTAAACTTACTAATAAATTATTTCGAAGAACCATGGCAAGCCAGAGTTCATTTTCTCCTCGAATTGCTGATGCGGTTTCACCAAGTGGAAATACAACAAGTGTGTTGATATCCAATGCTCTGCTTTCATGGATGACATTGCTGACCTACATCAAGAAAGGATTAGTTATCACTCTTCAGAAATAAAAAAGCAGTAGACTTAAAGGTATATTCATATAATCAACCAGAAGGCTTCATTAAGTACGTCATCCCCGTAAAATAATCTTTTTTTTTGCAAATGGTCCTCCCACTGATATGGAGCTGGGGTTCAATATGTTCTTGGTCCCAAAAAAATATGTAACCCAAACTCCAGATCGGTGGAGGACCATTTGCAAAAGAAAAAAGAATCTTTACAAGGATGGCTTAATTTAAAAAAACATTTTTAATTTTACTGGGACCAAATACATATTTAACCCTTAAAATCTACAGTGGAGCTACTAGGACAGCATCACCAGTATCGACATTTTGAATTAGAGAACAAACACCAACCTCTAAAAACTCTTTCCACCCAGTCGGCTCAATCTGCTCAATCCGCTTTGTTAAACGATTTGACCTGACCTTCAACCTTCTAATTTTTTCCTCTGTGAATCTAGCCATATCTATGATCTTCCTGTACTCTTTAAATCCATCCAATCGTGAGATCCTTTTCTTTAAACGAGCTACTTTATTTCTTTGGTCTTTATAGCATTCTACTGTCTCATCGTATGCTTGAGAAAACTTGAGGGCCTAACCACAAAAAGGAGGGATATATGCTTATTAATGTTTGTTAATAAGGAAAGAGCACATATGATTGGAACTCTGAACACCATCAAAAGGGAAAAAAGAAGCAAAGGGAAAAGATATGGGTAAATTCATCTCATCAGCAATTAAATCAAACTGGACAGGAGAACTTTTAAACAAATCAAAATGATGTCATGTGAAGAAAGTGTCCATGCATTGGTGCCTAAATAAACCATGTTGATGCATATAATAACCTCATCATCTCCAGAAAGAGTACTCAATACTGGCACATTTAGACTCCATGACCATGTCTCCAAAGATCCCTCCATGCACCATAAACCTCCAAATTCGGACTCTTCCAGCTTCTGCCATTGCATAGCCCCCTTCTCAACAAGTTCCGTCATAATTTGACGAGGCAAAGCATCACCTTTAGCTAAGGCAACATTTGGGAGGCCTGTTCTGTAGACTGTTTTAATCCACTTTTCGGTGAAAAGATACCAAGAGTTATCTGAACCCAGAGCCACGTGATAGCATGGCTTTAAATTGTCTTCACCATCAACTCCACCAATGTCGTTACTTTCTGCTTCTATATTTAGAGCAGACAAATCAGCACAGTTTACCTGAAAAGGGGGTAAAAAAAATGTTAACTGTATAATGACATCGAAATCTCAACCAAAGATTGAATCTGCAATCAGAAAAGCTAAGGCTTGTATATTGTCATGAACATTTTTCCATGATGCTAATAACAATCAAATTCTGAAGAAACAAGTGACTGATATTGAACTGGTGTTTAATGTTCGACTTGTTCCTATTTCATCTTGTCATTGACTTTGCTCGGTGTTGAAGGGTAAAATTATGTGAATGAAATTTATGAGAAGGAGAAATAATATGGACCAAACAATTATTTCCTTAAAAGGAAATGAGAAGATTAATTAGGACGTCCAAAAGAGGGGAGTGAGAAGATGAAAAGGGAAAGTGGTAGATTTTAAAGAAAAATACTTTTTTTGTTAAATTAAGAAAATACATACCATATTCTTAAGTTTTGGAGCAGTCAATAGATCAATACTTCCCAAATAAACAGTGGCAACTACATGCTGAACTCCATCTACATCATTGTACTGCAGACAGACAAATGGTAGATGCCCATCCTGAAGATCCCTCAACAAAGGCTTCAAAGAAAGCATTCTTTCCACTTCCATTCTTCTTCGCAGTTCAGTACGTAGGCGTTTTTCAGCCTGACAGAAAATCAAGAGCAGTATAAGAAGTGAAATAGTGATGGTAGTACATTCCTATTAACTAAAGGTGATTGCAAACCTAGCATGAAAATGTAGTACACACAAGAAACTATACACTAAATCAGGGTCATGTATCAGGAAATGAATTTAAATTGACATGTACTCAGGAAAGAGAGAACAGAGATAGAATGAGAGAGACATATTGTGTGTGTGGTGTCTGTGGATAAATGAAACAGATGGATTTACCAACAGCCATTACATAAGCACTAAAAGAATATGAAGTGTCTAAACTTTGAATGTTTGGAAAGAATAGAAAGATTGGAAGTTAAGTGATGTGTGTACTCTTAAATCTTCCTGAAGATTGGAAATCTCCTGATGAGCTGATGCTGACAAAAGCTTCTGGCTCTTTCTATCAATTGCTTCATCACTTATTTCTGAACTTAACATCTCAATCTCCTTTTCTATTCTATAAAGCTCCTCCTTTGAAGCACTCATAACATTGCTACCCACATAATTTCCAAAACTCTGCTCAATTAATTTACTTGCTTCTTCCAAAGTCCGTCCTCGTGATATTTTCAGCTCATCTGATTCAGTTGATCCTCGTGTAACCTTGGCCCCCTGGAGAAGAATTATTCATAAATCTGTCTAAAAGAGATAAATGAAGATTAAAACAATACGGAGTATTATTCTGAAGTACATACTGCTAGAAGATTTAGAACCATTCCATAAGAAGCAGTAAATTGTGAGGTAAGGGGTTCAAGTCCAGAAGATAGAAGTTTGCAGCACTCTTCAGGACCTTCATATGCGCTCTGAACAAGGATTACATGACCCATTTCATCAATACCCCTACGACCAGCACGCCCCGCCATTTGGAATAACTCATTTGAGCTTAATGAGACACGTCCACTGTCAGCCCTCTTGTTGAGAGATGAAATAACCGCTGTCCTAGCAGGCATGTTAATTCCAGCAGCAAGTGTCTCAGTCGCAAAGACAACCTTAACAAGTCCTCGCTGAAATAGCTCTTCAATAAATGATTTCCACAAGGGAAGACAGCCAGCATGATGTACCGCCAACCCTTTTCGTAGACCCTTCACAGAGGATTCTCTCACTGCATCGGGATATTGAGCTCGGAACCTCTTCAAGGCGAGATCAACTTCACACGCTTCACACTCATCTAGTAGCATACAGTTTTCAAGATATTGAACAGCTGCATCACATCCCTTCCTACTAAAAATAAACCACACTGCTGGAAGTATACCCCTTTCCTTTAGTTGCCATAATGTGTCAACAACTTGGGGCACCTGAAGAGTGAAATCAAAACAAGAAAAGCATAAAACTATTATTGGGTGGAGCAAGTGCTAGGAAAAGAGGATTACTAATTCACTAGGATTTGGTCTTTGCCTGTGAGCGGCGAAGAGCAGTTTTCTCATTCTTAGAGAGTAAATTTAAATCACTTTCATGTCTTCGTGACTTCCTCCTATACCATCCATCCTTACGTAAAATAGCCCCAGATTCATCAAGCTGTCGATTATTGAGTGGCAAACTGCTGCTCCAGTCATTAAAAAACATCAACACTGTCATTCAGATTTCTCTTTTGTCACTGAAGATATAAAATTTTCTCCAAATGAATCTGGAAATTTCATATTTGAACTATGACAGTAAAAACCGTAAAATATTGTTGAAGACACTTGAAAAGTTACTCACCTTTAACTATTACAGTTTTCTATCAAAAATAGGGCAAGCAACTGCATCTACTCAATAGGTACTACAAAGGTCTGATGAGTTTCTATAGACATGTCAATCATATCCATAGTTTTTTTTCTTTTTGCACAAAAAAGAACTTGACCATGAACTAAAAGATTATAGATTGCATGGAGAAACTTTTTAGCAACACCTGTTTCCAAATGAAGAACATTTACCGGTTTATGCTTTTGCCTTTTTCATTGAGAAGAGGTAGTAAAGCTCCTTTTGTTGAGAAGTGCCAAGTCAATGGAACAGGACGTTTATGCGAGGTCACCAACTCAGTTCTGCCGTGAATCTTGAAAAATCATGAAATTAAATGAATGAATGATGTCACTAATTTACAACAACCTGCAGTTATCTGATAACTGAAACTCTGAAAGAATAAAAGCTTAGGTGACAAAATAATCATAACAATGAATGCAGCCCATATAAGCTCCATCATCGTCATGATTCCTTCATGAAAAATACTCATAAATAAGCAAATAAAGATAAGATATTGGTTGTGCCATGAACTGGTTATGTAAACTGTAAAGTGGAATTTACTCTTCACTCTTGCATCCAAACGTGAAACAAAAAGATTACTAACCAATAAAGATGAATAAGGAGTAAAGAATAGCACAATATCATGATAATGCAAAACATAAATGACGGAAAATACATTATCTGCATTAAGTGTGTCAGCTATGAAGAGTAAAAACATGCCAGAGATAATATGATTGTTGTTAAGTTGTAGTACCTGACCTATCCAACCAGCCAACTCATCTGGATTGCCAACAGTAGCTGACAAACATATAAGTTGAACATCCTTTGGGCAGTAAATAACCTAATGAATTTAGACAAGTGAGACTATGCACCCCAATCAATTTATGGGAATGGCACCTAACTAGAAAATACATACAATTTCTTCCCATACTGTACCCCGAGATATGTCGCTTAGATAATGTACTTCATCCAAAACAATCACATCAACGTGAAGAAGCCCACTGTCCGATGAAGCCATTCCAACACTGACCAGTACATCAAAGGAAATAAAAATAAACATGACACCTTTGAATGAAAATGGAGAGATCAAAAATTTCTATTCACATATGAAAACCTCTATGCATGCCTTCTTATCTAGACCACTTAAAGTAGTAAATGACTTCAAAAGATGTAATATAGAAAAATTAAAATGGTAAATGTGGAATCATATGATCTAATGCACCTCTTATACAACATATTGCGCAAAATCTCAGTAGTCATGATTAAAATCTGGGCTTCTTTATTTATAGATGAATCTCCTGTCAGAAGCCCAACGTTCCTATCTCCAAATGTCTCCCTGAAAAGACAACCATTACTGGCTCTATTATTCTGTACTTGTTAAGTGTATCAAACTAAATGAAACAATCTTGAATATGTGCAATGTAATTCTTTAAATTATAAACAAAATCTGCAAATTCTAGACCGGAATTCCCGAAATTTCTGGTTTGACAAAGCCTTGAGAGGGGTAGTGTAGAACAATCGCCTTCCCCTTGCGGCGGTCGCCACAGCAGCAGCTTCAGCAATTAAAGTTTTGCCACTACTTGTTGGGGCAGACACCACAACAGAAGAGCCTCTTAGAAAAGCTTGAATCGCCAGCCTCTACAATGTAAGCCTTTTTCACTCCCAAATCAAAGCTAATTCAATCATTTTTAAAAAAAACGCTAAATCCTAGAAAAAATTTACCTGAAACTTATCAATTCGGAAACTGAAAACTGAAGCAAGCTCATGAACATCTAAAATCTCTTCTCCAAACTCCCGGACGTCCTTGCGAATCCTCTCGAATCTCTGCCACTTAAACTCCTCAAACCTCAATTTACCCTCTTCCGCCGCACCAATCGAATAATCAGACTCCCCTTCGCCCTCGTCGTCCTCGCCTCCACCGGATGCCTCGTCCGATACGTATTCATACTCTTCCGCGGCTTCCTCATCGTCGTCCTCTTCCGCCGCACCAATCGAATAATCAGACTCCCCTTCGCCCTCGTCGTCCTCGCCTCCACCGGATGCCTCGTCCGATACGTATTCATACTCTTCCGCGGCTTCCTCGTCGTCGTCGTCTTCGTACTCCTCGTCGCAGTCTTCGTTCTCATCCGATACATGAGATTCGAACGGAAAAATGGACCTTGAGAACTTGCAGAGAGTTCGAGATCGTTGGAGCGGCTTCACGGAGCAGAAGCCGGGGTTTTGGAAATGGGGAAGACGCTTATTATATAGCGTTAGAGAAGAAGAAGAAGAAGAAGGCTTGTGAATAGTGAGAGAGGTAATGGGGAAAGGGAGAGACGAGATAGAGAATGCTGAAGGTATGGCCATGGCGGGAGAGGGCCGAGCAGGGAAGTGTGCCCGGCGGTCAAACGGAATTTCCTTTTTTTATACTCCTTATTTGATAATCAATTATTAAGTATTTTATACGGAGTATTTAATAAAATTTGATTGACTTTATTTTCAATTTAATTTATTTGATTGTACTTGTAAAATTAAAAATAAAATTTATATATTTAAGAACTACATCAAAAATTTACAAAATAAGAGGTGATAATTATTTTATCAAATAATTAACGAAAATATGTAAAAAATAAAATTAAAGTTTGATCACGTGAATAATAACTGGAGAAAATATTTTAGAACGAAAATATTTTAGAATGAAAGTATTTAATTAGAATTCATAATTACTGTAATTTGACTAAACAATGTTAAAAGAAAAAAAACAATGGGATCTAGCTATGATTTACTAAAAATTAATTAGAGAGTATTTGTCAGAATACTCTATAAAATAGTTATGTGGTCTTTAAAAAATGATGTGTTTGATATTCTTAAGATAGAACTATGTGTCACGTATTTGCAGAAGCTTTATGTTTGCATGGTTGCCCCTCGTCGTAGCCACCATACTTGAAACTAGAGATTTCTTCTTTTTAGGACTTTTATACTAACCGTTGGGCTATGCTTCACCGACATTAAATTTAGAGGATAATTTTTTTTATACTAGACGACCTATTGCATTGCGATCTCGCGCAAGAAATCCAACCTTCGTCTTGGATCTATAGAGGGTCTATGACTCTAAGTATGGCAAAATGACGCTAAATTTTGTTTCGCATTGGCCGATATTATATTGAACCAAGTAACCAGCAAATCATTTTTTTAATGATTTTATAACTTGTACTCCGTATTTCAAATTGATCCATTACTATTCAAAAATGTTAAATTAATCAATTAATTATATATTATTGTTTGTTGTTCTTAATTCTTATTTATTTGAAGTGATATAATATACTCAATTCTTACATTAATCAATAAAATCCAAGCCTCTTAAAATACTTTATTACCACTCAATTTGCAACTTTTTATATTAAAATCAATGTATAAGTAAGATTTCTCGTGAGTTAAAACAAAACATACTCCCTCCGTCCCAAATTATTTGTCACATTTGTATTTCCGAGACAAAATATCAAGTTTTTTCAATTCATTTTATTTACATATTGGTAAATTAATAAAAAATAAAATTTACATATAAAAAACTACATGAAAAGTTTTTCGAAATAAGGGGTGTCAAGAATATTTTATTTTATCAAATATTTAATGAAAACGTCGAAATAAACAAAAGTACCCGACACTACTGAAAAAGCAAATGTTGTGAATATTTAGGGACGGAGGGAGTATACATTTTGATTAAAAATGAATTCAATTATTAGTGAGCCAAGATATTTTTTATTAGTATTTTTTTAAATTTCAAGAACAAAATTATTGATGTTACTATCCTCAAATACATTATTTTAAAACAGCATGATACCAAAAGACTTTAGTTGTAAAATCAAATTATTTCAATATTAACAATATTTCGTTAGTCCCACATTGGATACTACACTCCAAATAAGGTACAAAATCTCATTATTTTAAAAATCATTTTAATTACAAATTCATATAGAAATAAAAAGTATAGGTTACCCCATTTAAAAATACATAAAAAAACTACATAAACAAAAGGTAACAACAATAATTTATTTTACCAAATTAATAATAAAAATATACAAACAAATGAAAGTTATTGAGAAGTTGTAATAGTGATAGTAACATCTAATTTGCGACAGAGGGAGTACTATACAAGTTTTATAAAAATATCAAACCATCACGAGCTATATAACCTATATTCATCCCATATGGTACTTCGTAGAATAATAATTTCAAATCCCAAATATGCACTAACTCATGTTGTAAATTATTTCGATCGGACATATTATTCTTAAACATGTTAAGAATAACGAGCTAAGTTTTACAAATTACATCTAAATATAAATAAACAATTTTTTTACGTGAAAACTCAAATGGAAAAATTCACGGTGTTAACTTACCAACAAGAAGTTTTATTAATACACGGGAGTTTATACATAAACTTGACTTAGAATCCATGAATGAAGTTTTGATTTTTTTCTAAACATGGAGATAAATGTGTAAACTAAGAGGGGGTTTTGGTGGGGGGAGGGGGAGTCTATGGATATCATCAAAAAAATATAATAATAATGTTTTAAAATGTACACTTAAAAAAAACTTCAATAGTTTGTGAGGCAAGGGAGGATTGTGATCACTTATTGAGTATAATTTCACATTGTCCATTCCACGATCCAAAGGAGGATTGTGAGGCAAGGGAGCAAGAAAGTTTGATGGCATAATAATCATCAATTTTTCATCAAAATATCATAAAAACTTTGAACGAATCAATGTCATTGGATGACACTTGCCTCCAGGCTCCAGTATCATTAGAACTAATCTATATTAAAACATCCAAGACATTAATTAAAAAAATTCGGGATTATTTCTAAATAAATCCATTAATTGTACTCATTGTATTCCGAAATAAGATTCTTCATCTAGTTTGACACAAACTTCAAAAAAATAAAATTATATGATTAAAAATAAGGACCATGCTAGAGTGTCACCACATGGGTGCTACCATGGGTGCACCCATGCTTCGCACAGATAAACACAGACGATAATTATCATCTGTGCGACACAAACAATTATCGTCTGTGTTTGTCTGTGCGAAACATGGGTGCACCCATGGTAGCACCCATGTGGTGGCACCCTAGCATTTTCCTAAAAATAATGCACATAAGAGAGATAGATTTCGAGCAACAAAAAAAATTTCTAAAATTAAAAAGAGAAATCTTTCTTAAAACGTTTCAAAAAAATGGAAATTCTTTTTTTGAGAGGAGTACATTATTGGGACGAAGTCTATTGAAAGAGTATGGGTGTTTTGCAGGCCCATGTCGACTTCTAGTGTTCTACACCCTGTCTATCTGTATCTATATATATATATATATGTGCCTCTTTAATTTATTTCTTTTTATTTTTAAAAAAAGAAAGAAAAATTAAAAAAGTACTTTTCCTTCACAACCTAACCATCATCATCATCATCATTGAGGTGGAAGATTCAAAACTCTCCAAGGTGGAAAATTATGGTTTGCGTAGTGCAATCCAGTCTATATATGTCTCACCTGAAACCGCGTCCCATTTAAACCCTTTCCTTTTTCACCCCCCCCCCCCAATGGATCCCGTGTTCTTTACGGATTCCCAGATTTCCATCTCTTCTTCATTTTGAATCTCTATATATCTTCTTCTTCGCGCAGATTGCGGTATGTTAGCGGCGGCGGAGGAGGAAGGGAGAAATTTTACGGATTCTTGGAGTTCTTGATTGTGGATTATGAGGGGTTTCTTGATTTTTGCGGTGATTTTTGGGTTGCTGCCGCTGTTTTGCTTTGGGATCCGGGGATTTCCGGCTGTTGGCGGCGGAGAGTACGGCGGGTTTGGGTTTTCGGAGGCGCCGGAGTATCGCGACGGCGTGGAGTGTCCGGCGAGGGGAGACCGGGTGTCGTCGTGTGACCCTTCTCTCGTCCATGTGGCGATGACCCTTGACTCGGAGTATCTCCGGGGGTCTATTGCGGCGGTGCACTCCGTGCTCCGCCACGCGTCTTGCCCGGAGCACGTGTTCTTCCACTTCATCGCGGCGGAGTTCGACCCGGCTAGTCCTCGGGTCCTGACCCGGCTCGTCAGATCCGTGTTCCCTTCCCTCGATTTCAAGGTCTATATCTTCCGGGAGGACGCCGTCGTGAACCTCATCTCGTCGTCGATCCGGGAAGCTCTGGAGAACCCGCTGAATTACGCCCGGAGCTACCTCGGCGACATAATCGACCCGTGCGTGGACCGGGTCATATATCTGGATTCGGATCTGGTTCTCGTCGACGACATCCAGAAGCTCTGGAGCGTCGAGCTGGCGGGTTCCCGGGTCATCGGGGCGCCCGAATACTGTCAGGCGAACTTCACCAATTACTTCANGACGCCGTCGTGAACCTCATCTCGTCGTCGATCCGGGAAGCTCTGGAGAACCCGCTGAATTACGCCCGGAGCTACCTCGGCGACATAATCGACCCGTGCGTGGACCGGGTCATATATCTGGATTCGGATCTGGTTCTCGTCGACGACATCCAGAAGCTCTGGAGCGTCGAGCTGGCGGGTTCCCGGGTCATCGGGGCGCCCGAATACTGTCAGGCGAACTTCACCAATTACTTCAGGGATTCGTTCTGGTCGGACCCGATTTTCTCTCGGGTATTCGGGTCGAGAAGACCCTGTTACTTCAACACCGGCGTGATGGTGATGGATCTCCGGCGGTGGCGGGAGGGGAACTACAGGAGGAAGATCGAGCGGTGGATGGAGGTTCAGAGGGAGAGGAGGATATACGATCTGGGATCGCTGCCGCCGTTCCTGCTGGTCTTCGCCGGAAAAATCGAGCCGATCGAACACCGGTGGAACCAGCACGGGCTCGGCGGCGACAACGTGATGGGGTCTTGCCGGTCGATCCACCCCGGTCCGGTGAGCCTGCTGCATTGGAGCGGGAAGGGGAAGCCGTGGGCCCGGCTAGACGACGGGAAACCGTGTCCCTTGGATCATCTGTGGGAGCCGTATGATCTGTACGAGCGCCGCCGCCGCCGGCACGGTGGCAACGGGAAGCTACACAATCTTGCTTTGAGTGAGAGGACCAATTCTTTATTTTATTAATTTTTTTTAAAATATTTTCTTTTTATTTATTTATTTGTTAATGGATTTGTAGCCTTTTTAGTGATTCTTTTTTACTCGTATTATTTTAAATTTTGCTAATGATTGGTTTGTTGGTTGGCTGGCAAAGAGAGTGGAAATTCTATGCAAATATGCAATATTGGGCACCACGTACAAATATTAATATTTTTTGTATAAGTAGTTTTATTGATTTATGATGTGTTTATAAAAAAAGGTATGGAATTAGAAAGATTGAGTTAAAATGTGCATTTATTGAACCAATATCTTTGAACCAAAATTTCGGTTAATGTGTTTTCAAATATTTTTACTCTCTCCGTCTTTAAATATTTGTCACATTTATATATCTGAATTAAAATATTAAGTTTTTTCAATTCATTTTATTTATATATTGGTATAGAAATAAAAAATAAAATTTACATATTAAAAAATTATATGAAAAGTTATTCGAAATAAGAGTTGTCAAGAATATTTTATTTTATCAAATAATCAATAAAAACGTAGAAATAAACAAAAGTTCTCGCGATTGTTGAAAAAACAAATGTGAGTTATATTTTGGACGGAGGAAATATTTTTTAAAGAAACAATAATGTGCCAACACCCAATGAGGAACAAGTTTAAAAACTTAATACAATTATATACTCACCTCGTCTCAGTTTTTTTGTCAACGTTTATGCTTACTTCACTTTGGTCTCAAATTAAATTTAGTTTAATCAAATAAAAATCATAAAATTTTATACTACTTCCTATGTCCCTAAATGATTTACACACTATATATTTAGAAATTGCAGGAACTTTTATTTATTTGTATGATTTTATTGACTATTTGATTAAATAAAATATTTTTGTCACATCTTGTTTTGTAGAATTTTTGATGTATTTTTTAAATATGTATGTTTTATTTTTTATTCAAATAGCAATCCTTAAATAAAATGAATTGAAAAAAAATTAAGATTTTATTTCGTTTTGCATAAAGGGTAAATGATTTAGGGACAGATGGAATATATCAGAACTAAATTTAAAACGAATTCCAAAATATTAGATTTATATTATAATTAAATATATTTTTCACATAATTTATAATTTAAATTAGTATAAAAATCAAACTAATAAAAATATTTCGGGGGAAATGGAGAAAATAAGCTTTATTAACAAATTTGGTTGTTTAGCCAACCAACTAAGCTATAGCATAGGTCTATAGGGTTGTAGATAAGGTTAGAGTTTTTTTATTATTTTTCTTCTAATTTACTAGTACAAAATACTTAGACAAATGAAATGGTTGGAGGATTAGGCATAACAATTATTTAAAGTGTAGGAAATCCAGCAATCTTCCAGCTCACTTGGGCTTTAGTTCTTGACTTTTTCGCCATGTTCTTTTTCCCTTCTATAATATGGCTTCACTCCCCAACCATTTTAGCTTTTTAAAAGAATATTTAGTCTTCTTCTTTTGCATTTGAAATCAAAATCATTATTTTGGATAAATGATTAGTTCTATCATTAAGTTTGTTTAAAATATTATATTCGGACGTATGATGTTCGTTTTACATCTGATAAATACTTAGTTGTGTTGATAGATTTTAGCCCACCAACTATGCATGCACGAAGAATAACAAGAATAATAATAAAACTCTTGAAATAATGATCTTAATGTAGTTTGCATGAGCTTAATTGAGCTTGGTTACCGTGGAAGTTTTACCCACTATTTACTGTATATATATTACGACATACATGGCATGTAATCGTTGTCTTGGTTTCTCTACAGAATTGATATGACGTGCGTCAATTATGAGCGGAGAATTAGTCATCAATCATCCATGATCCGTGGGATTGAACATTCCCTCACCAGCTCATCCTAGCCTGGGCCCAATCTCTCGTGTAATTTTCTCCTTGGCCCACTCTACACCAAAGCCTAGCTTGATAACTTGTTGGGTCGATCATTATATTAGCTAAGACCAAAATTCATCACAAACCCCTACTTTCTTAAGTGATACTCCCTCCGTCCCGGAGTATTCGTCCAGTTTTGACTTTTGGAACTGTTCATCTAAGCACTTTGACTCATCAAATTTTCTCAAAGTGTAAGCCTAAATATAGTCATGTGTGATCTTGTTTGATTTGTTTTAACATATAGATTATTAATATATAATTTCTATAATTTTTTTATATACAAATTACAAGATAAAATGGATTAAATAAGTATATTGGATGATGTGTAAAAATGAAAGTGGACAAATACTCTGGGACGGATGTAGTATGTCATTAAGAAACTAATGATGAAAAAATCTCAATTCCTACATCTGAATTAGAAACGCCATGTCTGTCGCCTGCACATTATCTCGATTTGCACTTCATAACGTCTATAAACTCCCATCAAAGTCGGCTTTCATCTTCCATTCTCTCTACTGATCTTGAAATCTCGAAGCTCCATCTAGCAAATCTCTTCATCCTCATTCACCAACCTTCTCGAAATGGTCTCCAAACTAACCAACGACCCTGAGAACTGGCACCCTAATCCCATATAGATCAAAAATCCATAGCTCGACCTGATGTGGGCACTTCTAGGCAATGCCGTCAAAGTCCACCATCCCAGGGGATGTGCAAGACATCACCCTAACTAACAACCCCGAGCCGCACCGTTATCTGGTAATGTATTTTGACTTTGTTCTCAGTGGATTGACGTTGTCAATCCATCCATTCATCCGAGAGATATGCACAACCTGGCTCATTCTCCGCGGTCAATTTACCTCCAACGCCCACAATGCAAGTATTTTGCCTCTTACATCCTCTGTTGCCGGAAAGGAATAAAGTTCCGTCGAACATCTAACTTTTTTTCTAGCCCTAAAGAACATACCCTAAGTCATAGTAATAACAACCCAAAAGTGTTTTTAGTATGCTCTTCCACTAATTTTTCTTTTGTACTCTCGTATTATAGTTTAAGACGCGACTCACTATCAAGGTTAACTCGCTCAAGAAATATTACTTCGGTTCAGCTAATTTATATTAACCATTGCGACTCAAATTAAACTGCTTGTTTATTATTTATATGGTCAAACTTCACTTTTTTCTATTTTTGTTAATCATTTGATAATTTAAATTGTCATGTTACCACTAGTTCTATAGATCTTTTGATGTAGTTTTTTGGTATGTAATTTTTATTTTTTTATTCTGCATAACTATTTATATAAAATGATTCGAAAATAATTTCACTCAAATATCATAAACTAAAACAGGCATTTTAAATTAAGACGGAAAGAGTTTCATTCTTAACATCGACCGTGGGGCCAAATAATTTTTTCCCCAATCTAAATTTAAATGTACCCACACTCGACTAAATATTTGAACTCCGCACTTTTTAATTTTTTATGTTACTCCCATATTGTAAGTTATAATATTCTCTTCGTTCTAAATTTGGTTGAATGTATATTATTCACACGATCATACTCCATTCACATTGAACTTCTCCCCTGGCTTGAGTGGTAGCAAGCCATTTCCCCAGGATTCATGGGGAAATTCACCCAGATTCGAGCCCCAGCGAAGACAGTAGCATTGACTCTTTGTGCGTTATTAGCTTGAGAATAGTATGAACAGATACTACATTGTAATAGAGTCAATAGCATTCAAAAAAAAATACTCCATTCACATTTTTCTCTATTTTTGTTAGTTATTTGATAAAATAATACTCCGTATAATTATATCACAACTAGTTTTATACTCCCTCCGTCCCCAAATAAACTTTCCCTTTCCTTTTTCTTTGTCCCCAAATAAACTTTTCTTTTCCTTTAAAAAACCCCTTTTACCCCTTACTTTTTCATACCCTACCTATCACATCATACTTTTTTACTAATAATCTACATATCACATCAAGGGTATTTTGGGAAAGTCAACATAAAAATATCCCTCCCTTAAATCTTCAAAAAGTCAAAAATGGAAGTTTATTTGGAGACGGAGGGAGTAGATCTTTTGATGTACGGAGTAGTTTTTAAATATGTAATTTTTTTAATTCTACATTATTTTTCATGTAAAATAATTTAAAAATAACATCAATCAAATATCGTAAACCGAAATAGAGAATTTAAAATTGGACTGAAGCTTCACGAAAAAGACTATGGAGTAATTCAATGTTGGGAGAATTGATATGGAGTAATTTTCTTTTGGAAATGCCATGCTTCACTGTACTATGTAACACAGAGAAATTATGTTCGTGAAAAACAAATTCTTTTGTAGTAAACAATTATAAGGGGTACTACATTAATTTTTTCTCGCTTTTTTTGTTATTCAATTTTTTTCCCCTTTCCTATTTTGGCGATTTTTTTAATAAACATGTCATTATACTTTCAGTTTTTATCTATACTATTTACTGTATTCTATCATATTACATTACCTAACTGGGTAAACTATATTAGACCGGGTCTAGAATTGTTTACTTGATTCGATAAATGAAAAGGTAAAAACACGCAAAATGATCGGGAGGACTGTATGTGCAAACACCTGTAGCCCAATTGATATTATAAATATAGGAAAATACACGGGAGCTTTTACAAGGGAGCTTAGAGAGAATGAGTTCTCCTTCCTTCCTCTGAAGTTTACAGCAGTATTTATACTAAGCTAAAAGAGGATAAGGCGTCGTGCACCCACGTTGAGGCACGTTGCAGAGATGGCGCGAGGTGATTGCCTCTGTCCTATAGCGGTCTTGTCGCCTAGTGAGGAAGCTTACTCCCTTTGTCGTGTAGCACATTGGATGGATCCTTTTGTTCAAGCATCTCCAGTGATCCTTTGCAGATCTTGGTTGCTACGGTCCAATCTCCTTTGGATTCTTCTCTGCCGACAATTTCCAACTTCAGAAATCATACCGGGTTGATTCCGTGGGATGGGTTAACTGAAATTGGGGAATAAATGACGGATAGATTAGTTTGATCGGTAGACTATCCGAAGTATACCGGTCAACTTTCTCGGTCAACTGTACCCCCTTCTATTGAAGATTAAGGTCTCTCCTTTCAGTATAATCAATTTGACCGATCACGTATTCGGTCTTCTCCTTTTGACTGGTCCTGGGTGGAATACACCCATCAGGGTACTACATCAATTTTTTCTCGCTTTTTTGGTTATTCAAATTTTTTTCCCGTTTCCTATTTTGGCAATTTTTTTAAATAAACATGTCATTATACTTTTAATTTTTATCTATACTATTTACTGTATTCTATCATATTAAAGACAATCATAAAAAGTTATATAATTTTTTATTTTTCTTAAATTTCATGCGAAGTCAAATTGATTTTTTTTTGGAGTGAGGGGGAGTACAACTTTGTTTTTGGAATAATTAAAAAACAGAACCAATTCGAAACTTCAATGCCCCATTATTCCAAACAAACGGTTCCTTAACAAGGAATGACTTTTTTATTTTTTTATTTTTATTTTTTTGCCGCAGGCTGCAGCACATCTGCATCTTATCTTTTTACCCTTTGATGATTATCTCTCGGTTTACTTGTCTTTTTCACTTCACAGTTCACTCTCCAAATCTTCCCCTCTTTGAATCCAACACAACTTTAGGTATGGCTCTTACTACTAACAATTATCCCTTTCATCTCACAACCCATCAATGAGTTTCTTTTTCTTTTCTTTTTAACAAAAGAAAATTAAATCTTTTTCCTTTTCTGCCATTTTCACAACCCACACAAAGATTGCTTTTTTTTTTTTTTTTTGTGACTGTCCCAAACAGAGAAATCTTGAAGACAATTAGACAAAAGACATTACGCCCTTTTGAAACAACAGATTTAGCAGCTTTGGGAATTTCATATACTCCATTATTTTAAAAAAAAGTTTCTGAATTTAGGTTTATCAATTTGGGTGTTTCCAGAAAGACACAGAAAGGCACAAACTTCCAAGTTTTTTTTAAATTTTTATTTTTATTGTTATAAAAAATTTTCTGCTCCATTAGGGTTGAGGTGAAAGATGCAATTTTTTGTTGTTGTCAGTAATAATGTAGAAACATGGCACATGAGCATCCACTGACCGGTGGACATATTCTTGGTTTGGTTGGTCTTTATTGTTTTGATCTGCTTGTTCTTCCCCTTCACAGTAGATTTGATTAAATTAATATATCTTCCCATGCTTTGACTCAGAAGACCAGATATGGTGTCTAGATTCTCTGTATTGCATTGCTGTTGCTCTCTATCTCCTCTCTCCCTCTCTATCTAGCTTAGCTTTGTCTGCCCCCATTTCAAGATCAGCTGGTGGATCCACATCCACAGCAGTAAAAAAAAGTAAAAATAACAAGGTACTGAGTGAGATTCTGCTCTTAGAAATGGCCCATTGGGGGTTAAATTTACTTCTTTAAATTCTTTTTCTTTATTTTTAATCTTCACTGTACTGGCTTGTACTATGATTGTTCTGTCTCATAGTTGCAGGCTTTAATGTTCTTCTTTATGATATTCTTCTGGGTTGAACTTTTGTTGTTGTTTGAACTTACTTGTGAATGTGGATGAATTTCTTCTTCTTGTTCTTGTTGTTGGTGCTGTATAATATATTTATATATAATAACAGATGAGTGAGGCTGTGGCTTCTGGTCTGCCACTTGAAGTGTCAGTTTCGTTTGGGAAGTTTGAGAGTGATTCATTGTCTTGGGAAAAATGGTCATCTTTTTCTCCAAACAAATACTTGGAAGAAGTAGAGAAGTGTTCAACTCCGGGATCTGTAGCTCAGAAGAAGGCTTACTTTGAAGCCCATTACAAGAAGATTGCTGCCCGGAAGGCCGACCAGTCGGATCCGGAGAAGCAACTGGATCCCTGCCGTTCAAGATCTGATGAAACTAACCAGGAAAGTGGAGTTCAAATGGTGCCCGTTCTTGAAAATGGCGTCTGCCCGTCCAGTGTCTATAGATCTGAAGCAGACAATGTCTCCTTTGATGATGGAACTCCTCGGATGAACCTTGGGATAAGCAATGGGCATGAAACCGTGTTGGGTGAAGAAGAAGAAGTAGAAGAAGCCCCCCCTCAAGAGAAGCCTGAAGTAAGAAATGAAGATGGCATTGTCTTGGAAGAAGAAGAAGAAGAAACTCCTCCTCACAAGAGCCCTGAAATAAGAAATGGTGATGAAGTTCTCGCAGCTGAAGAAGAAGAAGAAGAAACTCCCCAAAAGAGCCCGGAAATAAGAAATGGAGATGAAATTGTTGCAGTTCAAGAAGAAGACGACGAAGAAACTCCTCTTAAAAAGAACCCAGAAATAAGAAATGGAAATGAAGTTGTAGCAGTTCAAGAAGAAGATGAAGAAGAAAGGACTCCTGAAAAGTTTCCAGAAATAAGAAATGGAGTTGAAGTTGTCACAGTTCAAGAAGAAGAAGAAGAAAAAACTCCTCAAGAGCATCCTGAAATAAGAAATGGAGATCGAATGGTCTCTTTGGTAGAAGAAGAAACTACTCAAAGGAACCCCGTAGAGGTCGTAGAACTGAAGGTGCTCAAAGCAGACAACAATAGCGGTAAGCTGAAAGGACATAAGAAGCGCAATGACCACAAGGTGATTTTTTTAAACAGTTGGTTATGTGATTTTATTTTTCAGTGCTATCTAATGCATTTGATATCACTAGTATTCAACATTTTCTAGTGTTCTTTTGGTAGTTGTTACTCTGTATTTGTTTGACTCCACCGAAGCTGCACAGAGATGGGGACTGGTACTTAAGTGGGGAAAGTAAAATGTGGAAACACCATTTTTTCTGAATTTTACAAAGAATTTGTGTGTTGGGATGTCCCATGTACGCAAACAGGGATGTTTCAGGGATGAGAAGTGTCACTTGAAAAATCCGTGCAACATAGGATTCCACTGGATTATCCGAAAAGGAAAAGAGCTTTTTGTAAAATTGGTTTCAGCAAAGAAGCAAATAAAAGGGCTACTCTTTTCTGTTTATTCTATGGCCTTTAATTGATTTCAGCCAAATAGCCCATAACCTATACATGGATTTTTACTTTTTCTTGTTGTGTTTAGATACATCCATCTATGAATGATCCAATGCCAATTGGGACAAGGAAAACATTGGCATCGCCAGCTGTGAAATCTTCTAGAGTTTCTGCTCCTAGATTATCGTCACCAGAACTATCTTCTTCCAAGGTTTTGGGAAAGAAGCCAAGCGGGTCACCATTGCAGAAGATCATCAAGAATACTCCCCTGAGAGAAACCAAGAAATCATCTCCCAAGGTTGTCTCCCCTCAATCTTCAACTAAGATTCAGAACGGTTCCTCATTGCTCAGGAGCAAGATTTCTTCCCCCATCACTGATAATAGGAGAGCAAAAATGAGTTCTATGCACATGTCCCTCAGTTTGGGCCCCGCAGCGCCCACATCAGAAGGTACACAGAGAAAATCTGTTGTTTTGGAGACAGTCAAGGAAAAATCTCATTTTGCAATGAGAGGGTCTTTGATAATGGATAAAATGGGGGACAAGGAGATTGTAAAGAGAGCATTCAAGAGCTTTAGGAACAGCTTTACCGAAGTGAAATGTTCCGGTGATGAGAGATATAATGGATCTGAACAGGTTTGTTTATCTTTTCGTAAGACTGTTTTTTAGTTTACATTCATTTACCTCCACTTCCGGTGGAGCCAATAGTCATTATTGACAATCTTTTAGTTTCTGGCACATAATGGACTAAATCAAAATGGAAAATTGAACTTCCCTTGCTTCTCAATTTATATGAAGTTATGGTTTGATTTACTTGAGGACTTCATCTTCCTATTTTATTCTTTATTAGGTGACGCCTAAAAGGCCTGAGCAGAAGATTTCACCATCTATGGCTCGCGGAGAAAATGCGAGGTAAAATTTATGCATTCTTTTCTTTATATTCAGAAAGAACTTTCCCTGACTTACAGTTAAGCACCGTCTGTCTTACTGCCATCTCTTAAAGAATCATTTTTTGGGCAAGTACAATTTTTAGTTTTAAAACGTATCCGTTTCAGTCTTAGTTTAGTCATTATATTGACGGTTCATTAATGCTAAGTGTCATAGTGATTATTCATGAGAGGATGATTTCATCATTTAAAATTAAGTTGTGTATATGAAACATTAAACATATACTCCTTTCGTTTCTTTTTAACGGATTATTATGACTTTCTTGATACTTACAAAATGAATGTATGCAGACATAAAGTATATCAGCATTCATTCATTTCCCAATTATAAAGAAAATCGTATTAGCCAGTTAAAAAAGAACAGGGAGAATAATAATGTTGAGACGGAGAAATTAAATGTTAAAGTTTGACACAAACTCCCAAAGTTACCTTCATTTTGAGGACCGAGGGAGTAGTTTAATGGGAAAGTAGGCAAGTGTAAACTTCATTTTGGGATGAAGGAATTATCTTCTTTTTTTTGAAAATGACATGGAAAAAATAACTCCGTTGATGAAATATGACCTTTTGGGATTTTTTTTAAAAAACTCAATTCTTTTTTTGATTAGTCTAATCTTGTTTCTTCATTGCGATAAAAAACATGTTCGGTCTGAAGTGCATTTATTTTAGTTTCTTGTCCCTCTCTTCAGCTTCCCCTTTTTATTTGCTTATTATAATTATCTTGAAATATGCTGTAAAAAGTTATTGACATAAAACATGTTTCTTGGCATTCATCTATACATGGTTTGTGCTTTATCTCATTATATAGATTTGGGAAGCTGGACGAAAAAGATACTCCTCAGAAAGGCCAACCTGTAACAAAATCAAAATATGTGCCATCAAGGTGAGATTTTTTGGAAATTTTTATGCGTGCCGTTCCCCTTTTTAATGTCATAGATAAACTTCCCCTTGTGAAAAATTGGCACATTACCACCCTTTAAAATAAGTTTTATGCTTTTAAATTTTATTGCAAGTAATTAAATGTATCACTTATAAAATAAATTTATTAAAAAAAGCAGATATAAAATGAAAACACAAATTAAAGATTGTCCTTATATTTCACAAAGTTAAATTGTTAAAAATTTATTTTTCCAGACATATGTCCAAATAGCTTGTCAAATATGCTCAATATAGTACTCCGTATTTTCTCTGTATTGTATACTCCGTTGTCCCACAAAACTTAAACCACTTTCTCTTTTTGGATGTCACAAAAAACACTTTCCACTTTATTTCTGTTTTAGTAATGAACATGTAGCTTACAAGATTTCTTTCTCATCTTAACAAGTTCGGTAGCATTGAGCCATTGACATGAATGTTTCCGAATTTGTTTTAGATGAATGTTCAAACTCATTTAGTCATTTTTATGTATTTCTTTTATATTAAGGTTAATGAATTTAAAAAATTTGATTTTTTCCCCTAAAAGCATGATTATTTAAATTTTCATTTTCCAAGGACCTTGGAATATGAAAAATAAAATAATCATGTTTTTTAGTATAAGAAAATGGGCTTCCTTGGTATTTTATTGTCCTATGCATCAATTATTCAAACATACCCTAACGAAACCAACCTTTGTAATGGGTAGGCTGAATGGTATGAACTCATGAAGGGGTTCATCTTCTTTAAGGTTCTTTTGTCTGTGTTCTCACTTTATTAGTGTTTACTTTGCTTGTACTTCTATGTTTGAGCTTGGGTCTCTTGGAAACAACCCCTCTACTAGCGAGTAGGGGTAAGGTCTTTGAACACACCCTATGATCTCCCGAGACCCTACTTCTTGTGGGATTTGAGTCATTTGACCGAACATGTTGTTGTTGCAACAACGAATATTTGATCTCTAAATTATTTTACTTGGGAACAGGACGCCCAAAGATGTAGGCGTGGAGAAGAAAAAGACGATATTGACCAAACCTTCATTTGGCCTGCGCAACCGAAAGATCAACGAAACGCTTGAGAAAGTTAGTAAACATCTCCCACTTCTCTAAGTCCCAAAACCCGCTTTTTGACGCAATTTTTTGGCCTCCTTTTTTAAGTTGGCATGTGGGCAAAAACGCCGAGAATTAATGCAAACATGGCCTTGTTTCCAGAACCGGGCCGTGTCCACCCCTATGAGTAGGGTTCCACGCTATGCCTGATCGCCCTTTCACCCCCTTTTGCGTTCTTTTTTTGCCATCTAAGTTACGCGACTTACGTCGACAGCATTCTTACGGGTTTTTTTTATATATAATTTTTTTTTTGCAGGAGGGTAGCAAACCAAGGTCCATCAGCCTGTCAAGCAGGTGAAAGTGAAGCCAAGAAACCAGAGAGCAAATAGAATCTTATGAACATACAAAAAAAACCAGCAAAGTTATGACGTCACCCATTCTTTCTGTGTACAAATACCCACCCCCACCCCACCCCCCCAATGTATGAATTAGTTCTGTGTCACTGTTCATTTCCTTGCAAGCTGTTTGGTAACAAGGATGGATAACTAACTGAGAAAATTACTGTGTTTTTATGTGTAGTACTGACTAGTGGTATTATGAGTTGGAAAAATAGAGGCCATGGAATAAAATAAAGGTTATTTTAGAGTTTGCTTGCATATATACATTCCTAAGGCATCTGGATTATATTACTCAGAAAAAAGTTTTTTGTTGCTGTTAGTGAAATTCTACTAAATTGTGTTCAGATTAATTTATTTCAATATTGGTGTAATTTGAAATAATAAAATCTATATATAGTTTATAATCCCTATGTTCTAAAGTTGGCTTTTCATTTCAACTACTCCCTCGGTCCCTATATATTTGCCACATTTGTATTTACGAGGTAAAATATCAAGTTTTTTCAATTTATTTTATTTACATATTGGTATAGAAATAAAAAATAAAATTTACATATCAAAAAATTACATGAAAAGTTCTTCGAAATAAGAAGTGTCAAGAATACTTTATTTTATCAAATAACCAATGAAAACGTAGAAATAAACAAATGTTCACGCGACTGCTGAAAAAGCAAATGTTGTGAATATTTTGGGACGGAGGAAGTATTACAATTTTCGATACAATACTTTGACCATTAATATCTTTATATATATGTAAATATATATTGTAAAAGTAAAACATTTCAAATTTATGTTTTAAAATGAATTTAATGATATTAAATTTATATGAAAATTTAACGTATTTTTTCGTAATATGTGGTCAGAGTTTAAAAATTTGACCACAAAAGTCAACCTGGGACGGAGGGAGTAATAGTTATAATCGAAAGCTCTAAAAAATAAATTCTGACTTGATTCGTGCTATTCTAGCAAATGATTAATGAAAATAAGTAGTGGAAAATAAGTAGTGAAATGAGAGATATTTATACTGTGAATAGTACAAAAATAGTTTAAGATTTTTTGTACATAATTGTGCTTCCAAATTTTTTAGATGAATACTCAAAGATTACATATTGTGGTCTCATATATGCAAGTAAAGCGGAAATTCTCTTCGATTATTATTACAAAAATATTGAATTTTATGTAATCTTGAAATACTTTCGTAAAGTTTCAAATTTTTGAAAGTATTAACAAGATTTTTTCCTTAAAAATAATATATGAATTTTTTCTATCACTCCAAATAAAGAGTAATTGTTTATAGTATTAAGAAATACTCGTTACAATATATAAATTCCAAGAAGCAAATGAACAAAATGAACCATTTATATTGTTTGAACTTTGCTGCTGAAAAGACTGAATTTTCCATTCAAGAAGACAGTACAAGAGAGATACACAAGTGCTCTTTTCAAAATCAGGAGAAGAAGAGGACCAAAATTCTATTTCAGATATACCTAAAGGATTTGTATTTGAAAAAATAAAAAAAAGAAAAAAGAAAAAGGGTACAAATGACATTTCAGTGGCTTTACAGGTATTCAGATAAATCTTCTTGCTTCTCCAAATCCCATGTTACTACTTTACCATCCAGCCCTGTTCAGTTGAGAGTAAAAAGCTTTAGCATATTATGATCCAGAAAATGCTACTTTAACCCTATGGATGACACCAAGGTTGACATGACAATCAGTCCATTAGAGAGTCATTATATATATAAAACACTGACAATGTCAACCTTGATGTCATCCACGGTGTGACTGTAGGATGACCCTTACGATCCATGTTCTATAAAGTGAAGTGTTAGGCCCTTCGCTTGGCGCCAGAGGAGGCTTGAGCGGGGGTGTAGACATAGACATGATTAGACAAGGTTAATTCTGGAAATCATTCGAAGAAGTTTTGATGCCGTTTGGAATCCCGAAAAAATGCACAAAGAGAAGATAAAGTGAAAAATAGAGAAGAAATAGAAGGAACTATAATTTGAGTCTTGTAGATAGATTCAAACCTCTCTGAGTATGTGTATGTGTACAAACTTCTAAAATAAATATGTTTAATTTTCTTATAAGAAAAATAGCTTTAAATGGCATGTTTTCCCTTTCTCAAGTATTTGCCGGGATCCAAACATACCCTAAAAACAATGTTTGACGAATAACAACAGATAAGAACATACTAACCTGATGTGCTAAAATGGGTTACTGCACAATCCCCAGATCTCCCAAGCGGCATAATGCAACTGAAAATATCCAAAAGGGGAGAAATAAGGAATCAAGATCTGCCTATTTAGATAGACATAAAGCCAAACAAGCAACACTTAATATGTAAATTATTACTTGATGCAGTTTTCATGGGCGGCTCGTGATGGCTCAACCGAGTTGCTGTTTGCTCCATGTTTTGATTGGCCATAGAATAACCCAAATGCTTCTGAAAACTGGAATGTGAAGATAAAACTTATGAAATATGATAGAACCCAAGCAAAATTATGCATTGGAGAAAGGTTCTACTAAAGAGACCCATTTGTTAATATTAATCGCCTTATTCTGCTTATCAGCAACAGAAGAGGTGACCTTTGATTTATTTCGCTGAAATGGATTTTGCCAAACATTTTTCCTTTTAGAAAATTCAATAGATCAAGTCATCTCAGCCAAATAACCCTTCACATACGGCCCTAAGTAGAAGCAAGCCAGTTTAAAGTACCTGAGATCCATACTTTGTGCTAGAAGATGTTGGTTTCCTTTCATCTAGGAACCTCAAGAAGCTCCTACATAAAAAAGAAACAAGTTTTTTTCCACATCTATAAAGAAAAAACCTTAACTTTGAGATGGATTAACATTGACAGAGTACCATTTACCTCGAAACCAATAAAGGGCACACAAAAAAAAAATAAGGGCAAGTTTGGTATCACAACCAATTTTCCATTATGGTTTTGGAATTTTGATGCCCTAGTGCGGAGATGCGACAGGCTTACGTTGGTGGAAGTGGGGGAAGGGGTGGACCTAAGAAGAATTGGAAGGAGGTGATTAGACAAGACTTAGAACTCCTTGCCCTTTTCGAGGATATGGCCCTAGATAGGATCATTTGAAGAGCTAGGATTAGAGTAGTTGGGTAGGCGCCTTTGGCTAGAGGGTAGTTTCCTGTACTTGTGTGCTTTGTATGCCTTGTAAGCTTGGTGCTCCTTGATTGCATTACTTTTCCTTTGTTACCTCTAGTTTCTTCTTTGCCTCTGCGCTTTGTGTATCATCTGTGCTTTAATTTCTCTGCTTTATATATATCTCATATGATCTTTTATACCAATGCAGTTTGAGTCGGGGGGGTCTCTTGGAAAAAGCCTCTCTACTTTTGATTAAGGGCAAGGTCTGCGTACACATACACCCAGACCCTACTCTCATGGGGTCCGACTGGTTATTGATTTCATAATCTTGTATATCTTAGAAAAGTAGAAAACAATACCCAAGGGAGGGTAAAATGTTTGTGTTGGATATTCAACTTACCATAAACCTGTTTCATCTGACACAAAAATCATTGGATTACAATCAAATCCGACTCCAATGACCATCCGCTCCGAAACAAAAAGCACCTGAGAGATTTGTGTTGATCATGAATACAAAGAATATAATGTGAAGAAACAAAGTAAAATGAGAGTGGATGCTGACCCACATCGCGAAGAGGCAAATCACGGAATGCTATACTTTGCGCAGAAGGGGAGGGGCCAATTTCATCAACAAAGTAAATCATTGAATTGTGCCCTGTGGGATCATACTCAGCAGTAAATACAGATTACCAATCAAACTTAACAATACATATGCCCACATTATACTTTTTGTCTGCATAGATATCGGGGAGAGGAAAAAAAGGAATCTCTGACCTACATAAGCTAATGTTTTGCCACTTGGAGACCATTTAACACCAAATGCCCAGGAAAATGAGAGATCGAGCTGAATGATTTGCTGCATGGCAACATGAGTACAACAAAATTAAGAATCCACAATGCTCCATCAGTACACATTGAATCCTAATAAAGGTATGTTCGGCTGTCGGGAATGTCGTGAGGGGGTGGGGTAGGAATCTGGTGATGCCTTCCTCGAGTTCCTCCCCTCATTGGGTTTGAAGGAATAGAAGGTGGGGGGGGGAATCCCCCCCTCCCCCTCCTCAATCCCCTCCAACCAAACACACTCTCATACTCTATATAACCCCTTCCCTCCCCTCCCCTTGAACCAAGCACACTAATAGCATAAATACCTCAGCAAATCAGGTATTGGACCGCGGTTTATGCAAAATACAATAGTTAACTTTAAAACAAATAATAGGTATACAAATATGTTTGCATAGAATTAGAATGTTCAAAGAATATCCATAGCATTGTTAAAAGAGGGCCATTTCTAACCTCTCCAAATTTTGAATCTGAATAAGAACCTGCCACTGACTGCCTGCTCATTGAAGCAGATATAGGACACAATAAAAACACATGCGGAAACACATTAACATGATACAAACAAGATGAATTGCAATTTGATAAAGGTACCTTGTGTCAACACCCTTAATGAAAGTAGAGAATACTCTGCACTTTCCATCAGTAGATGTTGTAGCAAGGAGAATCTATCCAATGAAATAAAATACTTAAATTAAGTTGACCAAAGAATTATTCGCAGCCATGATTTTGACACAAAAATGACTAGTGTTATTAACTTATTAGAACCAGGCTGAAATGTAGTTGAGAGAAATGGATAATAGAGTAAATGTTAGTCTCATTTATTCATACAATATTAATTTTGGGATTAAGGCTCTGTGTTATCGTTTCATTAGCTTTGCTTTGCATGTATCAGGATTCAATTCAACCTCCACACCTATATTAAAACTTGAATGAAAGTTCTAAATCATTCAATAGAGAGTAAGAATAAGTCAATAACTTAATTACATAAATGACATGATGGCAGCTGATGAAACCAAACAGGTAATAGATAATGAGAGCCTCTAATGTTACACCACTTCAAGGGGTGTAACATCGTGACCCCAATGGTTTTGAGGCACCTACGGTGCTTCACTCGTAAAATTGATGGGTCATACCCACCTAACCCCCCCCTCCACCCCCATCAATTTCACCCTGACCCCACCCCAGCCCCGCCCCTAGATCCCCGATTTGGCAACTATTTTTGCATGTTGATTGGGGTGGGTTCGGGGTGAAATTGATGGGGTGGGGGGTTTAGGGGGTGGTTAGGGGGGTAGGACTCATCAATTTTACGAATGGAGCACTGTAGGTGCCCAAAAACCACTGGTGTCACGAACCGGTGTCATTTTTCTTGGTGTGACATTACAATTTCCCATAGATAATAACACACAAAACTGTGATATTATGTGTACTTGTTATTTATGACTTCTAAGTTATAAGATGGAGCAACTAAGGAACCTTACATTATTAGGATGCCAGGCAACACTAGTTACAGAAGAGTCGTGTCTTTTCCTGATAAGCTTACTGACCCACCTGTGAAGGGGGGAGCATTATCCTTAAGAAATATAAATAACGAGATACGGAAGATAGAGAAAAAACAGCAAATCATTGACCATATTATATTACGGTGTGATTGTGTGAGGTACTGTTCTAAATAACAAGCTGCAATATATTAACAGAGAAGAAAAGGTTTGAGACTTCAGACAAACCATTCTCACATAGTTCCACACATTTTGCAATGTATTAAGGCACTTAGTACCTGACTACCTGCTTATGAAAGCAGAAAATTACCAGTTATTCTCTTGCTCGTAGTAACATATGCAAACAGTTTTGGCCCCGCTCCCAACTGCAAACTTGTTTTCTGTAAGTAGAAAAAATATCAATGTAATGTTCAACCTTTTGTAAATTCCAAGTTAATAAGGAAATATCATGCATCACAAAAAGCCTACAAAAGTATAAGCAATGAAAAAATTATTATGGCTTATTGACACGGGCAAGTTTCAAGCATGGAATAACATGGAATAAATTGGTGGTTCAAGCTTATAGGTCCTCATAATTAAACATAAAGTTTGAACACACAATATTCAGATTCCATAAGGAAATGATGAAATGCATTACATACACTGTCTGGAGTTCTGGAGTATAACCAACATGCAAAGTAGTAACTCACTAAAGGGAGATAATAAAAGCTGCTTCAATACCTTGAGGGCTCCACTGCACACATAGAGCAGCACGATTTAGCCTGAGGATAACAAGTGTTGGCACCCATTCAGTTGCTTCAAGGTTCCAAACATACCTGTGTTTTATTTTAGTAATATGTAAAAATGAAAATATACTTGTAATTAGACAATTAATAAGATCAAGTATGCAAAACATGCAGGCAGAAAATCACTTACGAATTACGATCATGTGAGACAGTAACAATTTTGTTGGATCTCATACTCCAGTCTATCCCTGAAACAATTTGATCGTGCTGCCACATGAGGCAACAATGGCAATCAAGGGTTCAAGGGTATTGTCAGCAAAACTATCAACAACAACAATCCTCAATTTTGATACATTGTGCTTAAATACATTAACCAATAGAAAATCTCCAGAGGCCATCCATAAAAATCAACATTTTCCTCTATCCTAGATATAGTAGAAAATTACTTTGATGGGGTAAAATAGGAAAAATGAAGTAGGAAGCAAACAAGAAACAGAGAACCAACAGAAGTTATATGTAAAATATCTAAAAGAAATAAAATGTCATCAAAGTTAATACCTTTTGAAGAATATGGAACTTCTCCCATTTCTCTTCTATTAGTCTAAATATGTGCACTTCACTGTTGTTTGGGCACAGGGCAATCACTAGAAAAAGGGTATATATCCATTAGAAAATTTTAAATTGTAATCCAATAGGAGTATTAATAAGTAGACACGACCACATGTACAAGGGCCAATTCTGTGGTGATTCAACACCAGCAAGATTCTAAACCATTGAAACATACCCCCCCCCCCCCCCGCACACACAAAACAAAGTATTCTTGGGTAACTAACTCAATATTTGGCTTCAGTTTGTCCCATGATTAGCATTTCAGCGGTGAACTAAACTGTAGACCAACTAAAGCTACACCCATTATTTGTTTAAAAAAAAAGAAGCTACACCCATTATTTGTTCAAAAAAAAAGAAAAAAAAACTACACCCATTATGAAACATCTGTGTGCAAACAGATAGCATTGCATTCTCATCAAAATCTTGGATTCATTGACAAATATACAGCACTTCAACAAGCAACAAATTAAAACTAACATCGCATCTTCTTCTTTTTTTCATTTAGCCGGTAGAAATGAAAATAAGCAGGAATACAAATTCAGAACGTCTAACAAAGAAGGGATGCGAATGTACTGGAGCTATCAGGACTCCAAGCATGGCAGGTGATGCATTGATCGAACTGATTTACTGATTCCACAGCCATTGATTCTCTGGGCTGCGATTAACGAAACCTAGAATTAGCATTGCCTACGGGGAGGAAAGATCAACTTCAATCGAACATTACAGCGAATCAGAAGAAATTGTAGGATCCGAATGAGTGAATTGTAGGGGAGATCCGAACCTGAAACAAGATCTATATACACTTTTCCGAATCAGAGATTAGCTGGGAATGAGGAATGTGTAGTCCACTCCAAGAATCAGCCCGCTTGATCCAGAAGAAATATACAGAAGATCAAAACCCCGTAGACGAACCCAGGGTCATATATTCTCCAAAGTGGGAGCTCATACCCAAAGCTCCTCTTTTAACACTCTTTCAAGAAAAAGTAATAAGAATATAGTCATATTTTCTTGAATAAGTTCTGATTTGATAACTCCAATCAAAAGTAATAAGAATAGTCATATTTTCTTGAATAAGTTCTGATTTGATAACTCCAATCAAATATTTTCTTGAATAACTCCAATCAAATATTACACTAATTGATTTGATCTAATATTGTTGCACCAATTTAATTAGAGTACTTAAGGTATTCTTGTAAAATTAGTTGTTCCAACTCAGTGATCCTCTACTGATATTCGGGATGTCTCTTGTGCACCCTCATACTTCCTTCAATTGCACTGATCAAATTTTAAGTAAAAAAATTGATCATAAAGTTAACAAAAATTTGAATGTCGTGTATGAGGATTTACTGAGGCCCAAGGGGTTACTGGGGTTAAGAGAAATTAGTTGAGATTTACTTATGGTGCTCCAATTGAATTAACATAACAATTTTACACCAATAAATGCGTGTATAATAGCCAACCATCTTTTAAAAAATGTACTCCCATAGTTGATATTTTTCAAATTGTCCCAAAATTTCCAAACAAGAGCCTATAAATATTTTTCTCCCAAGTAGCCTAAACTTGTTTGTCCTGGTTTTCTATTATAAGAGCATCACTACTCATTTTCTTTTATTCTCCTCCTATATCATCCATTTATAATGCCACATCATTTTTTTCTCTCGCAATCATTGGTGCACAAAAAATTAAATATGCAATGCAATAATAAAATATTTTCTCTATTTTTCTCAACTCTGTAATTATTCTTCTCTCATTTCCCTTTCCACGTCATCTTATTCCCCTCTCAGTCTCCCTCCACCATAGATGTCCAAGACGCAAACATAAACTAGGGCATATTCATTGAAGAGAGCAAATATGAAGATCTATATATATCCAAATTTCAAAAAGAAAAAAAACTCAACTATTGTATTTAATATTTGAGAGTTTTTCTCTGTTCATGCTTATTGTTGATAAATAGTTTTGAATTATTAACTGTTTAAAAATTAAATATTCTTTCGTGCGACTTAAATGATAAAAAAATTATTTGAGAATATTCATAAACTGTGAAATATAATTTTGTAAATAATCTAATAGAAAAACAAAAAAATTGTCTTAAAAATAATAGCTACTTTTTTTTACTTATAGCAATTGATAAGCCATATCTTTTCCACCAAAACACACGGCCTCAATTTGTTATCTCGTTCGTCGCGGTAGTCCTGTTTCAACTACCGAACGAAACACAATCCAGCAGTACTCGTCGGAAGAACAATGGAGTGTGCCGGAAAAGGGAGCCGAACGCCGTGCTCTGGACCGGCCACCAGGCGCTGCGGACGCTGCCAAGCCGTTGCGTACTGCTCAATCTCTCACCAGGTATTCATATGCTCTTTGTCAAATTCATCTCGAATTTCCATCGCCAATTAAGCTAACAGCGTCTTAATTCAGAATGTTTTAGCTTTAGATAAATACTGGACTCGATTAAAACGGCACAATAAAAATCAAACCTCTTCTGCTTCTTACTTTCAATGAAGTTTTGGTAGTAAATCCAGCAATAATACATCAAGGGGGGTAAGACAACACAATTTACTGGTTGCTGGTAAATTCATCTTGATAATTGAATTTTACATAAGGCTCCAAAGACATGTCTATAGTAGTTTATGCTACTGTGTCAAGGTTTCACATTGGAGTGTTCATAAGGAGGAGTGCGAAAGGCTGGAACAACAAATGGATGACGCTGATGTTATTAGTGATTTCCCTTTCACATTCACCGAAGAAGCTACTACGAAGGTATGAATTGGATTGGATTTTACCTGTTTTAGAGTTCGGACATCAATTTTTTGTTTATTTGATCTATTGGGTAGGATTGTATGGAAAAAAAACATATCCTTTGCAGGTGTTTGACCGCAGCCAATCAAGGTGTTCATTCTTGGAAACTCGGGGAGTTCACCGCCTGGGGATGTGGATGTGGGAGTGTGCATGTCGGCCAAAAGTTGATTCTTTAGATGTATTAAGGTTTTCCTTCATTCTCCCGTAATGTGTGTGTCTATATATATATATATATATATATATATATATATATATATATATATATATATATATATATATTCCAGGAAGGAATATGATTATTTGGAATTTTGGATATGAAATCTTCATGTCTTCTTTTACCAGTGCAAAATAATCATGAAGTATGAAGTCTTTGACTCATTGTTTAGATGTTGGGCTGCCATCAATAATTCCCTATGATATACTCCATCCGTCCCATAAAAAGAGTCTAAATTGGTTTTTGTCCCATATAAAAGTCCTACTTCTCAACTTGATTATAAATGCAAGTAAACTTGAAGCTTTGTAAGAGTTGTATCTTGGTAAAATTTCGAAGTGGTGCATTCATCAAAGTGGACTTTTTTTACAGAGCAGTGAGTGTTCAATTTAATGAAAAAATCTTAGACGTGGTTTTGTGATGAAATTGGGTGTTCCTAACACTATAGTTGCTTTGGTTTGCATTTTCAAAAAGAGGTGATTCTGATTTTAAAATCAGGTTATTTTGGAAATCACTAGAATTGATTCGTGCCACTGGTTAGGGTGACTTCCAAAATATCACTAGTAGATTATAGAGGTTATGAAATCTTGTTCTGGAAACCGGAATCATGCATCACATTTTGCCCAAAATATAAACATAACAGACAAAAGGATGATTGTGTTTCTAAAATAAGAAAATTCACACCACACATGTAAACCAATGGGATGGAATCTTATTGTATCTTATCAATTAGGTTTGTTTTGTTCTCAGGCATAGTGAAGGATGGAATCTTTCAAGCATACTATGCCCTTGCAAAGGTAATGCAAGTATTTTTTGTTAACATATCTATATGCTTAGTATTGCTATAAGTGTTCCTGCAAATTACTTAGGATGAGAATATTTACGTAGGGCCATCCTCACCAATGCTGAAGTGTATAAGTAGCTGGAAAGAATACTACGAATGGAGGTGCATCCCACTAAATTCTCCTGTTGCATTACTTCTTCACTGGGTATGTTTTGTATTTAAGTGGGTGATTATGGATGTTGACTCTTGATCATTTCCATATACAAAATTAAGGATTATGCTTCATATGCCACACCCTATTTGGTTAATCATACTTAAGCAATTTTTATTCATATAACTTTGTCCATCACCACCACCACCGTCACCTCAATCACAACTATGGTAGACTTGACGACATGATTTTTGTAGTGTCAACCAATTGTCTAAATCAGTTCACATTATAAACTCATGTAAAACATTGTGGTGAATACCATTCATATTGAAACCTTCTCTTCAATAATCAAGCTAGAATTTTCTCTATCTAAGCTTTGTTTTCTCTCTAGCCCCAGACATCTGAATCCTTTGCTTCTAAAGAAGGATAATGAACTGAAATGCCAACTTCAACGTCATCATACGGACTTTCCACTTGGAAAATATCAAGATGCAACAATGAGTAATGATAGTTGCTAACATTTTTATTTTGCAAAATTGATATTGCGAATTGTGATATTGCAAAATCTATAAATCATGGAACCTCACTCGGTATGGAACTTTGTTGTTGCAATTCAAAATCTAATCTTCTTAAAGCAATTTTTTATTTCATGCATTTTCATACACTATTACACTTAGTGTCTTCATCCCATCTTTTACAGCCACTAACAGTGTATTGGGCCATTCAACTTGCAATCATGAGAAACCTAGTTTCTGAACTTGAGGGTGGTGAACTTCACATACATTATCTAGGTACCTTGTCTTGAGCGCTCTATACTTATATGACTTCGTAAATCATCTTACATTTATAACTCTACTTCTCTCTCAGTTATATTTTGTAAATGTATAGAAAATTATGGGTAGGGGTAAGGTCTGTGCACACTCACCCTCCCCTGACCCCCACTGTGGGATTTTACTAGGGATGTTTTTGTTGTTGTATACAAAATTATGGATTCACTTTCCATTTTCCCTTTCTTAAAACTGTGAGTGTGTGACACTAAGTCCGTTCTCTTCTTCATGGTCTTATATACCAAAGGTCCAGAAAAAGAGCTTTGCCAACTTGCTGTCTTTGGCGAATTGCATGCACTTCTCCCTGGAGTTAAGATAGACATATATTTTGTTGGAAATAAAGTTCCACTGGACAGGTAAACTTTTTACCATTTGTTATTCACCAACTTGCTACCTTTTCCATTTTTTAACATAAAAAAGTTTCTTTAATGCATGAAGTTTTAAGGAGTACTCAGATTATTATTATTATTATTGTTGTTGTTGTTGTTGTTGTTGTTGCTGCTGTTGTTATTTCTCGTTTGTGGTTACATCTTGCCCAAAACATTACTGGCCTACTCTTGGCTGGGATGTACAGGGTATGGTTTGGATGACATCACTTGCCTTTTGTTTTTTACTCCTAGGGATGGTGACAAAATTGGGCTTTACAGTTACTGTCGTTGCATTGAGGCAGACTGTGAATGCAAATCTATGAATTCTAGTTTTGGATCATTCTCACCCACAGATAAATCTTGTCCAGTGACGTTACATCTTTATGCTGGTTATTATCATGATCGTTACAGAGATCTATCAAAGGTTGTTTCAGTGTAGTTTCCTTTCCAGTATCTTCAATCTAGATAGTCTGATGGGCTTTTAGGTCACCACAGTTGAGATTGTCTTAGTGTACCTTGGATCGCCGTCCTCAAACTTACGGGTGTGTTTGGGAGATGCATAATTTTTTTAAATTTTAAAGTAAAGAGAAGGGGATATGGTTTGTGCTAATGACTGGGGCAATGACTTCATACTAATCTATCATTTATACCAATATCACTTATAGTCCAAAGAGTATTTTCCTAAAATGAATATGAACTCCCACCACCACCACCACATCCATTACACCTCCAAAACCCTCCTCCCAAACATACCCTAAAGCTTCATTTGGAGCCCAGAGTATTGCAGGGAATGAAAACAAAAATAAAAATGAATGGAATAGTAAAAGAAAAGAAAATCTGAAGGAAAATAAGAGATAATCCTACCCCCCAAAAAAATATGGTTTAAAACTTTTTTTTGAAAGGTTGAAAACTTTATTTTATTGTCCAAAGAAGAATATTTGTCATGTTTGATAAGGAGTAATATATAATATATATATATATATATATATATATATATATATATATATATATATATATATATATATATATATATATATAGGGTACATTGTTTTATAGTGTACATTTCTGGAAAACCAACAAATAATTTATATATATAGTTTTTTTTGAAAGTATATAGAGTTTAATTAAACTAACAAATAAATTTTGTAATATAGTTAGATTTGATGATTTCTAATAGCCATCTAACAAAATTTAAAAGTTTGTGAATTTGTGATACATAACTCCTATAGTGGGAAATTAGGATTATGATTTTATTTATTTCTATGTTTCTATTTCATAAAGACTAAGAATAAAAATGTGTTATACGTGTGTATAATGTATTTTTAGAAAAAGAGATCCTTACTATTTTCCCCTTCCCGTATCAACTTGTAAGATACAAACATAACCTAAAGCCAAGAATTGAATTGTGTGTATAATGTATTTTCAAAGATAAAACCAAACATAATAGATCCTGATATTTTCGCCCTTCTCCTAGCAACTGCTATCCTAGAAATTGTCCATTGGTTGTCTGTGAAAGGGTCTTGTCTGTGGACCAGGCCCACAACTATGCTGTGGTGCGCTAAGCAAAGCCCAGGGTTCAGATCATTGTTTCTTTGCTACTAACAGTTCAATGTAAAGCTCACAAATTATCACTATCTGTTATGCTCTGTCAGGAGTCTTCCCCAAGTATAATTATTGCCCCAAATGCTGGTATTGCTGCTTATAGGAGCTGGTTACCAACAATAGTTAGTCCTTAAACCCATAGTTACTCTCCATTTGCAAGCCAAACAGTGTTTATATGCTGCTAAAACCTGAATGTTGCTGTTTTCCCCAGGAATTGATAAAGAAGATTAAAGCTCCGGCGATTTTCTCTGATTATTGCGAAGAAGCTTGTTGTCTAGCAACGAGTTGTTTAAGCTCAGTAACTGGCTCCGAACCAAGCTTTCCTGTAAGCTCTCTTCTTTATTCTGATTTTATTAAGGTTGAGACTAAATTTCCCTTTGCAAGTTAGGCAGTGTTTGTATGTTGCTAAAAACATCACCTGGATTTGCTAAATCTGCTACCACTCATAGAAAATTGATATTTGTCATTTAGGGAGTGGATTTAGTGAGTTAGGGTGTGGATTTAGTCTCATCCTTTTATTAAATAGAGCATGTTTGATGAGCGAACAAGTTTGATATGATATGAGTTCTGAAATCTAGAAAAAATGATATGAGTTCTAAAATCTGAAATAAAAATCTTTCGAAAAATGTGATTTGATTCTTAGTGACAAGCAGTGGGTGGCTGCACCAACTGTAGAAGGCGGTGGTAGCAGGTAGCTGGCGGTGGAGGGAAATATCAATATACTGGATTGGTATCTTCCAAAATCTTGAGATATCAAAATACCCTCATTCGGGGAGGTTGTGATATCGGGAGATTTCAAATTCGAACATGGTTTATATTTCAATAAACACCCACAAAAGGTTTCTTATATCGGAAGAGATATTAGAACCCATATTTTCTGCGCTCATCAAATGGGCCCTTAATCTGCCCTTAATCTGCCATCCTAAGTTTTCCTAAATTTGTTCTTTTTGCATGCTTTACCCAGATTCAGTTAAATCCCTTCAGGCAACCCCTTGCAGTTGAAGACAGTGCTCTGTGTATTCCTTGCCACTCCAATTGTTTTCTTTTTGGTATCTGAAAAGGTTCATTTTTTACTCTTTTTTTAGTGAATGAATTTGTAGTTGAATATTTTGTTCTCAGATATGACTCTATATACGGAGTATACTATAAGAGCCCTTTGTGGCAAATTATAGTGTACATTCAGATGTAGATACATACTGTGCCATTCTTCAATTTCATTTGATTGCTCTTTTTCTTTATAGAATATCCATTATTGTCCTCACATAATTGTGGTTGTTTTCCTATTCTTCATAAGCTGTTTAAAAAGACAAAACTCCACTGTATATCTGCTAGGTTGAGATTATAGCTAGATAACTGTCCAGCCGGTTTTGGAAGACACTTAGATTGGATTCATTATTTTAGTTTTAAAGAGAGGAAATATAAACATGATTTTATTTTACTAATATTTTATTAGGAGTACAATTATACAAGAATTAGAAAGGATAAATGATATCTACTCTCCATCCCAGAGCTCAAAAGTACTCTTGTAAGGTCCATACTCTGAAATGTAGTCTATGCCAAGACACCCTATAGCCTGTGGGATTCCATTGATCTTCTCAGCTTCTTCTAAACTCACAATCAAATATCTGCAGGTTCTGCTTCATCCTCTCCTTGTCATAGCTCTTCACGATGATTCCAATCCCCTGTTCATTGACCCATCTTAAGGCTAGCTGCATTTGTTGAATCAATCCCTTCATAACATTTTCAATCATTTGAACCACACTTTCATTTTCTAGTGTTTGGTTGAACGTTTGGAGAGGAAAAAAACTAGTGTTTACTGTTATAACATGATAAAACATGGTATGTTTCAATCTAAGTAGAAGGGTAGAAAATGTCTAATGCCTGAAAAAAAGTAGAGCTCGTTTTCCTCTAAATAGGATTCATTTTTTGTCGACTCCTATTTTCGATATTTGGAACACTTGTTTAGAGTTCATCTTTCATGCTTGTTAGAGCAACTAAGCAAACAACCATCAGTTTGTTATCAAATAGGGCATTTACCTGAGCAACTGTTTTGCCTTCGGCTTTTGCTATTTCCTTGAGCACCTCACAATCCAAAATTCTCTTAGTACCGTAAAAGGTTCCAACAGAACCTAAAACACCATAGCCAACCACAATCATCCCATGAGCTTTACAGAAATCTCTGAGCTTCTTTTGCTGCCAACATGGATTCACTTCCACCTTTCAAAATGCAATCACATCTTTGTCACACACTTATCTTACAACGGAAGGGGTTCCAATGACACTCTACTTTAGTGTCATTGGTTGCCACTCTTTATCCAAACCATTCATCTCATCTTATTCACCATCCAAAGGCTCATAATCACACCCTTCATTAAATCTTCCCAAAATAAGCGATGTTTACTATAACCCTCTGTCTCCATCTCTGTCCTTTCATTTGCACAGCATTGTGCACATCGAAAACCTCTACGCATCACGAAGGACTCCATCCCTACCTCGCCCTCAACCTGACGCTAATCATGCCATCTCCCCTCCAGGTATAAACCCTAGTTTGAATTTGGGTCTCTTTTTCCAAATTTTCTGCAAACTCAGCTCGAATGACGTTTAAAATTGAAAAGTTTTGTGCGAACCCTATTTTTGACTTTGGTTTTTGTGTTCATTTTTCTGCAAATTTGTTGAGCTTCTGCAAAGTTGATATTCTGAACCTGTGCTTTTCGAATATGTCTAAGGTGTTCTACTCTGAACCAGTGCAAATTTGTATCTCATTTGTTTCAAGGTGTTCTGACTTTTTTTTAAATTAACAACACCTAATTTATGAGCACATCCCAATACAGAGTGTGGAGCTTGTGAAGCAATTTCATTTTCATAGCCCAGTAAGGTTAAAGAGCATCAAAAGACACACAAGAGTACTGCTTAGTGGACATTTTCATACCCATTTTTATTGTGTCTCAATCTGAATCCTCTTTTGTCTGAAAATTGTTAAATAATTTCCATTTCATTTTAATTGCTGACAGGTAAACGCAACACAGAGTACCGAGGTTGCTTCAGAAGCACATTCTCCATCTTCTTTGTTCTTATGTCACTGTGGTGAGGCAGCAAAGGTACGCGTCTCACGCCAACCTATTTTGTTTGGGAGGAAACTCTACTCGTGTCGTACTTTGCTAAATTTGCCCAATGGTAAAATTTGGAGTTTGCGATTTCTTTGAATGAAAGTGTGGCGCTTGGCTTTACTATTTGTGTTTGTTGTGCTAGTGTATAGAAAGTGGCCATATTAATATGTTACTATATTGAAACGACAAGCCCATCCGCTTTATGTTGTGTAATGAATAAGTGGATGACAATCGTATAATATAAACTGCATTTGTGGTGAACATAAACAACATTGAGTTGAAGCGTATAATATAAACTGCATTTCAGGCAAGTTCAAAAAAAAAGACTCCTTGCATGTTGTAGCGTTTTGCCCTACAACCCGACATAGGGCCTGTTTGAGAATAGCGTTAGAGATTAGCGTCAACGTTTTGGATAAAATTTTAACGGTGCAGATTACTTGGAAAACGGTAACGCTGAACGCTGCTCGTAGATAATCTTTTCAAAATGCTAACGCTATTCCCGAACAAGCACATAATCCACATTATGTTGGATGTTTGTGGAAACTTCAAGAGAATTGAAGCGTTTGTTGTCTTTTTCGCGATCTTTAGTCTACAAAATATTTGGATTTAAATAGCACATGCATTGACAGCATGCTACTTTCACATTCTTGACGGAGGATTGGGTTTGTAGTGACAAGGGACACATCTGATTTATTTGTAACATGGGTATAATCGAGTGTACCGTAGAAATTGTGCCGATCTTTTAATTGAAACACTTAGATCTTAGATGATGTTTTGTTACCTAATGTCAAACAATTTAAACAGCAACACATTCGTAACAAAAAGAGAACAAATAGAAATGAGCAATTGATAATTGCATAAATTAATGTATTATTCAAACCATACACATTCTCCTCCAATATGCAAATTTTATTTTTTATGGAAAATTGATAATCAAATCGTTTATTCATTTTTTCCTACATGTAATAAGCTTGTGCTTGTTGTACTTGACCTTGAGCCAATTGATTCCAATGGAGGCTCCTTCCTTCACCTTGTTGGCGGCCACTTTCGTCTTCTCCACCCCTCTCTCGAATTTCTCGCTCATTTTCCTCGAAAGCTTCGGGGATGGCCCACCGAGCCTCGTTGGCCGCTCCTCCGCCGCCTTGCGGTAGCCCCCCGCACCGCCCCACGGGTTGTCGTTGGGCGGTGCCATGGCTGAGAAATGGTTGTGAATGGCCACCACCACCCCAAGGGGAACAAGATTTTTGGCTTCTTTTGATTTCTTTGGAGGAGGTTTTTGGGCAAGAAAATGTGGGAATTCTATGGGGGGGGAGAGATGTATGGGGGGAGTTTTAATTATGTGGGGGAGAGAATGAGTGGCTTCCACGCAAAGAAAGAATTCGATGTGCAACCGGCCAATGAAATGCACATGGCACCTATAACTATAATTCTTTTAATCTCCAGAAAAAAAGCATTCTCATTAATTTTGACTTTTGGCAGATTTTTAGAACATTGTATCTTATAGTTGATTTTTTAATTTTATTTTTGAAGTGATGAATAACTTGTGTAAGAAATGATATGGGTTAAATAATTTTTTTTAATGAAAAGTAAAAGTATTCTGTGAGAAGAGTCAAAAGTAAAATTGAAATTATTTTATGAAACGAAATGTGTTATTTTCTCCCAACAATAGGATATTGTAAAATATTTGTAAATAATGTGTATTGATTGTAACAATGTTTTTACCCTTTTTTACTTGGTGGTGGTGGCAATCACCGGCCACCACTTAGTGACGATGGTTGGAAAAGAAATGACAAAAGTATTACTCCCTATATATTTAAAGTGATCATTACATGCATTAATTATTTATAATGAATGCCATTCATTTTGTTAGTTACGGGCAATATTAGATGAAATCACTCAAAGAAAGTATGTTTTAATAGTTGTTGTTTTCAGAATTTCAGTTAATACTGGGTATTAACTAATTTAGGAGCTGTTTGTTTCAGCCTCTTAATGGTTCAGCACTTAATGGTTCAGACTGTTTGTTTCAGCCTCTTAATGGTTCAGATGTCTGAATGGTTAAGAGATTTGCCTCTAAATGGTTAAGTATTATACAGAGTCTGAATGGTTAAGACCTCTTATCTGAATTGATCAGACATTTGCCTCTGAATAGTTAAGCAATATATTAGCTCTTAATGGTTCAGATCTCTTACTGGTTCAGCACCTAATGGTTCAGACCTCTTACTGGTTCAGCACTTACCTATTTAGAAGTTGCCAAACAGCCACTTAAAAGAGTGTTCTTTTGTACCACTATTTTTATAACATGAATTAGTGGCATGCAAATTAAAAAAAAAATCTTGTGATGATGTAGTGAAGCTAAAAAGTAAGAAAAAGATTAGAGGAGTCTCTTGCTCGAGATCATAACCACACGTTTGTGATCGCAAAAAATGTTAATTGTAGGGGAAGTTTTGGTCCTCGAGAAGCGGAAGCGGTAAGTTTTTTATTTAGAGATTGATTCTAAGGAAGTGGTTGATGCTCTTACAACTACGACACATGATTGGTCAGATATGTATCTTATTATTCTCGATTGTAAACATCTTTTGGCCGATTTTGGTAAAGATGTAGTCTTTAGTTTTGTTTTCCATTCTGCTAATGAGATCCTGCATCTCTTAGCGCGAGCTTCTCATTTGATCTACTTCAGAGCTTGGAAGAGTAGATTGAGTCTCCTCCCGACTTTATTACTTACTCTCATTAATAAATAATTTATTCTTCAAAGAAAAGTAAAACGAGTAAGAGTCACATAAGAACATTACCTTGCACTAAATATTGTTTGAGATAAATATGGTAACACATGTTAAAAAAAGGTGGCAAAAAATTATAACAAACGATGTTTAAATTATTTTAATAACTGAATAACCTAACTGTGTCCAAATAAAATTCACACACACCATTTCTTTCTCTTCTAATTCCTTTCAAAATCTCCTAAGATTTATTTTTATTTTTTCGATTGAAAAAACAAATTCTTAATGCATAATTTTGTTCCCTTAAATATAACCATATGAACATCCCACGAAGAAGGGAATAGTCAACCATTCAATCTTGGCCAATTATCGAGAAAACACGCTATTATAGTCTAAGCTTCTCCATATAAATTTTCACTTCAATTTTTTTCTTCTTTCAAAAAACCAAAAAAACCAAAACCCCAAATTTCAACATGAAAAACTATTATGCTTTGGTAATTATTCAATTTATTGTCACTTTCTCCGCCTTTGAACATTTCGCTCGTGCCCATTTCTTTCCCAATATTACTTCCATCCCACTACCACGCGCCTTGCCCGGGAACAGCAGCGCGTGGGACGTCTTCAACAAGTACCTCGGCTGCCGCGCCGGCGAGAAGGTCGACGGGTTAGCCGAGCTCAAGAAGTACCTCCATTGCTTCGGCTACATTTCCAACTCCACCGGCTTCACGGATGACTTCGACGGCTTGCTCGAGTCGGCGGTCAAGATTTACCAGCGGAATTTCAATCTCAACGCGAGCGGTGAGCTCGACGCGCCGACTATCCAGCACATGATGCGGCCGCGGTGCGGGAACGCGGATATCGTCAACGGCACGTCCACGATGGCCGCCGGCAGGCCGCGGAATTCGTCGGCGACGATTCACGCGGTGGGTCATTACTCGTTTTTCCAGGGACGGCCGCGGTGGCCGGAGGGGAAGACCGAGTTGACCTACGCGTTCTTGCCGGAGAACCGGCTGACCGACGCGGTGAGGAGCGTGTTTGCTCGGGCGTTCGAGCGGTGGTCGGAGGTGATCCCGATGAATTTCACGCCGACGGAAGCGTACCGGGCGGCGGACATCCGGATCGGGTTCTACGCCGGGGACCACGGCGACGGCGAGCCGTTCGACGGGTCAATGGGGACGTTGGCGCACGCGTTCTCCCCGCCTTCCGGGCGGCTTCACATGGACGGCGATGAGAACTGGGTGCTCGACGGCGACTTCCTCAACGCGCCGGCGTCGATCTCCACGGCGGTGGATCTGGAATCCGTCGCGGTTCACGAAATCGGGCATATGTTGGGTTTGGGCCATTCTTCGGTTGAAGAAGCGATCATGTATCCGTCAATCGGGTCGGGTACCCGGAGAGTGGAGCTCGCCCGAGATGATATCCAGGGGATCCAGGAGCTTTACGGGTCAAACCCGAGTTTTACCGGTCCGGCCGCCGCGTTGAATCCTGCCCAGGGAAACGACGACTCTAGTGGGGCCCAGTTTTTGTGTTTATTTTCAAACTTTAGGCTCCTTTTTGTTTCGATTGTGTTTTTATTTTTTTATCATTAATGTTTTCATTTTAGTTTTGTTGGGCTTGAGGACTCATGGACATTTGTACTGTTGAATATAGAATTACCACATTGCCACATTAGTATATACCCTCTCCGTCCGATAATGTTTTACTTATTTCGATCAACGTATAAAATTTAGTGATTTTCAAAATGATTTTATTCACAAATTGATAAATAAATACGAAAATAAAAAATTTATATTTAAAAATTACATAAAAAAACTCTACAAAACAAGATGTGATAAAAATATTTTATTTTATCAAATGATCAAGAAAAACACATAAACAAATAGGACAAGGTTCAAGTGACATTGAACCTTGATGTCATGGGATGATCCGGGGGCGCTCCGGTGCCCCGTTCGTAAAATTGACGCTTCTTACCCCCTAACCCCCCACCCAGCACCAACCCAAACACACACCCCACCTCCTTCAATTACACCCCACAAGTTGATTTTGACTTTGGAATCAAAATTTGGACGGAGGAAGCACTTCTTACGGCTCCGTTGACACTGGTCAACGGGTTCACTACAATTTTAGAGCACCTAGGGTACTCTATTCGTAAAATTAATAAATATTTCCTTCCTAACTTTGACTTCCTCCAAATATGTGGCTATTCTTAATTTGAGATGGAATAGTAGTATAAAGAGATTGATGAGTATGTGATTAGAGAGAGGCGCACTACTTTTATTGGTTACTTTAGCTAATCCCATAATCTTTTGTAGTTAATGGTTTCGAATCATTTCAACATTGTGGTCGAATTTTTATTGGTTGACCGTTGACTTATCCGGATGTACGGTGTATTAAGAATTCAGGTCCTATGTTTCTAGATTAAACACTACTCTCTCTCTCTCTCTTTTAAATGGATAATTTCTTAAATACATTAAAAAATAAACAAGTAATGAAAAATATATACTCCGTTTAATCTAGTATTAAAAAGGCTAAAATGCAGGGTGTCACCGGGTAACTCACACTCCATAAAAATTGTGAAATTTTTTAAATTTAAGCGTCATTCATGAATATATAACTCATTAAATTAAACAACTAACGATGCAATTTAGGCTTTCAAAAAATAATCACTAAAAATACTTCTTTCATCCTTATACTTAAGTCTCTTTGTGGATGATGAAGTTTGTCTCATTTAATCTTTAAAAATCAAGTTATTCAAATAATGATACAATTTGTTTAACAAAAAAGGAATACTCAATTTTTTTAAAAAAACATCAAATCCTGATTTCTATAGAATAAGATTCACATGAATATGTAATTTTATGAAATAATTAACAAAAAATAAGTGCTACTCAAAATAAAAATTAACAAAAATAAGCAAAGAGAATATAGAAAGGATGTGACATATTAGTATTTTTCTCTATTTTCTAGAACGAAAAAAGGTTAGTAAAGAATAAAGTGGGGGGAAATAGAGTGTGTACGTACTCCATCTATATATCTTTCTATAAAATAACATCCCATTTTGAACAATGTTCAATATCTTATGTTTTAAAAATTATTTTACTTACTCCGTATAAATTTGTATAAAAATAAAAAATTTAAATTATATTTTAAAAGTGAATTAAAACTTTTACTCTGAGAGAATATGTGGTAAAAATATTCAACACATAAACAAATACATAAAATTTACAAGGATGTTAAATATTTATGGAATGAGAGAGAATCTTTATCATTTTCATTTTTTAATGGTCGATTTTTCGAATTTGGCCGGATTGATTTTAGACCCCATGCATGCACAATCTATCCCAAAATCTATGAAATAAACGTCTTGTGACATAGCATCACTATATAGTGTGTCATCACATCGGTTCAAGTTGACCTTTAAGTTAAATATTTAAAAGAATTTTGGTCATCAACAAAATAAAAAAGTTATTTCTCAGTCTAAAAGTCCATAAATAGCCCTTCAACTTTGTGAGTTATGCATGATTGGTCATTCAAGTTTCAAAAATTCATAAATAGTTCTTCAAGTACACGTCAGCCCATATAAAAGCTAAATGGAGTACTAGCTCCATATAATATCGAGTAGTCGTACCTAGTAGAGTTTACTCGTATTATGCGGAGCATTAAAGTATGTGAAAAAGAAATATTGTAATCAAAATAGGAACAGATGGAGTACAAATTAAAGTTGTTTTACAAAGTTGGGCCTTTGTATTATTGGGTGTGGTGTGAATGTACAAGTGTTTTTTGGTTGTGTGAACGGTGGAAAAAGATCGAGACACATATCTATTTCCCAATAAAAATGACTGTAAATTTTAGAATAATGATCTATTACTAATGCTATGTGTTAACGTGCGTGAGGCAGGGCTCACTACCTCTCTCACGCCTCCTTCAAGCCTTATGCACGGCACCGGCAATTCATTGGAGGGGCATAGCCCTTTTTCGCGCGCACGATGTTCATCTGGGCGTTGCCCTTCATTCTTGTTTTAAAAGTGATCACCAAACAAAATAAGTCACATTTCCATTCCATCACTTTTTATGTCACGCCCTCAATCAAGCCTTACAACATACATGTGTCTATCACTTCACATCGTATTTCTTTACACTCAGTCAAGTTCGGTCAAATTCTCATTAAGCCCGCCATATCACATAGTCGTCTAACTTCAATCTCTAAAAATTAGAATTACTTTTAGAAGAATGTAAATAATTTCCTTTTAGTTTTTTAATATAGAATGAATAAAGAAGAAATACAGATTCGCAGCTCACCTAACGCCATGTTGGCCATATTAAGGAAATATCTTATCCAAAATAAACTCCAACAATTTCTTATGAATTCCTCTGACTTTTTTTATTTTTAATTTATTATTCCCTATGAAATCCCTTTTTGTCCAGCTACTACACAAAAGAGCATGGTCCCACTTTCCACCACAAGCCAGCTGCATTTGCCTATGTTTTTTCTTTGACTATAAATTACATGAACTAATAAAAACATTCTTAGTTTGCTCAAATAAAAACTTTTAAAGACAAATTATGTAATTTATAATGTAATAACCATTCTCATTTAATTTTTGAAAAAATCAATTTCTCAAATTTATCTTTTTCATTAATATAGTGTTGAGTGAAATGATGAATGAATTTAAAAAAAAAATCATTTTAGATTTGAAATCTACAATCTAAAAACTAAAAATTGTTAGTCTCAAAAATAAGAGGAACACATGTTTCTTATTGGATGTAAATTATACAGTACTAATAAAACGAGAAATATATTTATTTTATTTTTTTAATATTGAGATGTTGCATTTTGGTAAATGGTAATTATTTACCGCCTTAGTTTTATTTGGCATGTGTAATAATCTGATAAGTGATAACTAAAGTTCGAAATTTGATGTCAAAAATATAAAGTCTAAGTACGTTGAACTAAGAGATCTATTATGTTTCGTTGATAAAATTGATAATTCTTGGATGGGGGTGGGGTGCATGGGGGGAAAGGAAGCAGGGGGTTTGGGGGAGGTTAGGGGTGGTAGTTAGAAACCTTGAATTTTTTCAAGTGCTCCGAAAAGCCAAAGTTATTTGAATTGGCCCAAGCCAACAATAAATTCACTAATTTATGTCAAACAAAATACGTGAGTAGTAAGTAATATTCTTCTCATTTCCCTTTAATTTATTATTCCCTATGAAATCCCTTTTTTAGAAATTTGATCTTAGTTAGATTGCGAAAAATATATATTATATTAAATCGTTAGTACATATTAAATCGATAAATTTATTTTAAAACGTAGAGTTTAATAATTATCATATTTAATTTTAAAAATATATGTCAATATAAAAATCGAGATATTAATGGTCAAAATATTATATAGGCGATCGTAAAAATTCAAAATGAAAGAAAAATATGGGAGGAAGAGAGTAAACTATTTGTTTGTCATTAAATTCTCATTTTTTTGTATGTTAAAAAATGAAAAAAAACATCGTTTCATTTTTAAAGAAAATGTGAGGCAGGTATCGTATTAAAAAAATCATCCTAAATAGGACTAAAACATAGGAAAAGTACCAAAATAAGAGTCTCATGTTTTTATTCCCTAAATAAGAATTCACAATGTGGTAATGTGACAGTGTACATGTGTATTTTACGTAATGTATATGGTCATGATTGGTAATGTAAATGCATTATTTTAACTCTTATTTTGAGAATAAAAATATGGAACTTCTATTTTGGTATATTTTCAATATTTTACTCTATTTATATATAAATATATATCATAAGTATATGATACTTTAAAACTTAATTTCAAAATGAGTTTATTGATATTAAATTTAATTATATTATTATAATCCAATATATTTCTTATATCTTTTATTAACAAAATTTAAAATTGTTGGCCAAGAAATAACAAAGAGTACAAAAGAATAATAAAGCATTAAAACCCATGAGTATAAAACTTGTTGGGTGTACAATAAAGTAGGTATAAATGCATGGAGTATGTACTTTGATGTACTAATAGTGATGGGGCGATTCCCATAACATAACATGGGATGATCCAGTAGCGCTCTAAAATTAAAATCAATTTGTAGGATGCGGGGTGGGAGGTTTAACGAGAAATTAGTAGGTAGAAATCGTCAATTTTACGAACGAGACAATATAACACACCCGGGTCATCTCATGACATGGGGTTTTAATATCATGGTAACCCCACCAAATAGAGATAGCCAAGTTGCACAATTCATCCTTTTAAATTTCTTCACTTTGGGTTATAGAACTTCAAACCATTCTTTCTCTCTTCTCTTTTATGTAAACCAAAGAATAAAAAGAATAATGGGACATCATCCAAATGAAGAATCATCCCTTTATTCACAACCAAGTTTACCCTCCGTCCCTTCGCTGACGCCGCCGCCGTCAGCCGCGCCGGCGTCCAACTATCATTCCTCTTCCACAGCCACCGCCACCCACCGCTGCCTGGCCACCATCAAGGGCGGCGACTCCTACGTGTTTTGCCTCTCCCTTGCCGGAAAGCACCTCTACATCGGCTCCTCCAACGGCGACATCGCCGCCGTCGTCTCCGGCGGCCGTGATGTTAGTCCGGCACCGCGTTTAGTGGGTCGGAGTGGGAGTGCGGTGAAGAGTATAGTTACCTTGGGTGATAAACTCATTAGTGCACACCAAGATCATAGGTATGTATGTATGTATGGTAAATCTATGTGCATATTAATTTGCATTAAATTATCCTCCATTTAAAGAATTAATTATTAATTACCCCCTTCCAAAAATTAAGGTCAGAAATAGTATACATATGTCAAAATATTTTTTTTAACCTTTTTTATTACTCCGTATTTATTTTTAGACAAATTTTTATGGTCTTTAGGTGCATATTCATTTCATGCAACATAGTGTATTCATATCATAAAAAAATGAATCTTGAAAGAAGGGATTTACTTGTCAACCTAGTTATGAAAAGTATGAGAAGGTTCACACTCCATATACTTTCTTCGTCTCAATGTATTTGTTCAGTTTGACTTTTTCGAGCCAAACTAGACAAACTTTGAGTTTCAATTAAATAAAAAAACATAATACTCCCTCCGTCCCAGAGTGTTTGTCCACTTTCATTTTTACACACCATCCAATGCACTTCTTTAATTCATTTTATCTTGTAATTTGTATAGTAAAAAATTATAAAAATTATATATTAATAATATATATGTTAAGACAAATCAAACAAGATCACAAATGACTATATTTAGGCTTACACATTGAGAAATTTGATGAGTCAAAGTGCTTAGATGAACACTTTCAAAAGTCAAATGTAGACAAAAACTAGGCGACAAAGGGAGTATATTTTAACATAAAAATGACTTTATTGGATTTATCGTATTGAGAACTTTCAAAATTGGATTTCATTATGCTAATATGCAATATAAATTGAGAGTAATTGGAGTTCAAAGTTTGTTCAATTTGACTCGAAAAAGTCAAGCTGAACAAATACACTGAGACGGAGGTAGTATTAATATTAGGACCACGGAAGAGTAATTTATAATTTATTGATCATTTGTTAATATAATTAATATGATCATTAATTAGGTGATCATTTTTAATTTTATATGCATTCGATATAATTTTTAAATATATAAATTTTATTTTGTATCATTTTTTATAAGGTTAAATTTTGATTTTTTTTACTTTCATTATTCAGTTGAAAAAATAATCTTAGGATACCTCAGTGTCACTCTTATTTATTCCGTAATTTTTGGATATACAAATTTTATTTTTTAAATTACACTAATTTTTAAAATAAATTATGTTTAAAATAATTTTAGTCCAATATAATATGAGGTAGCTAGGTCACTTTTGTATATTTTGCAAATAAAAATTTATAATTAATCACATGAATAATTCATCTAAATATGGACGAATCATTAGAGCATGTTTGGTAAAGAGCATTTTAATGCTCAATCTGTTTCTTAAAACAATTCTTATTTCGTTTTTACGTGGCGCGCAAAACTCATTTTTCTTTAAATGATTTTCTTAACAAATTTGTACTTCCTCCGTTTGGAAAAAATGTTCCTCTTTTGACTTTGTGTAAAAATAAGGAAATATTAAATTGTAGTTGACTTCCAATTTTTGCCCTTGATGTGATAGGTAAAAGTAAGATGTGATGAATAGATTATTATAGATAAAGTATGATGTGATATGTAGGGTATGAAAAAGTAAGGGTAAAAGTGGTTTTTTAATACAAAGTGGAAGTGTTTTGTTAGAAGTGAAAAAAATGAAAGAGGAAATGTTTTTGAGAACGGAGGGAGTATGTAAATAAAAAATAAAAATTATAAATTTAAAACTACATAAAAAATTTTTACAAAATAAGTGGTGACAAATATTTTTTTTATCAAATAACTATCCCTAATGAAAAAATACACTCAAATAAAACTGATCGTGATATCTTGGTGAATACTTCCTCTGTCCTAAAATGTTCTTCCCACTTACTTTTTACACGGTCAAGCCTTAATCACTTTCTTTACCTATTTTCATTAGGTATTTGATAAAATAATATAGTCTTATCACCACTTGTTTTGTAGAACTTTTGATGTAGTTTTTAAATATATAAATTTTATTTTTTAACTTTATACCTACAATTAAATAAATTGAATAGAAAATAAAGTCAGTCAAACATCGTAAACAGAATCGGAAAGAACATTATAAGACGGAGGGAGTAGTAAATACGAACTGTATTATATGCTCCCCTTTTATTTGGTACGGAGTAGCATGTATGGGAAATGATCTTACCACTTTTGATATTGCCAAAATGTTCTTTCAAGTGTTGTATTTATGCATGTGCATGTCCCTTTAATTTGCCCATTTTTCCCTAATAATATTGATGGATTTGGATTGAAATTTTAAAGTTGGATATTGAAATAAATTAGGACTTGGAAGAAATTAGAAGTTAGAAAAAATTGGAAAGTGTTAGAAAATGTTTAAAGGATTTATGTGTTAAAAAGTCAGTGAATTAAATGATCACCCAAGTACATATGTAAGAAAACTATAATTATGGATAAAAAAGAATTCGTCATTGTTTGTGTTTGATGTTGTATGTTATAAATTTGGACATATAATGTTATTTTATATTCATCACATATATATAAATACAATTTTTAAGTCGTTGTTGGAAGAAATTAGAATAAGTTGGAAGAAACTGGAAAAAGCTGGAATTAATTTTTCCAATTGAAAAGAATAATGTCTATGTCTGTGTTAATTAATTTAATTCTAATCTATCTTTCTATATTAGGATTCGAATATGGAAAATGGACAACGAATTGACTCACAATAAGTGTTACAAGTGCATAGCGACCCTGCCAACATGGAAGGACCGGTTAGCTAAGTTTTTTTGCCCAAAGGACTACATGGAGGTTCGACGGCACAAGCGGTGCACGTGGGTGCACCACGTGGACACCGTATCGGCCTTAGCCATGTCCACAGAAGCCTCTCTTCTGTACTCCGTCTCGTGGGACCGAACACTGAAGGTCTGGCGAACTACTGACTTCAAGTGCCTTCAATCTGTTCGGAACGCCCACGACGATGCCATCAATGCCATCGTCGTCTCTAATGATGGCGTTGTGTACACTGGGTCGGCCGACAAGACAATAAAGGTGTGGAAGGCACAGTGCCACGATGGTGGAATGGTCGACCTAGTGGCAACACTGGAAAAACACATGTCGGCGGTCAATGCCTTGGCTTTGACCCCTGACGGGTCAACTCTTTACTCTGGCGCGTGTGACCGGTCCATAATCGTCTGGGAGAAAGACGATGACGGGAGAATGACGGTTGTCGGGGCACTCCGTGGGCACACTAAGGCAATTCTATGCATGGCGGTGATGTCAGATATGGTGTTTAGCGGCTCAGCTGATAAGAGTCTCAGAGTGTGGAAGAGAGGAATGGGGAGGAGTTATTCTTGTTTGGTTGTGTTGGATGGACATGTGGGTCCAGTCAAATGTTTGACTGCAGATATTGACCATAATAACCCCTCATCCTACATGGTTTATAGTGGCAGCTTGGACTATGATATTAAGGTTTGGGAAATTTGCCTTACAAACTAAATTAGTGTGTGGATGCACAAGGGTTAATAAGTTACATTTAGACTATAAGATTCCTATGTGTGTGTGTGTGTTTTGTGAGATATTTACTTTAAATTTTCAGGACACTTCCAAAATAAAATGTAAATTAAAGTCTATTTTGTTATGAATGGTATGAAACAATACATATGTTAAGGGATACCTTATGGGATAAAGGGTATATATAGTAGTTTAATGCATTCTGTACAACAACTTAATTATCCTAATTAAATGAGATTATTGAGTTCCTATATTAAATGTCTATTTATACGGAGTAATTAACAACTTGAAAAAAATGCTGAATTATTTAGTGCAGTTTTTCACCATTCAATTATTTATTTAATTTTTTTTTTTTGAAAGTAAAGAAACTTCATTATCGTAAAAGAGGGATTACAAAATCCGGGGGAGTAGAAACCCAAACAGAACGACGGGCTTCTGCTCTCCTCGCAAGAGAATGAGCAACAACGTTTAACTCTCTACGAACAAAACTGATGGAACTAGAGCAAAAACCGACCAACAAGGCCTTACACTCAACAATTAACGAACCAAAATAAGAAGTAAGAGAGAATGAAGTATCTGAAATTGCCGAAATCACACGTTGACAATCCATCAAGATCTCCACGTTATGAATATCAAGCGTCTTAATCCATGATAGAGCCTCACGACACGCCATAGCCTCCGCCATAAGAGGGTCCGGAGAACATAGTAATTCCCCATTAATAGCAGCAAGAAAACAGTTCGTCGCAGAAAATAGAGCACACCCAAAAGCAACCCTACCACTATCCGGCGCAAAAGCAGCATCCACAAAACACCGACAGGTAGAAGAAACCCCCGGAACCGCCCCCAAAACTGCCCCAGCAACAGCCCCTGCCGTAGCCCTCGGCCCTGCCTGCACAGTCCCCGACACCCCCCTACAACAGCCCCCAA